CTCTCCCCCTCCCTTCTGCGAAAAACAACTTCAAACTCAGGTCTCGCACAAAGCATCCAGTGGGAGCTAAAAATGAACGGTTTAAGCACCCTTGGGAAGAGAGAAAGGTGAATGAAAAGTTAACAATACTTATCTCCACACTCGTCTGTTTCGTGGTAAAAAAAGAACTGACAACTCTTCTAATGACAGTTAGGACCCCTGCAGGACTGTCAGCTCTTAAAATCAACAGGTGAGTGGCAAACTGATTCCTTCAGGCTGGTCTAGTCTTCTGTGTCTCAAGCACATAATCTAACGAAAAACAAAGATAAACGATCTTCTCAGTGAGTACAGGTATATGCAGTAAAAGAATATAAATAAGTGAGTAAATATGAATTATCATTATACTACCGTTAAGGAATTATACCTTTGTCATTATCTCTGTTGTTTTGAGGTCAGTTAAGAGGTGCTTTGAACAGCAGATTGGTCAACATATTTTCGGTAGTTTTCTCAGCTACGTCAGTATAGATTCAAGCAGACCCGAGTACTTTGGGCTTGATTTAAATGATCGACAAATATGGCTCAAAAAATATCGAAGTTCGTACTATTTTTTGAAGCCAAATTGTGAAAATTGTATTGCTGTCACTTAGGAGCCGGATTCTCGAAGCATGCTAGCGGTGAATAAAGCTCTTTCCTATGCAATATAATGACTTTTTCAGTGCTAAGATCTAAACAAGGCTTGCAATCATGTAAGATTTTAATGCTTCTAATGCGCAGTCCTACTAGCTAAAGAAAACGAAACATAAAACAAAGGCTTTGAATCAGCTTCCTAATTTCAATTTGGCGAATTTTTGTTAATTTTTGATCGCATCGCTTTCCAGTTAAATTTAACTTTAATTGCTTGTTCTGTCTCCAGTTGCAAGGAACCAAGTCAATAAGCAAACAGACCTTCTTAGCTTCTGTTTTGTTTTCCCGATGCAGGTCACGTGAAAATTCTCCAGAAAACTGTTTGTTTCAAATATCTTTATCGTTCACGAGCATATGTACGCATAATTTATGAAAAGACTCTTGGGGCAAACTCCCCTGGGACCCTCATTAGGAAAACAAAACATTCCAGCTAAAGAGGTCTATCGATGAATACCGTTTAGCTGAACCGAAGCCGAGCGCGACAAAATGCTTGCAAAAACGAAATTTCGCATCTTTAGACAGTTAATCGCTGACATTTCAAAACGAAATGTCGGAGAAAGAGTATAGACAATTGGACGAAATTCTGGGAATTTTGTCCTCAAGTCTTTTTCACAGTACTGTGGGTATACATGTATATATATCCTATTAAAAGTTAAGCCTACTTTAGAGTAGACTTACATGTATAGGATATTTGCAAACAGGACATGTACTGAAATTAATGTCCTAATGTTCCCAAGTTATATCTCAGGATATATCTTAGGCAGATGTCTTATTAATGGATTAGCCTATTTATATCTTTTGTTCAGTATTTGCTATCTTTATTGTAATTTCCGCGGTTTTTCTTAAATTTTCCTAGTTTTTTTTTGCTTAAAAAGCTAGATTGGTAGCCGTTATATTGTCACAGGGACTTTGAAAGCGATCGCCAGACTCTAATGATCCATCTCGCCCTTGAAATTTGTTTATGAACCAAGTTTTAAATGAAAAAAAGTTTTGGAATATCAACCGAAAATGTGCAAGTTTTGTTGGTATGACTTTGAACAAAGGTAAAAAAAAATAATTTCGAGGAATGTGAAAAAGCAACTGTAAGGCCAGAGAAACAGAAAACTGAGTGACCCCGACAAGAAAGTGAAACACAAGGTTTCAAATTCCGGCAACTATAAAGACAGCAATCAACTATCGAAAATAACAAAAAGACCACACAAAAGACGCATATAACCAAAATTAGACTTTATTGTGCTTTCTTGCATGCAGAGCATCGCAATAAAATATAAAAATGCGTTATTTATACCGCATTTTTACTTATTAATTGAATCAAGCCCAGAGTAACGTATCATTACGCCATGCGGTTTCAAATAGTGTCTCTGTCTAAGCCAAAAAAGCTATCGAATGAACGTTGACCAATTTTTGCCTATATTTTTTCAGCACCTCATAAAGTCTCCTAGCCTTATAAACTGTTCACGAGAAACAATTACTCCATTATACTAAATATCCATCCTGTTGGATTGTTTGGATAAAATTTTAGCTGAATGGTTTTAAATTTAGACGATTATAGCAACATGCGAATTATTTGATCTTTTTCAACAACCTGTAGACAGTAGCGCTTCTGAGGGAAACAAAATTCAGTTTATATTGAGAACAGTCAATTAAAAAAGCTGAGAATATATGAACTCAAATCTTTACGTTTTATGCTAACATGTAGAATATTTTTTGAAATAGCCCAGATTAAAATTCACCAATATTAATTATGTTTAGTTTTTTGCCGAAGTAAATACAGCTTTTTTCGTCCCCAGTTGTAAAAACAACTTAATAGTCTAGTCTATAATATGAAATATACTTATCTGCCGGCCTTCTGTTCGCCTTTCGGAATGGACTTTCCAGGACTCTGTACGTGCAGTGTTGAACGGGAGCGAATGGGAGTTCGTAGGGTGCGCCATCAGTTTTACAGATTCAGTTTCTGTGTGACAAGACAAGAAAGATTAGCGAAGTAATTTAAAATTTCCATTGTACGTTTAGTCTTCACAATTTTCCTGGCTGATTCTTATGCATCATTATATTCCATCAAAGTTGGTGAATATTAATTTACCGACGCCGACAAAGGGGGACAAATTCTCATTTGTTTAATTTTAGTTACTTTAAGGCAAATGTCTTCCGTTTCATTCGTACTTTCTTTTGTAAAATGAACTCATAATCAACGCGAGATCGGCGCTCTAGATAAGTATCATTTTGAGACTATCATAATCCATGAAAAATTAAAACCCAAGTGAAAATTGTTCATTTTAGTTAGAAATACGAACAAAAGCTAGTTTTGGTTACAATGTACATTTAGATACTTTTTCGCCACAGGAAATGATTTCTCGGAGATTAAGAAACAGATTCTAACGACAAAGACCTAGGAAAAGCGGCGAGGTTAAAACTTTAAATTATCTATCTGACATAAACAGAGACTAGACAAAGTCGACAAATGAAAAAAAACGGAGCAGCAACTCAAGTTTACTTCTAGGACTATCGTGGGATATAAGAGTTTGGCCGCGTACTGCAGTCAACACGTGTCACCTTTACTTTATAACAAATTGCAGTTACAGAGACAGGCTCTGATGTATAAACCTCTAAGAGAAATGACTTATTAAGAGAACAAACCTGTTATCGTCTTGACTGATGCAGCACAAATTAATCCACAAGAGGTAAAACCACAGCATTTAGGTCGCCTTTCCAGTCGCTACTTTCAATTGTAATAGTGGGTGTGTTTCTTGGTTTTATACTTTCTGGTGTAAACGCTAATTTATTCAGCTCAGTCGAGAAACACTTTTCACTCGGAGCTGAAAAAAAAAAAATGGAAGTGTTACTTTATGATTGTTCCAAGAAATATGTTATCCCCCTCCTCCTTGGAACCTGTTGTTTTTGGCTTGTCGGAATTTGCTACGCTGTTTTGTACAATGTAATTAATCCTTTACCATTGGGATTTGTTAGGTAATTGCATGATGCGCACCTAAAATTTTGCGGGCGCATTACCATCTTTATTTTTCATGGTATTCAGAAGAGAACAGTGTTTTTGCTGTCTAGATTGTGGTGGCGCAGCTATCTAGTTTTGTCATCTTGCTTCGTTCACTGATCTATCGTGCACCCGTACGGTTGGGAGTACCAATGATGCTACTCTTGTGGAAATTTTCTCTTCTTTTTTCCTGTATGAAAAACAAGACTCATTTTAGTGGGATTTTGAATAAAAACGCCTTTTCCCGTTGATGAATCTTATAATTTTCACCCTTGGGGAAAATGCCAACATGGGGTGAGAAAAGATTATATCATCATTTGTTTCCTCTGTAGCTTGTCATTGGTATAATACAAACGCTGAGTTTTATTAGGCCTGAACAAAAAAGTGTCAAAAACCTGACGGCATTTTCTTAATGACACTCTATCAGCAGGGAAGCTTTTAACCCTTGGAACCACAGACCAAAAAGAAACAATCCTAAAAAACAATCCTTTCAAACCCTGCAACAACCGCAGAATGTACTTTTGACCAGCCAAAGATTATAAAAGCATCGAAGAAGGCCACTCTACCGCGGTCTGAGCTAGTGCTACTGGTCAAATGACTCGCGACTCATATTTCTCTCTTTCTGCATCGCATCTGAGAACACTGAACGGGCCAATGGGCCCATGGGGGACACGATTGTTCCAAAAACTTGATTGTGCCAACCAACTTTTTCTCTTAAATTTGCAATCAAAGTACTCGTGTAAGAGGCTTAGTGTAAAATATTCTGAACAGTCAAAAATCATTTTATAATTAGTTACTAAGTCTTGCTATAAAAATTTTGATGTTTTTTTTTTCACTTGCGCAGTTGATCGCGCAGGTTCCCACTTTTACTTAGGGCCTGTTTACACGGAAGTGGGAGACCTCATCAGGTAGGTGAAGTAACTCACTTACTCACTCACTCTCTAATATGGGGCGCGATCCATTCAACCAAAATTTCCAACCGGTTCGACCGGGAAAAGTGGTCCACCTCAAAAGGTGGACCAGTTTTTAGGAAACTTTTCCGGTTGTACCGAACCGATCCATTGAGTTTTGGACCGAAATTTCCGGAAATTTTGGTGGAATGGATTGCGCCCATGGTTACCCCACCTATCATGAAAACGTGGTCATATTAGAATGAGAGATTCTATGAACAGATGGGTAACCCCACCTAAGGCGGTTACCTCACCTTCCTGGAGTCCCCCACCTCCATCGAAACAGGCCCCTGGCCCCTTCCCGTCATGGAAAAACTTTCATAATTGGCGCGTTTTTGGACTTCGAAAGCCTGGGTACAACAAGTGACGTTGAGATTGTCTGCGTGGCCAAAACCAAAATGGCGGACGTCAACTCACCGGCGAAGGGCGATACAAAACGACTTTCTTCAGACGATACAAACCTCCAAACAAACGAAAATGTATCAGGAGAGACAGATTATCTGGTAAGTGATTATTTCTGTGGTTTGAAGCCTTTGTTTTTGCAGAGGCTTTCTAAGATTCGCTGATTCACATGTATGTTCTTCCAGTCTACCTGTGCGGTTGTAGATTGCATTAAGAATCAGCAGTACATAATACTCTTTTTAGGGTTTTCAAACCATTTGTATGTGGCGTGCTATTACTTTTACATCAACTCAAAAAAAGATTTTTGCGTAACTTTGTTGCTTTTTGTAGGAAATATACCAAGAAATTCTCAATTGCGTGAAGTCTCTCTTTGCCTTTAGAGGGTAAGTTCATTCATGCGTAAAATTCTCTTTCCTGATCCTTGTTATTTGGTAGCGACTATCGTTTTGTCTCTGTAGATGTACCGGCTGGTTGCTGTCAACATGTTTACAATTTTATTCGTGTTTTGCTCTCCTTACCAGATTAAGCTTATATTTTCTGTCCAATGGAATTACATATTTGAGCTGAACCAGCAACGGCAGAGGAAATTACCCTTGTAGTTTATGATAGTTTTCCGTAAAGTTAAGGCTTTCAGACTGGTTCAACCCTTACAAATCTCCTATTTTATTCTTCCAGTTTTTAAATAATGTATGTAACATTCTCCCTAAGTTGCAAATGAACATCATAAGTAACAAAATGGCTACATATCCGCAGCTGAGGGGTGGGTGGGAGAGAGTTATAATTATTTTGATTCTATAAGAGGTTTTATAGTCATTCAAAATATTTCTGATTGGCTTTAATCCTCGTACTAATTTGGCATAATCAGCCAGCACTGACCAAATTTTGAAGATGTGCGGTGTATATTCTACCATCAAGCGAGTGACGTCAGTGACTGTATAATTTATTTTATATTGCAATATACCGTCAGTGACATCACACAAGACAGTAGTGTGGCAGCTTACCTGTTTTGGCGTGACTGCTAGGAACTTTTTTAATGAGTAATAAAACAATTATTGAATTCCACTTTCAAATGATTTGATGAATTATGCAGATCTCAGAGGGGTTGTTATCCACCTTGGCGGAACACCCTCCTCGATCTGCATTATTTTTCTCTCATACTCAGCCTCATTCAATAATAATTATTGTTAAATATGTTTAGATTTCATGAAATTATCTCAATGCAATGACTTGCATCCAGGGAACCTAAATTTAGACAAAATTGTCAGTGTTTGATTTTTTTTGAGATCATTTTTGTGATCTGGTTTTACCAAGCTACTGCAAAAGTGGATGCTTAAGCCTTGTGATGCATATAGAGAGATTGTATTCCATACAGTTATATGAGTCTTTTATTCTTTTATTTATTTATTTTTGATGTTATTGTTATTATTGTGATGGTTGTTATTATCTGGTATAATAAGATTTATTGTGTGCTTGATGATTTTTTTTCTCTTTAACAACTTTTTTTCCTCAGAGATGAGGAACCCAAGGAGGAATATATCCCTGGCCAGTCTGTAGAACCACAATCGTAAGTTATATTTTCTTGTGGAAGGATAATGTTAGACTAGTAGCCTCGTAACATCCAGAAACAGGGCAGCATACCGTGTCACTGATATAAGGTGCTGATGTAATTTAATATTTCAAGTACATGAAATGTCAACTTATGTGCTGTTACAGCCCTCACGAAGCTGTTTTATGCTAACAATGATGACGATGATGATTATTATTATTTTGTGTACAGTGTAATAATAGTGCTAACATGTGAGTTCAATTCATTGTCATGGATTCTGCATAGTCTTTGTTCCCTTGATCTGAGTGTTGGTTGTCTTTTCATGGCTGGATTTTTTTCCAGTGGTTTTGTTTCTCTGGAAACCAGCTGTTCAAATTGCAAAATAATAAAATTATTACGTGGCATGCATATCATACATGAGTGACTGATAATACTTAATTGAATTCCTCTTATTGAAAACAAAGTATTTTTTGATCTCCTGTATAACTCTTTTCATAGTTTTATTTATAATTCATTAAATAATTGAATTAAAAGGTGCTCTACATAGTGCATTTGCAAAAAAATTGTTCACTTGATTCAGGGGTTCCTTTATTTTGAATATTCATAAATATTGGAATAATAATGAAAGCATACATCTGTATTGAGTTATGCTGAAAAGTTAGTAAAGGACCTGATAAGTGTCTGAAATTTAAAGAGGATGTTTGTGAAATAGGAGATTCATGAAAGCAGATCATCGCAGTTATAGACACAGCTTTTACAGTTGCAAAAAGAAAGCCTGAATTTTTTTTCAGACTTTCTTTTCGCAACTGCAAAAGTTGTGTCTATAACTGAGATGATCTTCTGTCATATAATTTTTCACTACCCAGTTCTCATACATGATTTTTCATATACTCATAACTTCGGCAGATTGTTTATTCACCCTTCCCTGTATTTTTCAAACTTGAGTTGTTCTAAATGCATTCTGCTTTTGGTTTGATCTCTTCAATTGTATTTCTCAATATTTATAAAATCAATATTAATTTTGTTCTATGCAGGAAAACAGAGCTGAGTAAAGTGCTATCTCAAATCTCTGATTTAATTTATCATGAGAAACCACAGACAGAGTAAGTAATAGCCATACTGCAGTATTTTCCAAAGACATAACCCTTATTAATTGAACATGAAGTAATTTTGTTTGGAATTTTTGCAGAGGAACTGATGCACCCAAACTTGTCCACTATTGGTATCAACAAAAGCTTAGATCAGACCAACTTCTGTAACTCACTGTGTGATAATAAGTTAGAGACGTTAGGGGGCTCAAAGAAAACATGAATTCCAACTTTTCCTTTGGGCAAGCAACTCTCACATTTTTCTTGCCTGGGACTTCTTCTTATCTTGCTTATCTTAGTTAATGATTTTGTTAGAGGATGACTTGTCTGAGCTCTTAATCTTTGGGAAAGTGAGCACAACTGTGAGGATCACTCTTCATTTGATTTCATTGCGGCAGTTCTCATATATGATTTATTTCATCAGTGGCTTCATGGCTTAGTTGGTTAGAGGGGTCACACCGGTATTGCAAGGTCATTGGTTCAAACCCCATTGAAGTCCTGAATTTTTTCAGGCTTCTTACGCAATTGCATAAAGTGTGTTCACATTTATGAGGATCATTCTTCATTTGATAAGCTTTAAAAGTTACCTGTCCAGAAAGAAAATCTACTTGTCCTGGACTAACACTTTTTCGAACCCTGCATTACAGAGACATGGTTACAGGGTTGATCTGATCCAGGTTTTGTCATCACCCCTCTACAAATGTATTTGTGACCAGCATACATTTTCTAGATGAAATAGCATGTAGTCAAGAGAGTTTAATTATGGCCTAGTTCCTACGCCGCTTGTGATTTTGTTCATTTTTTGCTTGAATAAAGAGTAAAGGAGAATAAGTACACTGTATAGTGTCCAAAATAAAATTACAATAAACCCCCACAGCATCTACTGTGAATTGCCACGTCATTTCAACTTTTCCAGTTGTTGGTTATGTGCATCTACCAAGGGCCTGTTAAGTGTAACATCTTGTTACAACAGCAGTGTTAGATTGTGTTACATCTGTTTGAATCAGCCCAGAGGTTTTAACGTATTTTAATCTGATCCAGCGTCATGGACCAACAACATCCAAATTTGCCAATAAGTTGTTCAATCTGACCCAATAGTATTAGATGAAGTTGGAACAATGGAACTCAAGATTTTTTTCAGTCAATGACACAGGTAGCTTGGAAGAAATAATCCTGGTACTCCTAACAGGAGTCGAACCTATGAACATCTGGATACTTGTCCGGATGCTCTACCACTGAGCTACAGGAGACTCATGGGAACTGTGGCCACTTAACTAGGAATTCAACAGTCATGCACTAATATGGATCTGTTGAAATGGGCCTTGAAAATACATGTAATAGGGAGCTTAAGCAACAATGACAGTAATAACAGTGAGAATGGCAAAAAAACAATAGGTTTAGATTGGCAAAACAACAGCTCTGCTCGGCATCACTCTTTTTTGTACATTTCTTTGCCATTGTGGCACGACTACTATGTGAAACTGCCTAATTTCATGTTTTGTAGAGGATGTGAACACAAGAGAACGATTTTGTTTTTCTTTTCCTGAACTTTGATACAGGCCTTTAGAATTCAACTCCACAAAAAATTGCCAACATTTTGATGAATTGAACAAGATGGAACAAGTACAAAAAAATTTGAAGCAGCCCAAACTCAGTTTTTAAGTGATGTTTTTGTAGCAGTCACCATTGTTGTTGCTTAAGGTCCCTAATAATTAGGTGCAGTTGTTAACAGCAACTTCTCATTACAACTGTTTGTTTTTGTTGTAGGTTTAAATGCTCTCCTGATCATTACACGCATGCTAGTGTTATTGCACAGACTTTATCTCTATACTTGTCCTTGCTGGATGAATCTTGCATCAAGAAACTGTCAGCCTGTGTCAAGTCCGACTGTTCACATTGGCTCTCCAAGCTTTTTGGGTGAGAATGTTTAAAATTCGGTTTTCTAATATGACACTTTTTATCTTGTAGCTTGTTTAATGGATCAGCAATGATGTGGTGCCGTGCCACTTTCTTAGAGAAAATGTACATTAAATAATAACAACAGCACTCTCTTCCTCAAGGAAAGAAAATTATTTAGAACTTTTGAGTAGTTTCTTCTCTTGAAATAAAGTGTTGTGTTTGTATTCACAAATTTCTAAGCTACTGCTAGGTCATTAGCCTGCTTCACAGACAGAACTAAAACCTCTGGTTAAGTGTGGAAAACAGCACTGAAGTCCTTGTCCTGGGCCCCCACCTGTGTACCAGGATTTGAGTATGCACCACGATTGGTCTATTAAAAATTCCATTGTTGATTTGCCAATCAGGTTGGAGGGAAATTTGAAACATAGTTTTGGTAATTTGTTGAGTTTTTGGGCACCCCAGAACAAGGATATCAGTGCTGCTTTGAAGACGTTGATATAAACTGAGGTTAGATTATATCTGCAATGTAGGCCACTGGGTCTTGGACATTAATAATTTAGCTGTTTACTGTGTACTGTAAATATAGTATGTTTTTTACCAAAACTTTAACTATTACTGGTGTAAAGAACTCACTCAAATAGTTTGTTGTGAATGATTTTTGTCGTGGTAAATGAACTGAATTGTTGTAGAGGTGGTTTCAGTCTTAATTCTTTCTTTTCCATTTTAACAAAAATCATGATTCTGAATAGCAGATACCAATCACTATAGTTCTTATCCAAATACCCAAAAGGCAGACATCACACTGTACTTTCGTACATTATTTTTTCACTTGGTTTAAGATGAGTAAATTGTGTGTATTTGATTTGCAGTTATGAAAATGCGTTGTCCTGCTTCCATGAGCATCAATGGGACGGGTTGGTACGAGGTAAGCTCCTCATCTCTCTCTACTTGTTTATCTGCATTAGAAAGCTTTACTTTTCAAAACCTACTGGTTTGTTGGTGGGTCCCTTTTCACAAAATCATCAGTTATGTGCTTCCATTAAGAGAGCTGGCCCACACAAGTGCTACACTACCTAATGTGATGAAATCCAGACTTATCAGTTTTTTCTCCATCTAGTTTGCAGGCTTGCATTACGAGTAAAATACCCAAAATATGGAACAGAAGGATTTACTGCCCTCTATACCAGGTATATTCAAATGTAGCAAAATCTCTTTTATTGACCACAGGTTTGCACTTGACTTTGTTTCTAAGCTCACTGGGCTTTTTAAAACACATTCTTTCTCTTTCATAAAGCAGTAGGTATGGTAAAAGCGAAAGGGTGAGTAAACCACATTTGGCCTCTATAATGTAATGTCTCCTTGTAATAATGCACAACCTTATCCATTAGGTACATCTAGGGGCTGTTAAGGATGGCTGTTAGTTTATCATCTCTGCAACTTTTATAATATTCAAACAGTCAATAGGTAGATAGGGTCTTATTCCAGCTTCACCTACATTTTAGTTATTACTACGGTCATAATGGTCATTGTTATTCAATGTTTTCTTACAGTTAAAAAGAAAATCTTTTGATGTGCAGCACCAGGGGTTTTTCTTCATGTCGATGTTTCACTGTACATGTACATTTGCACCTAAATTAAGCGTAGAACTCAGCTTGCCTATTTGATGAAATAGTTTCTGATGTCTACTTGTAGGCCTCCTGTTGTCTATGTGAGCTCATCTGCTTGTGATGCACTAGGACATTATTTATGCACTCAGGTAAGGACAGTTATTAGCTGTGATTACACTACTCACCATAGAAAAGTACATTCCAGACCAGGGGAAAATTACCTCAGGCTTACTTTAACTATCTATGTAGTTGTGAGCATAACACAGAATAATTTCCCATGGTGAAATAATCTTTCATACATAACTAGTTTGGCACAAAATAGGAAAGCGGAACATCTCTCCTATTTTTATCCAGTACCAATGGTCTTCAGCAGCTCTTCCAAATTCACTGTTGCATAGTGAAGGAATAGAAAACATCTCCATTGCACTTCCTTCTCATCGCTTTCACTGGCTTTAGTAAAATGCAATATTTTCGTCTGCAGTCCCACTATCGAGTGTCAAAGAAAGTCATGTCCAATAGTCTGGGGCTAGTGGATTTTGCGATCGGGCTAGTGAATTCTGTTCTTAACTTGCCCTGAATTTCAATTTACATTATTATTACAAGACAAATTGAAAATTCCAAATTAAACTATGTGTACCAAAAGAAAAAGTATGAAGTGTGTTCTTTATGCCTTTATTAGTAGTTACATGTATTATGACACCACTAATTTGTTTTAGATTATTTCAACATTATTTTTGTTTTGTTTTCTTAGCTTGGTTTACCTCAATCTAGTGTTTGTAAAGGTAAGAGAGAACATTATTACAGTTTGTACTTGTGTGTACACGTTGTTACGATCAAAATCATTACCTTGACAAGAATCATATTATTCCTATTGTTTATATTATTCTTGTACAAATAGTGCCATGTAATACAGTATTTGGATCACCACACACCATGGTAAGTTTATATACATTTTTTCAGTTTACTAAGCTCTTCCTAACTGTATAATATTTATCTCATCACTCACTTAAGCTCAAACTCACTGTGACAGTAATACTTCCATGTCATCTTTTTAGGACATTGCAGCCTTTGAGAGACTTTTCAATGATGATGTCTCCTGTGGCAAGACTCCACTTCTTCTTATTGCATATGCTGGTAAGTTGCTCAGTCTCTGATTAACTTGCAAAACTACATGTATTACAGTCAAACCTCTATGTGCAACCCTCTCTCATAAGCAATCACCTCCCGTAAGGGACCACTTAGTATCCAACCACCTCTTGTAAGCAACTACAAGCACATCTGGGGCTAACAGTTTTATAATTTTCCATTATTTTTAACCTCTTGTAAGCAAGCCAAGATGCATGGTTTTAGCTCTAAGACTATGCTCACCATACATGTATGTACTATGCTACTTAGAGTTAAATACAAGAAGTTCTTTTTGTGACAAACATGAAACTACACATTATTGCAACTTGGAAATTGCATGCAGTGAATTACCTTCTTTGTGAAAGTGCCCCCTGTCATTCCATTCTTGTAAACAACCACCTCAAGTAAGCAATTCAACCCTTAAGTTTTTGCATTTTAGGTGGTCACTTACAGGAGGTACAACAAGTGTAGGAAACAGGAACAAATAAGCACAGGAGACTGCTGCTTGTGTATTGGCCATTTTCTTTCAGTGGGCCCTTTACTGGAAATATCATTGTGAACTTTTCACCACTTACAGTTTTAAGTTTATTTTTGTGTTATTTTCCACAGGAACCCCAGTTGCTGGGCATACTGATAATCTGAGTCGATTAAGAGAGCTTTGTACTCAGAACAGTCTGTGGCTTCATCTGGAAGGGTAATATTGTCTTGATCATCTATGCTTTAAAAAAGGTTGATTCCCTGATACAATACATGTATTTAATATTTCAAAACAAAAATAATAATTATTGATTGCATTTTAAAATATTGTTTCAGGGACACACTTGCAACTCTCTGTCTAGATACTGTACCCCCTTCATTAAAGGTATGTGTTAGGTTGATGCAGGACCTTGGTGTAAAGCTGTAAACAAATTTTAAAGAATGTTAGTCCAGAAGAACACATAAGTATATTATTTTACCTTAAGTATATGTTTCTGAATAATATAGGAGTAAAGGCCTATTATTTTTTACCTTTCAAGTATATGTTTCCAGACTAGAATAATATTTATTAAAAATCCATTGAGTAAAGGCCTGTATAAACAACTTTATAAATCAATTTACTTTAAAACAAAGGAACAAAGATACCCTTTTAAGAAAATAGCAGCCCCATTAGAAAATCAAAACTATTCATTAGTCAAACAAATTCTCCAGACTAATCTCCATACATTTCCTTAAAAATTATTTGAGAGAATTTGTAAAGAGATCAAAGCATTTTCTCTTTGGTGATCAATTTCATGAATTCTCACAACCTTTTCTTTTGATAATGTATTGATATTATTAGGAGAAAATTGATGTTGGTCACTATCAGGGCTTACCGGATTAATGTTATTCTGTCCTATAATGATTAGCAGTTATTGGACATTGTTTTTGTCATGGAAATGTTTAAACAGCCCAGACACTCAAACAAGCCACAATGCAACAGATTCTAAGATGTGCTGTTAAATGGACAAAACAGTGTTGGAGTACAACTTCACAATCACAATGGCAAACAAATGCCAAGACTTGTTTTTAAAAGTAATTAAGGTGGACAGTCAGGAAATATCAAGCATTGAGTGACAAGAGTTGAAAAATTGAGTTCTTTCATTTTTTTTGTCCATAGATAGCTTTTAGGTAGATAAAAAACGTGATGTGGATATGTTCCCGCCAAAAGCCTTTTATTTGTGAGAAAAATAATTTTTAGAATATCTGTTTGTGAGGTTGGAGTCTCAGAAAAACCTAATTTTTAACTTGAAATTCATTAACATCAACCTTCCTTGGGTTGACAAACAAAGCCGTGTGGTGGAATCTGGACACTTCCCATCAACAGGGCAACTAAGCTTGTCAAACTGAAATACAGTAATTCAAAATGAGAAAAAGGTTTTCACAATAACAAAAACTCAACTTGATTACTCATGGTGGATGACAATATTTAACAAGTGGTTTAACTTCAAATTCTCTTCATCCTAGTTAAATCACACATTGCCCTTAAAACTTTTTGCTGATCAGTTTTTGACAACAGTCAATACTTCTAGTGCACAGGACCCATTTTTTTCGTATTTATTTACATGAACTTTTTAGACTGATGAATTATCATTTAATTTGTATAGAGCGCTCCTGCCTGTGACAGCATGACTCTGAATATAAGCAAGTGGTTTGCTTTACCCAGTGCGCCATACTGTGTATCCTTTGACTTAACAATCACCGTCACCTAGTACAAGCGAAAGCATTCAGGCATATAATTAAAGACAGGGCATGAAACATACTTTAAGATCCCCATTCACCTCAATAAAGTGCTCGTCGCGGAGCAATTTCTATGTAACGAAAACTCTGTCCTTACAGAGAATTATCAAGTGATGGTTACAATAGCAAACATTGGAATGATTACATGTTAAGAATTCTTTCACAGAAGAGTCAGAACAAGGTAAGTTTTGTTTCAGTAGTGAAAGAGATAATTCAGTTTTTATTAAGCACAAGTAAGCTTTAAAAGTCCTGGAATAATTTATTCAATGTTGTTGTCTGGCACACCTTAATCCATATCGATATACCTTAGCATTTTCTTAACATTGAAAATTAGACATTTTACAGAGCTAAAGATCTGGATTTGGTGAGTTATAAATAACTTGTTATGAAACTTAAATAATACAATGTATATCACAATTGAAGTTGTTATCGTTTTTAATGAAATTACAATCAGCATGATTGTCCTGGCTAGACCAGCCACTCTCTACTTGCTTGTTATTCACCTGAGTGACACTGTTAGCATTCTGGACCTTGTGCACTTCTCTTTCTCAAACTCATCAATAATTCATAAAGAAAATACAAAGGAAATTAATGTTTAATGAGTGTTTGGAAATCAGATGAAAAACTGCTCATTTTTGCATCCTTACATGTAATACCGCCCTCTAAAATCATTTTGTTTGAGAAGTAATATCAAGCATTCGACACAGTGTTTCATCACCAGATGAAACTCCTCGAAGTTCGTCAAAAATACTTCGCTGCACGTCATATTTTCAACTCTCTTCTAATTGTTTCATCTGGTGATGAAACACTGCCTCGTATGCTTGATATACTGCTTCAAGTTTTATAATAATTGGTCCTTTCTCACTGTATTGGTTTGAATTGTGCAAAGTGGCAAATGTTGATTGTAATAATAAGAATAACTTGATGAAAACAGTTTTTTTACGTTTTCAGGCTGAGGCATCAGGACTTAGTCAGAGTCATGATCCTGACAGACTGTCTGTTCTTCCTCTTTGGATCAGTATTCAGACTGTTGGTAAGCTCATATAATTAGGGAGCTCAAGCAACCATGACAATGAAGACAAGGACAACTTCAAAAAACAATTGATTGCTTTTATGAGCAAACATGCATCATGTTTTTTATTACATTTCTGTGACTTCCACTAATGTGACGATTTATGGAGGACGTGAATGTCAGTAACAAATTTTCCTGTCTCTTTTTCTGAGTCTGGATAAACTCCTTACCAATTCAACCCCAGGAAATATTGCCTACATTTGACAAATTGAGCAGGTCCAGATAGAAGCAGTAAAGGTTGCAAGGATGCAAATTCATTTTTTAAGGGATGTTTTCACTACTGTCGTGGTCATTGTTGCTTTAGCTCCTTGTTAACCCATCTTGTCTGTAAGCACCTTTTTCCTTGCTATTTATTTTACTTGGACCCCTGTTGCTCGGTTAACTCATGTGTCTGTTGTTATATTTATGTGCTGGACAGAGTTTCAGTGTGATCCTGGTTGCCTATCAGCAACGTAATTTTATGTTCTTGATCACTGTTACAATCCACTATAATAATTATGTACGATTTTATCTTATTATTGTTCTCTTATTACTCTTTAGGTCTTGATAAAATGAAGGAAATGATCTTACATTCAGTGCAGTTGGTTAGTATAATAATTGTTTTATTATTCATTTAAAAATTAATACTTCCCAGTTCTTAACCTTCCTTACCTCCATGTAAACATTCTTAAATGGATTTGCCTGCTCCTTGGTTGTATGTGGTCATGAATGGATGTTTTTTGGGTGCTTATGAAAGATTTGACTGTAATCCATTATAGATCAGCATCAAGTCTTTCAGGAACTTTTAATGAGTTAGGTTTAACATGTGAAGCTACACGTGAAGAAGGGTTCATGTGAGGGTACCAGATGAAATATCACATATACAGGAGCTGTTTGTGTTAATAATTCAACTTTCTTTTCTGTTCTATGTGACAGTCGCAACAGCTGAGTATTTGCGTGGATGGCATGCAAGCATCTGTGAAGAGGATGGTAAGTAGATGATTCCAAGTGGAGCCTTCAGGGTTCATACAGAGTCTTGAATTCTTGAAAAAGTCTTGAAATTTGCCCAGCAATTTTCCAGTCCTGGAAAAAGTCTGGAAATAGACTCAGATAAAGTCTGGAAAAAGTGGTAAAACATCCTGAGATTTTTTTTCAAAGCTACAATAAGTGCTTTATAAGTGAAATTTTTCTTGTTTTGGACAAATTGTATTCAATCTCACCTGTATGTTTGCAGTGCCTCTTGAATAAAACTTTTTTCAGATGTTTTTTAAGGTCTTTTTTGATAACCTTGAGTCTGTAAAAAGAATTATCCGTTTGGAAGAAAGTCTGGAAAAAGTCTTAAATTCTGGATCCAAAAATCTGTATGAACCCTGGGCCTTTAAACAATGCTTTGTTCAGTGTCAAACCTCCCTGGCTAAACTCTGGTAATATTTATTGACTTGACTGTCTTTTCATTGACAGTGTTTTCTAATAAGTTTAGGCTCAGTAACAACCTTTTGTGAGAAATATGGTAGTCAAATTGTTGTTATACATGTATAAATAGTCTCATATTTTATAGCACTTAGACTGTTTTAAAAATAAAACAATTCTTTAAGAAATTAATTTTGGATACAACTGAACTAAGGTAAATGGTTTTTGATAAATCTTTGCAGGCCCAACCACACTGCACATCACCAATTGTGGTGTTTAAATACAGAGCAACCCCTACATCACCTATTGAATCCAGTATTCTAACAGGAGATGATATCAATGGTTCAGATCAGGATGATGACCAAGGTAAAGGCTCAATTTTGTGATGGTTATTAGCTGACTGTTAATGGTGCCCTGAAGTTAGAAACCTTTGGTGTACATCGATGTTGTAGTTTGTAATCCCAAAAATTGAATTCTGTTAAAAGATGTTTTTTTCCATTTTTTAAATATTTAGTTTCCATTCCACTCCTCATCCTTTTTCACCCCTTTTATTTGCGACACATCCCCTTTTATACACCTTACTGCTTCAAGCACTTGGGAAAGGAGAATTTAGAGTGCACTCCCTCCTCCTTACTGTCTTTTTAATGAGGTGTGATCACAATTGGCACACGACAGAGACCTGTAGATTCTGAGACGAGAACAACTATGAGTATGAGATTTTCTCGATAGTAAGTAGTGCTTGCATGTGAACCAGGATCATTATTAGTGGGAAAACGCGGTAGCCGTTGTCATTCTACTACGAGTTTTAGTGAGAGTGTCATAGTGGTGGGAACAAGTTATCAAAGGTTTGAAGTTTTCTGAAGAAAAAAAGTAGAATGAAGAATTCCGGGGTGTCTATTTTTTGCAGTTTTTGACAATACACGAAAACTTTAAATTAAATGTTGTACTCGTAGTCGTTCTCATCCTCAAATCTAAAACTCTCTAATATTACAGAGGCACCCAATGTTTTCTGTAAAATATCTGTTTGGAGAAGCAAATATGACCTGGAAATTTCAATTACTTGAGGACGCCAAGAAATTTGTAAATGACTATTCTATTCAAGTACAATTTTTGAAGCTCATCTAATCAATTCCCTACGATTTTCTGAAGTTCAATTTTTCACATTTCACTTCCCAGGTTAAACTTTTTCTTGTAGAAAAAAGGAAACCCTAAATTTTCGGATTCAAAAATGTGATGGAGAAAGAAATTAGAAAAATTCTCACTTTTGTAATAATAGTAAATTGCATCTAAATATTTCAGGAAAATAATACTGAAGCCCTTATAATTTTGAAAAAAGTCAAGTTGCCCTAGGCTGACCGGACAGTTACCAATTTTTATAGTGCCATGTTGAATGCATTTCTAGAGATTTAAAAGTACTCTGGATAGCGAAAATTGTTTTCAATGTATGTAGGAGGAAACCATCGTTGGGTGCCCTTGGTATAAGGATAAGAATTGAAGAGCGTAAAGTGCATGCTTTTTCTTCTCAACTCACATCTCTGCATAATGCTCTTACATTACACAGATGATACAGAGCTTTCAACATCGTCACGGTCATCATCCTCTGAACGAGGCTGTGTTTCATCATCTGTGCGGGATTCAATTAACCAGGAGGTATGATTGCAGTCTTTTACATTCAGTTGTCCATAGGTCATTGCAGTTAAAATTGCTATACTAGCCCCTTTACTAGTATTGTTAACTGATCTCCACTGTACTAAAAAATACTGTTGATTATTGGAATATTGAACACTTTAAATTGTTGAAAATAAAAGCTAAAAAGAAGTTGATTATCAGTGAGTATCTTTCTCAATAATATTGTTGTGGCAAGTTTATAATAATTCTGACTGTATGATAATAAATAATAAATTACATCAGCAATTAACATGGTAACCTAGTTTTCTCTTCACCCTACAATGTTACAGAATCCCTCATGCTATTTTCAGAACGCAGTGATGCCACTTGTTTAGGTCCCTTGTTCTTTTACTTTTGCTTTGTTATGACTTTAATTCTAACCATAGTTAGCAGAGGAAACTGGTTATGAATCCCGGCAAAAATTAAAGATGCCAACAGCATTGCTGCAGTTTATGTTGGGAGCTCCCTGACCATGCACAATCCTTTGATTTTCCTTCACAATTATTTATTGTGACTAAATGAATCATGGGATGTTTCTGTTGGTCATTTAGTGCTAAATTAATGGTAGGAATGTTATTGAATGTTGTGTATGGTCAAGACCAAGAACCTAAGACACACATATAACAGGGAAGTCTGACAAGCTTTGTTACCCTTGCAGTTCATTAATTATGTACTAACTCATTTTGTTTTTGTGTGTTGAATATCAGCTGGCTTATCACTTGGCTCAGAAAATGCCATCTGTAAAAATTGGTGTTGTGGTTTTACCTAAGGAGGGTTACTGTATCAGGTTTAACCCTATTCTTTCATCCAGATGTGAGTTCATGACTTTTCTGTTTTGTTAGTAAAATAACAATGCCTCAGATATTGTGATTTAGTAAAATCCAACTAGTGGTCTATTATCATTGCTGTGTTCTGATTGGTTGAGCTACTACTAAGCTATATGTTATAGCCCACTAGTAGCGAAAAGCACGTGCTTTTAGGCAGCAAAAAAGGATTTAAGTCTTGCTTTAACTAGTAGCTAAAAGTTTTTTATTCTGGATATTTTTGACCAAGTAGTGGGATTTTACTAAAACAATTATTCCTCTCGCCCTCATTGGGGCTCGAGGAATAATTGTTAAATATATGTTTAATATTAAAACTGGTTATATTTATGCAAGCAGTGGATCATTATCAACAGACATTTTTATGAGGTCGTTTTCTTTTGTTTTCAGTATGTGGTACAACAAGTGAAAATATAGAAGATTTTGTAATTTGTCTGAAAAATGAAGTGGTAAGTGTTCTTGTTAACTGCTGTCAAACCTCCCATAAGCGACCACTCAAAATGCGAAGATGTAATGGTCGCGTAGTACATTCAGAGAACACAGAAATCAGATCATGCATCAAGTGATCGTCTACAACAGATAGAAAACCATTTGAAAAATTATAAAAACTGTCAACGCAAAAATTGATTCGGGATTGGATTAAGAGAATTGGCCATTATTTTATGAGAGGTCCTAACTATGGAGGTTTGACTGGGAAAATTTTGGTATTTTGGATCTGTGGTCGCATATGGGAGGTGGTTATGGAGGTTTAGCTGTATCTACATGAAGTTTTAAATTGTAACCTTTGTAGATGCGTACAGTTAACCTTTTGTGATACACCTGTAACAGTTTTCGTAGAAATTGCTGCTTCTGTACAGGGCTTTTTTCATGTGTCTGTCATTTGTTTTGGTCAGTCAGCTAGCAGGCAACTTGCAAGACAAACAGGCAGGCAATTCTATATCCAGCAAAAACAGTTTCTTAATTTTTGGTGGTCACTTCACTATCCATCACAAACCTCTTTTCTATGTCTGTTTGATTAGGCCAGACTAGACTCTGTGCTGCTCTGCCAAGAAGAATTTAGGCTAGCTACAGAGGGCAAGGAAGACGTTGTTATGGTAGAAACCCAAGGTACTTCAACTGTAGGAGCACTACTGTAAGTATATCTCACTAGAATAAATTATAGGAAGATCAGGGTGACTAGGATGACTAAAGTGACTTGGTGACTGGGGTGAACAGGGTGACTGGAGTGACTAGGGTGACATGGGTGACTTTACCATTATAATAATTACAGTATCTCTTTTTAGTTAAAAATATGCTCTGTTATTGGTCAATTAATTGGTCTGTGTTCTACATGACTGTACTGTCCGACGTGTTTGAAGTCACAAAAATTCTTTGCATTTTCTGTTGAACCATCAGTCAGTCAACTTTCTCCTTGATGACAGGCTTTTATTACATATGTTTGCTATGTATTGTGTATTGATCAAAATAATTGGTTGGTCAGCTTCTGCAGTTTCTGCAGGGCGCAGAGGAGTTATTTGTGACCTTGTTCCAAGTTCGACTTAACAGTTGATGGTTCAAATTGTCGTTTTTTTTTACCGATATGAAATTGACCAGTCATGCAATTGTGTTACAAACATGGAATAATATCATCCAATGCTCTGGAAAAATTGCTGAAGGTAATGACTGTGGCTGAATAACAGCTCTTCGCTTAGAAATCTTTGCCTTTCTGCCCATGTTTGTTGCTACTGAGCATTGGGTAATGTTTTAGCAGGTTTGTAACATGTTCTCATGATTGTTTGATCGGTCAAGTTCATATTGGATTCTACAACTGTAAAACGTAAACTGCAATCCAAGTCACAAATAGTTTCTCTGTGCACTGTGCAGTTTCCTGCATTGGAATTGGTATTACCCAGTGTTCTCACCAGGATTTTGCCTTGGGGAGTCCCAGGGCCCCCTCTTCTGAGAAATAGGGGCCCTGTAAGAACATTAGGGGGACAAAGTTACAAAAAACACGCGGTACGAAGAACCTGAGCCCGCACTCCAAATTGTCTGTTACATGAAGTACCTACCTGATCCAATATAGCGGAAGAGGTGTTTATGATTCGGAGGAAGAGTTTACGTTGTAGTGGGACGCGCGTGGGACCAATGAAAGTAAAGGCAACAAAATTAAAGACTTTGACTCATTTGATATCATGTTTTTTATTTATTCAAACAAACAGAATGCTTTAGTGTTAGGTTGACCATTAAAACTACTTAAGTCCGTTTGACTCATAGCTTGCCCCTGCGCCCTAACATGCGCATCTTCTTGGTTTTAATGCGCCATTTCAGTTTTTCTTGCGGGAATCCCGCAAGGCCGCGGCCTGGTGAGAACACTGATTACCTAATTTACGTAAATACAAATGCACATTAACCCTCTGCTAGACATTACGACATTATCAAGGATTCAGTGACAACAAAACTATAAATGTACTACATGGTAATTTAATGCAGAAATTCTTCACTCCTAATGTGCTATAAGGAGTATAAATTGACACAATATAACTTGCAAATAGGTGTGTCCCCCGATACTGGACCAACAAGGATCTTGAAAAACTGAGGGAGGCCAAAAAAGTTGAACTCAATGACTGGAACAAAGAGGTGTTAGCCTTGATTACAGAACAAATGGCAGATGTGTTCAGGAAGGGACGGACACAGGATGGTCTGACTTGTATTGTAATAGACAAGGTAAATATTCTAATTTGTGAACTTTATATCAGTAAACTAATGATGATGTTTTTAAACATCATCATTAGTTTAATTAGCAGTATTAAAATACTGCTAATTAACTGATTATGTTCTAGAAAGTAGGTGACAACATAATTAAGAAAGATTATTTACCTCTCCTTTCTACATATGCAATGTCTACAATAATTGTTCATGATAATCATATTGTCCTTCAGCAGCATGTTTGAAAAAAAAAGATTGTTCGAGTGAGGCCTTTAACTACGTAATGTTGTTAAAAATAAACATTAAATCTGGAAAAAAGTGAAGAACAATTCCCCCGAAAGACTGTCGGCCAACTGTTTAATTGGTAGACTGTCAGCTGACAGAATCTAAGGGGAGCTCATCTTCACTTTTACCAAAATCTGAGCCTTTGCTGATCAGTGGCATCATCACCTGATGATACCACTTAGCAGCGAAAGCTTGGATTTTAACTTTAATTTTAATTACTAATGGCAGTAACCTGACTCAAACGATAGTTTACATTCATACGTGATTTTTAGTATTATGTTTTAAGCTTCTGTTATGTGTACATGATATTATTTTGTTAGCTTCATTATGTAATATTTTGACTTAACCATGGAAATTTATTGCAGAAATTGAAGGAAATGAAAAGTGATGATACAATGCAGGGCTCAAAATAACGGCCGGTCAACGGACAATGTCCGGCCTGATCATGGACTTGACCGGTCAAACTCTCATCCTGCCGGTCATTTTGACCGGTTATTTTTGGATGCGAACCTTTTAAATATTTTCCATACAGTTGCCGCTTTAATGCGTTTTGCTCTATAACACTGTAATCATTTTTTTTTCTTTGCCTTTTTTTCCATGCTTTGCACTAAAACTTTTAAAGAAAACGAATGCCGCATTAAATTCCATGTTGAGTTGTGGAGTAACGCAACGATGCTGCAGGTCGTACTGTACTTTCTGCTTTGCTGTGATTAGTAATGTGACCTTCTTTGGGAAAACATACACGTTATATGTTAGAAAACTAAAGGATAGCTAACGGTTTTTGTCAATCTAACGTTTCACATCTACTTGTAAGAGGATTGTGAAAATCACCTTCGACGGAATTCGGGTTAATCGATCGCAATTCTCCACGTCCTGTACTGTTTCTCCGGGAATAAATTTTAGGGCATCGAGTAATTATATATAATTTCTTTATGTCGAACATGAATCTCGTTTGTGAACTCGATTGCAGAATTGCCCGATAAAAATTTAAGCTATTAATCGAAAAGGAACGTCGCCTATCTAGGCGCTTAAAATCCTCCTTCTTGTAAACAGCTTTATGCAAATTTCTGTAGATGTTTATAATGAGCCCTTCGTGATAAAGTGTTGCGCGATGTACGACCCAAACAAAGGCTCTGCTGTATATTTACTGACTTCTGATGATAAATACGCTGTTTGTGGAATGGATTTCTCGCCAGAATCAACTTCTTTGCTGAAAATATTTAGTGGAGGAGACTTTCGATCACCTGCCGGGCAACGAAAACGATCAACTTTCACCGCAGTACGATGATAGTCAAAGTCGAAGTATATATTTATCGGACATGAAAGTGGGGGAAAACCCCGGAGAGGAACTCAACAACTTGAAATGAATTTCACTAACTTGCCGCAAAAAACCTGAACGTCAATGCAGTACAACGATCTATTGCCAGCGTAATTTGATATTCCATATAAGGCAAAAAAAACAATTATTGTATTCATTATTTGACCGGCCAAAATCCGGGTTTGTCCGGCCAAAAAAATATTTGGCCGGTCATCATGACCGGCGACCTACTGTCCGTTATTTTGAGCCCTGCAATGTATCAAATGCTCTCATAATTACATAATTCTGTTTAAAAAAAATTGTCATTTCTGAACAGAATGAAGACGTGCCCTAAACAATAGAGCTACAAACTTTTGCTGTGGTGGTTCTTTGGTTCATGATAATGGTCATGAAAAAACCTTGATTTATACTGTTTCAAACAGTTTGATTTTGGATGCTATTAAGTACCATCAAAATCAGACTGTTCAAACAGTGTATCTCAAAATAAAGCACTCAAGTAACTTACCTCTAGTTAGAACTCAGATTGTTGGTAACTACCTTTGTCTAGTCTTTTGTCTGATTAAAATTGATAATCGTTAAGGTAGGAGGACAGAGAAGAAATTACACCAGAGTAATGTATAAGTAGTCAAGTTAATGACTTTAGCAATGAGTTAATAAGTAAAGCAAATGCAAGCTTCTAGTTCCTTGCTCTCTTTACTGTTTAGTTACCATTTAAGTTTGTTGTAATGCAATAACGTTTTAAATCCTATTATCTCTGTTTCATGTACTGTTTAAAAAATGAGCAGGAGGGTTTTATCAGGTTTAAAAGCTCGAGGCGAAGCTGAGAGTTCTAAGATCTGATAATACACGACTGCGAGTTTTTTGAACGGCTTCAAAATCTCTGATATGGATCAACTCATTCTTGCACTAATATTTAGATTTGGGGTTATTTTGGTTGAACAAATTGGATGTAAAGTTTAGCCATGTCTTTATCAGATCTAAAGACACTCATTAAACATTAATTTCTTTTCTTTTTCCTTTATGAATTATTAATGAGTTTTGAATGAATCTTTTCTAGTTTACTCACCGTAAATGTATAGCAGCTTCCTTGCTTAAAAGCTGTTTTTTTCATATGGTTAATATGTTTTTCATTCCTCCTATTACCTGTTGTTTATTTCTTTAAGCATCAGTGGGAAGAGTGAAGTTCTATCATGTCATTTGTCAAGCTGTAAATGTGTCAAGTTCTCTTTTTATATTGATTCATATTACACCTGCTATTCTACTATAGATTCCTTCTTCATCCTCTGTTGATGCGCTGATAGATTTTGTTTGCAAAGCAGCTACTGAACTTGAAAGCTCAAGCAAGGTAATAACAACTCCTCCTTTTTATTCGCCAGCTTATACAAGGAAAATATTGGAAATTAAGCAGTTCATCAGATTTCACTTGGAGGCTTTTTTTTTTCAGGCAACCCCTCATTTAACACTTTAAGCCCCAAAATCCATTCACAACTTCTCCAGACTGATGTTGATTTATTTTCTTAAAGAATCAGAGAACTTGAAAAAAGATCAAAGCATTTTCCCTCTGGTGATCATTTTATTAGTAGTATTCCTCATAACTTTTACTAGTAGTTTTTGGAGAATATTGATGTTGGTCACTCAGATGACTTAAGGGGCTGGAGGGACACTCTGACTTTTGACTTGCACAATGATTACGTCCATGACAGAGCATCTTGGCATTGCGCTAATATTGCATGTGATGAAAGTCCTTGACTATGACAATCCTAGTCTTGAATAACTACAGACATGTTAAAACTGAAAGGAGGGTTTTGTCAGGAGTTACCATTTGTCCCCCTCTCCTTCCATGTTCAAATTCCAACCAACCTATAGACTGTTGTCTAACAGTCTGGGGAATTGATGTCACCACTTCCCTTTCTTTACTGAGTATACATGCAAGATGCATGCTAAATATAAGGCTTTATTATTTGACCCTGTAGTATTTAGAACAGATGGCAGATGCTATACAGAAAGGTATTGAAGCAGCACAGCAAGACTTGGTGAAAGAATCTGAGGAAAAGCTCTTAGAGGAGGTACAGATTTCATGTTCTCCAAGTAAACAAACCTCTGCAAATGAAAAATCTTTTTATCACCATAAGAACACTATTTTACTGACACTTTAACCCTGGAAGAATATTGAACTAAATGTTGAAGAGAGAAATGGTCAATCATATTATTTTGTATATCATATCCATCAACTTATTTTGGTTCAGACTGAAAACAATGCTTTCAAAATCAGGTTCACTAGCCTTGCTATTCAAGTGTATTACTTGCACTTTCAAGGCATGTAAACCGAGATTGATTGCTACAAATTTCCTTGATACAAGTAGAATTTACATTGTAACGTAAAAGAATAAAAGTACATTTTATATCTATGATTTATGTGATGCAAATGTACATTTTCAGCACAAGAAATAACCTCTGGACGTTCATGATCATTGTTGTGATGTCACACTTGAAGTCAAAAAACTCTTTTTAAGAAGTTTTGAATACAGGAATACGCTGTAACGTATTATTGTTTGTTGTTTGTTTTTTTCTGTAGGGGTTATTACGGCAAGTTCCTCTAGTAAGTTCTCTAATGAACTGGTTATCGCCTCTTCCTGAAGAGCCCAAAACAATTGGAAGGGCATTCAATTTAACATCAGGTGAGTCAGTCTTGTCTTATTAGAGAAGAAAACATGTTGCAAAAAATATTTATTGCGCTTGATACTAAATTGATAGGTGCAAGAAAATTGGCAGAAATCTGTTTTTGGATCATTAAGATTAGTCTGAGGCTATGATCACTCAGCATGAGGAAATTCTTGTGTGGGTGAAAAATTTGACCAGACACTTTGTTCGCACGGGACCATACAATAATTTTGCTCTGTTCTCAGGGAACTTTGAACAGGTAGGTGTCTAAATTTTGGCGTGGTTAAGGTTGTTTTGTGTGAATGGAATACCTAAACACACAACCAGGCGAAAATTTGTTCATTGCCTTGTGAACGTAGCCTGAATTCCTTTACTGATGTGGCTCACTGCAGATTCTTTAGCTGCGTATGAAAGATTTGATAGGTGATGAAATTATTCCGAAACAGTGATGGGATTTCTCAATGTTCTGTCAGGTTCATGATGAACTCCTCTATCCATTGTTTGTTAACTATAGGCCGTTGTGTTCTAAAATACCTGGGATACATGAATTTAGCCCCAGTGAAAGAACACTCTGACATTGTACCATGCTAAAAGACCCGACTTAGCCAGGGTTTGTAGATTTAGGGCTGCCCTCGGATGAATTCCTTGTGGCCATGGCAACTTATCTTGGTGTGACTAGGAAATTAGTTAAGCTGGCAAAGTGGGCATCACTTTTTGAGATACGAACACCTCAGCACCCAAATTTCCACAGGTCAAAAATTCGTCTGGTGCCGTGTGAATGTACCCTTAGTATTATTCATTTTGGGCTTTTGCATTCTCTATAATAATTACAAGAAAGCAGGCTGACATGCAAAATGTGCTAGATATCAAACATCTATAAAGTTCTCATCTTGCTTATTACTATTAAATTTCAGGTCATCTACACAGTACAGAAAAAATATACAAATACCACATGCAAGTCCAGGATGATGATGAAGAAGAAGAACCAGAGCCCCTTCCAGTGACTCCAACAAAATCATCACCAGAAGAATCACCAAAAACCACAGAATGAATATTACCATACTCTATTCACAATGTAATATTGTAAAATAGGCATCAAGAACAATAGTTTAACAGCCAGATTTAAGAACTGGTATTAGATGTGTTAATAGGGAGCTTAAGCAAAGACGATGACAACGGTAGTGAAAACGTGACTAAAAAATGAATTTGCGTCGCATCTATCTGGACCTGCTCATTACAGGTTGAAGACAAGAGAAAGGAGGAAAAAATTTGTTATCACACGTTCATGTCCTCCATGAAATGTTGCATTGGGAGGTTTCACGTCGTAATCGTGCAGTGGACATATCATAGCAATGTACTAAAAAGCATGATGCATGTGCAAGACTGTTGTTTCGCTCGTTGCTTTTTGACATTTTCATCGTTGTAGTTGCTTGACCTCCCTAATAATGGTAAGACAACTGTACTTATATGGGTGTAGAGTTGTCTCTATTTTAATCAAGTAAACGTTTCATTGGCAAAGTTAGTCAGTATGTCCAGGATTTAATTTATTATAAGGAAGTATTTAAATGGCACTGAATGTTTCAAATAATGCCAATGGTAGTTAATTGAGAAAGTAAGAACAATTTTTACGGTTGTTAAATTTGGGCAAGTTAGCAAGTTGCACCCTTTATAGTGACAGTAGTACTGGCAGCAAGAATTATAATAATTACCCAGTAAATAAACAGGGGAGCCACACCTTCAAGACTACATATGTCATGCTCAAGGTGTTGTTTGACTGTTGTGCTTAACTTTGTTTATAATAAAAGCTTCTGTTGGCTGCCTTCTTACCAAGTACTGACATGCCTCATCTGACTCCCAGACATTCACAATCAGTTTTTACTGAATCAAAGTAATGTTCAGTAGAAAACCATACTCCATACAAAGAGCCACTCAAAAGACAGTGCCCTGCAACATCTTAGTGCCCATCCAGTTCTTATGTGTATTATTACACATCTTTTCACCTCATTGAGGGAGAAGGAATAATATAATATTATGTCAGTGCTAAAAAAAAAATACAGGTATACTTGGTAAAATCTTTTCCTTGGTAAAGTAGATGTAGAGAATTTTTAAAAACATTTTTTTTTTCTGTTAGCGTGGTATTACTGCTTTAGAGAAATTGTGTGTTGCCAGTCTTCAGGGCCAGGTGTTCAAAGCCGGGTTAAGATAACCCAGGGTTAGTGGGAAATTTGATTTCAGATATAAAAGCTGAAAAAAGCAAATTCAGTTTAATTCTTTTTGTCTACAATTTGACAATTGGATGTGCTAAAAAGAATAGAGAAAATTATCCGACAGAACTCTTTGGAACAAACAAAAAAGAGACGCGGATTAAAATTAAACCCTGGGTTGGTGCTAATCGGCCTTCGAATAACTGGGCCCTGATTTTATTGATTTACAGTTTCCAATATTTTAGCTTTTATTATGCCATGTGGAAAATTGGCTTGTGGCTCAACTGAATCAACTCTGACTTGGTATTAAAATGGGTGCTCTGTTATAAAAGAAAGTATAAACAATACCCTGAGCTTTAGAAAATTAAGTTTAAAAAAACCGAAATATTATTTTGGCAGAGTTGTGGATGAGAACAAGACAATTATCATTTTTTATCATGTTTAGTCTTCATTAGTAATATATGTCATGAATGAGCTTCTTCCATTAAGAGATTCTTGGCTAAAGTAACAGTACTTTTGAATCTATACATGTAGTAAAATATTAATGTAAACAGTTGGGTTCTTAAAAGAAATAAAGCAATAAAACAATATTACTCTGTTGTTGAATTTTTTTTTAAATACAGGCTTTGCAAACAGAGAAATTTCAAATTTTAACTTCCAAGCTTAACAGATTCGCTCCTGGAGATTTTGCTGAGAAATGCATTTTGAAGCTAGTTGACTGGTTCTCTGGTCACTGTCGTGCTACAAAGAGCTAAAACTTACCACAAAACCGTTTACAGGTCGTACAGATGCGAACTGTTAGCTTGCGAAGTTCGGGCATGCACAGAAAGCAAAATTTTGCTTTCCCTCCTCCCCTCTTTTTTCGCTTTTCTTGCCTCATTTTTTTTTCTGTTGCTGGAGATTTAGTAGGCTTCATTTTGGTGGGAAGAGTTTTTAGGAAAGCTTTTAGGATCTTAGGATACGGTGAAAGGAAAGGTAGGTGGGCAATGGAACAAGATGTTCATGGAGATTTTCAGGTCAATGTTACATGGTTTTTGTCCTTTTTTTCCGGTGTCCTTGACTGAATTGTGCTCATTCTGGTATGGTTTAAAAGATCTCTTCCCTCTGCACAAGTTAGCGGACAAAGTTGCCCTTGACCGTTAAAACTGATGATGTCACAAGCGGTAGAAAGGGCGTGGATCCGCATGGGTGGTTACAGGCAGCTCAGGGGCGAATGGGTTAATCAAAAAACCTAAAAATCACCTTTTATCGACTTTTTCACCAGATTTTACATTAAATAGACAGATTTGGTGGTTTTATGCTGAAAAGTGGATTTTTCTCAAAAAACTTGGTACTTTGCTTAAAAAAGCAACAATTTTCTCTGGAACATGAATGAGATTTCAAAGTGACTACAAATACTGTTTACTGAAAATTGCATCCAAGTTAAAAATGGTTATCTAGATCTACTGACTCCTTTCTGTTCTTTTTAAGATGGTCTTTTTATCTAGCCTGTGGACTGTATACATAGACTATCTTATTTCATTGTTTTATAACAAAATAATAAGGGAAGAAAAAATATTTAAGGTACTAATGTTTTAGTGCAAACAAAAAAGAAAGGGGGTCACCGTTCTCGATTAATTGCAAAAAGGCAACAGGGATGATTTCAGCTTCAAATGGTCATTTTGCGCCAGGGGACTGGGGAGACTTTCAAGAAAAACACCTTTTCAGCCAGGTAGAGTTATCAAAATCACTATAAAAACCATTTGGACTTTAAAAAGGGCCTTTGTAACTTCTTTTTAGGTGACCGGTGAAAATCGCTGCCAGCTATGAAGTTGCAATGTCATGCACAGTGGGTGATGTGCGGTGCAAGACAAGGGAATTACCTTAACACTGTAGATAACATTTTATTTTACATGGATTCCACATACATGTTGTCCTTGAGCAAATAACATAGCATGCAATACATTATTAAAAAATGAAAACACTGTGTAATAAACTGGGATCATCTTATGTTTTCTGGAGTGGCATACTCATTATCTGCGTCACTCCTATGAAGCTGTTGATAGAAAGAAAATCTCTTGTTAGACGACTGTTAACTGGCAGGAGGGTTGAGTGTGTGAGGGAGGATTCCCAACTGAGACAGAAAGCAGAGAACATGTTTTTCTCAGTTTGAGTACATAACCCAACAACTGTAACACTTACTGCAGATGCAATGTTTATCCACTGCATGGCTTTTACAACTGCATCGTTGTTTGAAGGTGGAGTCTCCAGATTCCAGTAGGTGAACTGTGAAAACTTGTGAGTAGCTTTCATCACTCGATCCTAGAAACAGGATAAATGAGTGTAGCAAGGCTGAAAGCAAAGCTCTCGTGGGTACTTTTGAGAAATGTCTTTCTAAAGTAAAGTTTTCTGAGCCTGCAATCTTGAATACCTTAACTAGTCAGCAGAGAACTTTAAAAAAACATGTCACCTCAATGGGTTGTACACCTGAGCCAGTGATACAGTCATGTGACACCAATCAGTAGGTACCCTATTCTGACAGCTGTCAATATATCATAACATGGATGTCCAACAGAACAAATTCAACACAATTTGTTAACAGAACGGTCGCAAGGCTGTTAAGCTAATTCAAAAGTTATCACCAAGGGAGGAACTACGTGCTCCAGTCCAAAGACTCACATTATCTCCAGAAAAACAAGTGGCAGTTAAAATTCATGAGCAGTCATGACTGAGTCACATCGCAATTCTCCATAGTTAATGTAGTTTTAGTTTAAGCTGCAATCCATTCTTCGAGGTTTGGACATCACTATCCATCCTGCTAAAAACGCTAACGAGCTGGGCCCAGCGTGACAAAACATTGCAGGAAACCGTCACATTCACGGCCAAAAAGAAAATCGCTTAAAATTATTCAGATCCAGGGGGCGATCGCCGGAGAAATTAAACAACCCAAAACCCTTATTTAGCCGCATTGAAGAGCTGTATTTTTCAAAAGAGGTAAAAAAAAAATGCTCTTGCGTCAGAGGGCAACTCATGCCGACCATAAACAATAACCGCAGAAAATTAATATGCGTGTCATGACCTCTCAGTATGAAATAAGCGGCACAAATCATATTTGCTCAGTCAAAACGGTTTCCTCCAGAGCATAACCTACCTGTCAGAGAAAAAAAATTCATTGGAACAAGCAGCATTTTGGCATGAGTAAAAGTCGTGCGTTGCCTACACTATCAAGTTCTTCACGCGAAACAGTCGTGAAGAAAATTAGTATCTGGGTTTTCTTTTGCATGCAATAAATATCCCCCGCAGTTTACCGATGACAAGAGCAATGACAGCTCAATAAGGGAAGGAATCCCATTGGATGCGCTTAATTGATTTGGAAGGGGATACGAACTTCACACTCCCAAATCAGTCAGCCGTGAAGGGTCAAAAGCTTGGGCTTTGTCTGTAGTCCCTCATTTTTCTCTCTCCCCGCCGTGTGTCGCCTTTTCTCGCGTGGGGTGATTTTCACGCGCGCTCGCGTTTCGCACGGTCTACTATCCCTGAGGAAAAATGGGGGACCACTTGTAGTCTACACAATTTGTATGCCTTGGACTTTTAAAAAAGGTAGTAAGTAAGGCACTTCACATCCGCTATTAAACATGAAGGAGCAGACATACGTACCTATAAGTATGTACAGACAATTTTGTTAGAACCAAAATTCTTGGATGCGTAGATAGGCAAATTTTCTTTCCCATGGTGTTCTGTTGTGCACTTCGCATGTAAGAGAGCTACGCTATTAAACTATGTTGTCAGAAAGACTCTCTTAGTTGAATAACATGATCATCAGAAAAAAGCCTTCGGCCAGTCTGACTTCTTTTAAACTTGAAAGAGGCTAGAATTTTAATCACATATTAAAAGATTTGTATGCAAGAAGTTTCCCTTGAACAAGTTGAATGGAGCAAAAACATGATCCCCACTAAATGAAAGATGTTTTATCTGTTGGCTTGAACATGACTTCAGGAAGGTCCAGGCTAGCATGTATAGAAAGTAGTGTCTGATAGCCCAGGGTTGGTGGATTGTGGTATGGGGTGAGCGGATTTTTTTCTTAACTTGCCCGACGGGCAAGTAAAGATTTTTGAGGGAATTCAAATTACAGAAGAATTATTGTAATCAATCCTGCACTGCCTGTAAAAAAAATTTTCTGGGCTAGTTAAAATGCCTCTTGGGGCTAGTGCATGCTAGCTACCTGGCAAGCTGTAAAACTGACTTTCTTTGTATCCTGAACCCTTTCACTCTTTTTCTTTCAATTTATTGGGAAGTAAAAAATATTGCTTCATTCAGCAAAAATCCCAATAGAGTGAAGAGTAGACTTGGTTTGTACAAAAACTGTGCTTGAAAAAAATGATGTTTTTTGGCAAACCAGGCTTCTCTGGCAAATAGGAATCAAGTAACTAGTCATAAAATGATATCTTCTATCTTACCTCCTCCTCAGTGAAAGGTCTTTTCTCTTCCTTCATCACATACCCCATGTAACCCACCGGTAGATTGAGAACACAACCTCTCAAACCGCGCCCTCTGAATGATGCGCTCAAGGCTAAATAGAACAGGGAAAAATTCAACATTCATCATCTTTTATATACCAAATTTGATAAATTCTTAATTGATTTGTATAGAATGGGAAATAGGCGATGTGAAGTTAAGAGTAAAGGTCTCAAAACAACTATTTTAATAATATTGTTCATTTGGTAAACCCCTTACCCTTTCAGTTATATAACATTTTTGACAGAAAGGGCATCCCTTTTGTATACCTTCTATTGATAGATTGTACCCACATACCTAGTTTAGAACGTTGCACTGCTTTTAACTGCTGTGGTAATGTACTGTCTTTAAAATATGAATAAATCTCAAAACCAGAACGTTTTCTCAACTTTTCCTCAGCCATAAAATGCACCTGTTAACCCTTTTTAGTCTTTTCACAGACTGAAATAACAGATTCCCCTACCATTTCATATACTTCACCTGGTGAAATTCCTACCCTTTCATATACCTGTATCCTGAAAAAGGTGCCGCTTTTGGGAAGAGCCTCCTGTAAAAATAAATGGTGATTTATCCACAGGATAGAAGGAGTTCTAACCCCTGCCATCCGTGGAAGGGTTCCAGCACTCACTCCCCACCCACTCCTCCCCAACACAAAGAGGCCCACCTCAACACAAAGAGGCCCGTTTCGTATACAGTGACATACCCTTAACACTGTTTTGCACTCCTGAATTCGCCTCTTCCTCTCGCACAGATGTATCAAAGTAAGATGCTACTTGGGCCTCTCCATCATGTTCGATCTCGCAAGCCATCAAATGAATTCGGCTCGACTCTGGGCAACTGGAGATCGAAGACTGGGAAACACTGATGTTACCAGACGCCATATTGAATCAACCAAAGTATCAATCAAATGACTGCAGCGGTGATCGACTGGGATTTTCAAAGAAATAAACAGTTTTACATCAACCTTATAGCAAGCATCAGTAAAATATTTCCAAATCTACGAAAATATATGACTGAAAAGTTGCTGAAATCCACAAAGCAAAAAATGCGCGGGAAAATGCAGATAACATGCGACGTCGATTTCAAGCGGATTACTAGATCAGAGCATGCGTTTGTTTACGCACCGATTTCAAAATGGCGGATCTTCCGATGACAATTTTGCTTTGAAATATTTCATGATTCTGATGGGATGAGAAAGGTATGAAAAAATAAGTGGGTTTAGATACAACCGTACGACATTGCAATCAAGGACTGTCACATTATTTGTTGCTTTTTTCTTATTCTCTCAGGGTGGTGATACTTTCCCTGGAGCGGGATTTGGTCGTAGATCAACCGTTGGACGAAATGGTAAAATTATCAATAGTTACTTGAGACGTAGTTGATTTTAAAAGCAGGAGCAGGTGCTCTAAGCATGGTTGGAAGTTAAGGTGTACACCACGGAAGTCAAAGAATGTCTTTAACCAGTTTAATTCCACTGTGCAATTTATTAAATTTTCCAGCTGCTATTTAACGCAGTCATCAGCTGTGAATTATTTTTAGCGTGATAATCAGTGAAGAGAACTTTCACCACTGTTAGGACTGTGTGAGCTGCTTCTAGCTATAGTTTGTATTATGGCAATACGGATAGATGTATAGGCATGTCATCTCTCTCTGCCTAGCTCTGATAAGGGGCGAGCGTACCAATTCACCTAAACAGCTTGGTCTTATTATCTTAAAGAACATCTTGCCCACTATTTTCTATTGCGAATCACTTGTGTCAATAAGTTTAATGACAGGCATATTCTTTATCATTTAAAATTTATTACAGCTTCAAACAGAGCATCTCTGGATCAGGATTTAGACTCCATTTTGAGTGGTGGCAATGATGGTAAGCACAGGGTTGTTTCTTTCATTTGAACTATTTCTTGCCGCTGTGAAAAAAACTTCTTCCTTCCTTTAGCTATCCTTTTGTGTCAGTCAACAGTTTTTACTCTAGATCTGCAGTTTAGCTGATTCATTACATTTTAATTTTATTTTCCTGGCTTTGTTTTTGGGTATGGCAATGAGTTGAGTTGTATAATAATGAGTTTGAAAGGAATATAGAATTTGAGCCAAGGTTAGAATTCAACAAGCTCACTTTTTTTTCCATAAATGTTGTGACAAGCAGATAAAGCCAGCAAAATTCCTCACTCAAGTTCATTCCTAGAAGTACCCAAATATAAGCCAGTCCTTGTTCTTAAAGTAGCCATTGACAGAGGGGTCATTAAGGGCCAATAGCCAGCCAAAACCGCTGGCTAGTTAGCCATCTTTAGCCGGCTACTTTCATCTCCTTCTACCATAACTGCTAACAAAAAAGAAGCACCATCGAATAACATTGTAAAGTAACCGTTTCCCAGTTTTGAATGACATTGAACACAGGTTTAGATCTGAGAAACATTTGAACTGTGCCATATTGTGGAACACCTGGGACATTTTGACGGCATTGTTCCCAGTGTTGTGTGTATTACAACGAAAAAATATGGCATGCGGGATGGAAAATACCTCTTGAAAACCCCTGGAAACGCTATTTGCGAGACTCTAAATTTCAAAATGTCTCTAGATGCCTCAGCCCTAACAAACTTGTGCCTTTGGTGCGAGTTCCAAAGCTGCCTACTATTCATTATCAGCCTGCTTCTTAAAAACTTTTTGACAGCCCTGCCTCATAGTTTTTTATTATAATTAAGTAATGGAAAATCAAACTGTTTCATGTTTGTTCCAGAGGTCTTCTTTCTTTCTTTTCTTACTGGTTTCTAACGTTTGTGTGTATATTGTGTTGTTTACATGACATTTTTGATGCAGGTTTCCAGCAACAATCCAAAGGGAAGGGTTCTGTTGGTAGTCACACTACAAGATCTGTAAGTTTGTGTCAAGTTCTCTTGGAGATCAGAAGAGTACACAATAATGTACTCATTCAGAATTGTCGTTTTGTGATACTGTAATACCATTCAGTATTTCTGATAGAATTTAGTAAGCATATTATTTTCTTCTTTCTTTTTGCCTCTAGGCTCCTGGCAAAAAAGGGTCCTTAACCTCAAAGTATGTAAATATTTAAATTAATTAACAATTAATGAATGAGGCTGAGTATCTTATGAAGAATTAAGGAGATCGAGGAGGGTGTTATCACGGCCGAGGCAGATAACACCCTCCGAGATCTCCATAATTCTTCATATGATATGAAAACCGAATTCAATAATTGTTTTATTATTCATTCAAAATAATTCCTAGTTTAAAAACATAGCTAAAACAAGCTTACCTGTATCTATGTTAAGTTTTTCTTCAATAGTTTACGTTTAGGTTTGTCCAACTCCGCAAATATTCTCCAGATATTTGTATTTGTGTTAGCATGGTGACTAAACCTTGATTAATGTTATTCATCTTTCAAACAACTCTGCTTTGAGGTATAATTATGCACCTTTTTATTCTAGTGCAACAGATGAAGATTTTTACAGCAGTTTAGCACAGATGGCTGGTGAAGATTTTGATGGTGATGATGATGATGAGGTAACTAAAATGGGTGTTTGTCGAGTCCATGCTTGTCTACAGGGATGGTACAATGGCTTTCAAATCCCTTAAGGGGATTGGCTCCAGACTATCTAGCTAAAAAAATTCAAAACAAGGTCTGAAATTCAAGCCAGAGACACATGCACTGAGAGTAAGATTGACATTCCAGGGTACAGAACAAACGCGGTCCAAAGAACCATCATTATCAGGCCGTTTCATTGTGCTACTCTTTACCCAAAAGGCTCACTATAAAAGCAAAATTCATTGTATTATGCCGTGCGTTTTGCATATTTTGGGTTTTTGTTTTCCGTCAATCATCTCACCAGACTTCTTAGGAAACACATATTTACTTGCACGAGTTCAAAAGGATTCGTGATTGGTGGATTTTGATCCGTTTTGTTTGTTTCGCGTTTCAAGGTTCGTTACTTTGTGATCGTCCTGTTTCGGGCAATATTCAACTAGTTAAGTTTGCTTTGCAGATTTTTAAGATCTTTCTCATTCTTGTCACTTGCAAAAATAAAGCAACATCTGCCTCCTTTTTTAATACTTTGACAAAAAATCCACTCACCTGCGCGATTTCCTTCGCTATTCTTGAGCAGTCTAGAGTCATTCTCAGCCAAGCCGGGTGAGCATGTTACATTGTGATTTGCATTAACCCCGCCTTCACTAAAATTATTGACAGAACAGAAAAACCAAAAATCCTCTTTAAGTTTGCAAAACACGCAGTGCGATACAACAAATTTCACGGTAAGTTAAGAAATATTGTGACATTCAAGAAGGAACTTATACATTATTTCAAATTGTCTCAGTAAGCAGTCTATGTTTTTTTAAGACAGGGGTTGCTTACTTTTCTCTTTGTAATGGAGGGAATAAGAGGCGATGTTATTTATACCTTGTGAACATATAGTCTTATTGTTTTAGTTTTTAATTTTTTTGTACTTTTTAACAGATATTTTTCTTCATGAAATCGGTGTTTATTACTTTGAAAAACCAGACTTGGAAAGTAATAAAGTTATTGTTATTATTATTAATAAGTACACTGCACATGTATCACACTTTAAGTGATATTTCTAAAAACGAAATTTATTGTAATACAGGATTCATACTACTCTCGGAATTCCTTGAAAACATCTGGAATTTTCAAATTTCATTTCATACCCCAAGAAAACCCCTTGAATATTAATGTTCAAGGAGTTTTGCACCCTGGGATTTTCTGATCATCTTAGAAGCACAACATTATCATGCTCCTAGAAAGGACGAGAAAGGTGAAAGCTTTGGGAAAAAAAAACAGGTTGTGATATCAAACTTTTCATGCTTACTTGAAATTATACTTACTAACTTTCATTTGATTGTTTAGTCATTTTCAGAAGCAGATGCAAAGAAAATGGCAGACAGCCTTGCAGTAAGTATTTGAAACAACATTTACATGAAGTTTTATTTCATTTATATTTTGTTGTACTGATGTACTTAAATTTGCTATTTCATCGATTTTCTTCAGGGACTAGATGATATGGAATCTGACCTCTTTGGAGGATCACTGGGAAATAAAGCAACCCCAAGCAAATCTTCTAAACCCTCAAAGGCTGCAGCCCCAGATTCCAAAGAAAAGCTGAAGACTGATAAAAATCCACCAACTTCAGGTGACCCAGCTGTAAAGTCTGCAAACAGCAACGAGACACAACCACGTCCTTCCTCATCAGCAAATGGTAAGATTGATTAACTGTGAATTTCCTGTAAATTAGAATGGCCAAATATGTTAAAATTTTAAAAAAAATCTTGGAACTTGGGGAAGAGCCTCGCCGTATAAAATTTTTTTGAGTACCCCCAAGAGGTAACATTAGACCTTCTGGGTCCCATGAAACCAGAGGTTAATGGGACTCAGTTGACCTCTTTGTATCCTTACTGCCAGACTTTGCATATAATTCTAATTTGTAGTTTTTATTTATAACAGCTGCTGAATCCTCAGAAAAAACAGACACAAAACGTGATTCTGCTATCACCAAGCCAAAGGAAGCAAATAAACCAAGAAAAAAGTTTGATTTTGGAGGTATATATGTGGTGTGGAAAACAATCTTTGATGAGGATTATTTATCATCTAAAGTTATTTGTTTTTTTTTAAGTATTGGCATGTTTCCTTTAGAGTTTGATGAGGATGATCCTTTAGCTGGTCTCTTATCTGATGAAGAAGATGATCCTGCTTCAAAGCCAAAGCCTAAGAAGACCTCAACTCCAAAGAACACTTGCTCTTCTGGAATCTCTAGTCAAGGTGTGCTGCTTGTCATTCATTATTTTACAATGTACAGTGAATTTCAAATGGTCCAATATACAGTTCAGCATCTTGCAAGTAAAAAAAGATCTTACTCTAGTGTAGTAAGTGACACAGGCGGCTTAGAAGAAAAAATCCAAGTATTTCCAACAGGAGTTAAACCTATGTCCTGCTGGTTATTTGTCCAGATGATCTACCACTAAGCTACAAGAGACTTGTTGGACCTAAGGTCACTAAACTAGGCTCTTGTGACATTGTACAGAAGCGCATTTTGACATTCGAGAGTCTCAGCAGTGTGCAGGATCTATGACACATGAACCTACATGTAGTTTAGTGGCCTTATCTCCTGAGTCTCTTGTAACACAATGGTAGAGCATCTGGACTAATACTCAGAAGGTCATAGATTCGAATCCTGTTGGAAGTACTTGGATTTTTTCTACTGAAGCGCCTGTTTTACTGACTGAAAAAACATCTCTCTCATAGATATCTGTAAGTAAGAGTAACCTCTTAACCTTGGTCCCTCTTTCTCTTGTCTTGTGAATCAAACCGAGGGGCTGTCCTGGTAAGCCAAAAGGGTTTACTCCTTGCTCTTTTAAGTAATGTCAAAATAGGTAAACATGCATACTTGTAAGTAAATAAATGTTACTTACTGAGGAAAAGATTGACTGATTGATTGAATGAACTTCTGTACATCACTGTGCACAAATGTAAGGGTGTACAATTTGTGCACAAACTGGTTTGATTCTGAGACCTTACTCTGTGTTTGAGACTGCTCTAGCAGAGCCCGGTGGCCCCTAGCGCTTAATTTTTGCTACTGGGTGACTAAGAAATCTCAGATTTTTCATAGAAATCATATGCTGGGCACCCTGGATTTCACAGGTTTAGAGAACTGGGCTGCCTCCTTTCAGGTTTTCTTAGAGCACAGCTTTGTACTCTAATTTTAGGTTCCATTGAAGAAAGACCAAAGTCCTCAAGAGGCCGCCAACCCCCCACACAGGAGTCTGCAAATTTACAATCACCCCCTGCTACACCAGAGCGTCAACCATCTGTCAGGGGGGAGAAAGCTGAAGAAGGAAGTGCACTTTCTCCTCCCCGCTCACCGGAGGCTAAAACAAATAGCAAGAGGGAAGATCTAGAATCTCCTAAGGGTACCCCTCAGAAAAGAGGAAAACAAACATCTGGTAAGCTTTGTGGTGTCTAAACGTTTAGAAAAATGGTCTTGTTTCAATACAAAAGGAAAGAGTGCCAGATTATGCATTTTTGTAAATAACCTTATGAATCAGCACACTCAAGAAAGTACTTCTTATACTAAATGAAAGAATCTTGGATTTTTCTGTATTTTTTGTTGTTGTTGCTTTTAGCACAGAAAGCGAAATCAAGCAAAGATGACATCAATTTTGATTCGGATGAAGATCTGCCAGGCCTTGATGATTCCACAGAGAAAACACCAAGAGATTCACCCTCGCCTCCCCCACGAAAGAAATCAGAACGTGCCAGTAGACGAAATAGCAAGGGTTCCGATGATATTTTTGGTGGTGAAGATGATTTGCCCGATACAGGTATTGAATTATTGAAATGGAGTAATGCAATACAAAATTCGCCAACATTTGACAAATTGAACGTGATGGAACAAGAGCGAAGAAGTTTGAAGCAGCGCAATCTCACTTTTTGTCTGACGTTTTTGCTGCTGCCACTACCGTAGATGCTAAAACTCCCTATTTAGTGAGAGTTAAATCGCACCTTTACGTCTTCTAAAAGTAGCAATTGAGTGGCGTGTTGCATTGTTATCCTAAACAGAGACCAGAAGTGAAAGCCCTTCAAGACAATCCCGATTCAGTGAACTGCTGGGTAAAAAGGAAAAAAATGAACCTAAAAAACAAGCTGTACCTAAATCACTGGATGATTTCATGGCAAATATCAGCAGTAAATCAAATACTGGATCAAGTGCAGCAAACAAGAAAGGTGTGGTACTATTTTGATGAAATTAATATTGCCTCTACAATCAGAAGCCTTGCGGCTCTTCATCAGATCCTTTAATTTAATTGGACCCGAGTTGTTTTCGGGCCAGGTTCCATTATTAACTTTGTTTGTTCATTGTTAGTTCCCGAGCAATCCAGTGTGGTCTTCCAAGAGCAGCTCAAGTAGTGTCCTTAACTTAGGCTTTTTGTATAGGGTAGTTAATTTAGGACATCTAGTAAAAGTACTGTATTTTTATTTTAAAAAAGAGGCTTTAAAGGCTTGTTTATAGTGGAAAGTGCACTTAGCTTATCCAGCTAGTTTACAGGCACTCCACTCAATTACTTAGAAACAAATAATTCAAATACAACATAACAGGGTTAAAAACCCCAACTGTCAGGAGGCAGCCAGTTGGCTATTTACAAGCGTGACCGAGGATTTGAACTCGAGACAACCGAGAAGAAATCCAGCAAGTGGCCAGAGCGGGACTCGAACCCGGGACCGCCGCATTGCGAGACGCGCTAACCACTCGACCACCTGGCCTCCCTGCCACCGTGCCTCTTTATAATGTTTAAATACCGTATACCATGATGAGAACCTAATTATGTACAATAATGTATCGTTCAGTTTCTAGTCCTACATCTGAAGAATCGTTCCAGTTTGGAGGCTATATGCCTTCAGCGGCCTCTAGTGGCTCATCTCGTAGCCGAGGAGGACTGGCCAGACCAGACACAGCCCCTAGCTCCAGCAAGCGGTCCGTGAGGTTTTCTGATGAACTGGGACTAAACGACGAACTGTTCGGAAATGAGCGACCCTCCACTGCTCCTGGTGAACGAGCAGACAGAAGACAACAGAGAAAAGAGGAGAAAGATGATACAAACACTGGATCATTGCTTGAGGATGACAAGAAACCACCTTTGGGAAGCAAGCAAACAAGGCGGCAACCAAAGGTTAATGGTGGGTGCACAAAGACAAAATGACTGATTTTGCTGTTTTTAAACTATTTTATACTATTACGTTTCAACGCAGTATAGACCGTAGGCAGGTGTTTGATTCGAAGGGGTGCGTGCGTGCAATAAGGCCTAACGTAACTCCTGATCTGATACCAAGTTCTTGCTTTGGTTTATGAGAGTGGTATCTTGGTATCAGGTATCTTTTCATTTGTAAGATTTTCAAAGGTGATGAGCTCCTAAAACCGCGAAGCAAAAAGAGTTTCTTACATTAAATGACGCTTGCACTGTATTTTAGTGGGTCGAGTTCAATTCGTAGCATATTGGAGAGGGTAGCTTTCATATTAGGGAGCTTAAGCAACTTGGCGTTTTTGAGACACGCTCGTCAACCGGAAGTCAGCTCTTTTGCCTTTTAATACGCCTTGAGTCTTTTGACGCTACCAAACTTGTATTGCTAAGTGTCTTTACTGGCTGTTATAGAGACGATTTGCCAGAAAATAAGGGTAGAACAACTGCCCAAGAGTGCGAAAGGCTACTTCCAGTTGCTGTGCGTCGTTCAATAACGTCTTTGCTGAAGCCCCCTATTATTTCACCGATCCCGTACCAGTTAATGCCTAAGAAGTAATGCTTTGCAGTTTCAGAAAGCAAAGTATAAGAGGCTTCACACCTCTTGCCTCCGAGACGTATCTAGCACTACAGATGTGTTTTTCCGAGTTTTGATTTTCTTGTTTTGGCCGGTCTTTTGTGATATTCGTTGATGAATGGCTCATGCAGATTAAGTGTCTGATCATGATATTTTTATGAATTTCAGAGAAAGATACGCCTGAACCAAAGAAGGATCCACAAGCTGAAAAACCTAAGTCAGCTCCAGCATCAGGTATTACAGGCTGTGATTCTTTCTTAAGTAATAATTCAACTCAATTGATGACGGTAACGTCTACAGCATTTTTGCACTAGGCATACGCAGGTTTTGACCAAATTTTAATTGGTCATTTTCGAGTTCCAAAAACTCTCACTTTATGCAAAACCTTTCTTGTGAAAATGAGTTTTCATTTACCACAGTAGAAACTGAGCCTAGTGACCTCTCGCAATGGCTTCTGGGACTGTTATTGGGGACAGGGAAAACAAATTGGCCAATAGCTGAATAGCGGGTCCCCAGTAACGATCCCAGAAGTCTTTGCGAAAGCTAACTCGACTCAGTCTCGTGCTCTTTTTTAAATTGGCTCAGCCTCGCTTTGAAACAGAGGTTTTATCGTGACATGGTTTATTACAAGGTACTCTGTCTGAAGTGACTTATATACTTACTAAAAACTTGAACTTAAGTGGAGAGCTTATTGTCAAAAACTAGAGTATGTATAAAAATATGAAAAAGTAATTGTCATATATATTCGTGCGGCTGAATAGCCAGTCCCTAGTTTTCTTTGAAAAATTGCTTTTTTTAAAAGTATTTCAGCAACCACTGAATTCTTAACGATGATCAAACACGAGTGAGAACAGTCCGATTCGGAAGTTAAAATGACGTAGCTCAAGATTCGACAGAGTCCATTCTTGAAGAAAATTCATTGATAACAATTGCATCTGTCTGCAGGAAAAAAAACGAGCGGAGGTGGTGCTGGTGGTGCGGACTGGCTGGGACTGGGAGGTGATGACGATGGAGGCCTGGATCTAGGCGCTGGTTCGTTAAAACCCAGCACACCATCTTCTCAGGAAGGCAGAAAAGATACGTCCACTGCGCAAGGTATATTCCTAAGAACTATTAATAAGCTATTTATTTTTTATTGTCATCCTACGTCCTACCTATGCGCTTATACTTTCACTGCAGTCACTGCATCACCTATCAATGGTAAAAAATTGTAATCAGCGAGACCCGTAAGACTGAAATAATGATACGAAGATGTTCGTTTCGAGAGAGCTTAATTCATGAAGTGTCCAATCAGCATGATGGGTAATAATGCGCAATGTCACGTGTACCCATAAACAGCTAAGCTCATTCACTCATTAGGAAATAAGCAGTTGGGGAAGAAAATGATGATTGGTCGGTGGGGGTTGGAAGGTTCTCTCATGTCTAAGCTACAAAGCTACATCATAATACGGGAGGTGTCACTATGAGGGCTATCCATAAAAGAAGAGATTCACAATGTACAGAAATCAACCATTTAGCCTCATCTGTTGTTTTCAGCCCCCCCTGATCGTCATGGCAGGCAATCATCACCACCTAGGAGAGCTGGACGGTACAGGGGGGAGGGCGATAATGATGAGTTCCTACGCATGCTAGGAATCACTCCTGATGAACCACCTAAACCAAAACAAGTTGAAGCAACTGATGAAGGCGGCAAGTAAGTAATTAATACAAGGACAACAATTTTCCACTCTTACCGACCATAGAAATGATGTCAAAATGTTAAAAACTCACGTGGAACCACGAACCGCAGGCTTAGTGGTTTGACGGTAAAGTTTTGAAAATATTGACGACCTCGAGGTCATTTCTATGGTCGATAACAGTATGGACCATGGAAAATTGTTGTCGATTTGTTTGCCGTTCCATTTTCGTTGACGTTTCTCGGGAAATCGCGCCCAAGAGAAAGAGAAAAGGCAATTGCTCCACCATCACGTCATTTCCTAGTCAGTACTCTAGCTCTCGACCAATCAGTGCGCGAAAAATCGCTCTGTTATGGTCAAAAGATTTTTGACCTCAGAATAGTCTGCATATGCCACCCTTCTTCCCCATCTTCAGCTAAATTATCTATACTCTAATGTGCATTTTGTTTGATTCAGCGATAAGAACTTTTGGTCAAAGAGACTTATTGAGAGACTGACCGTTTTATTGATAACTGATCCACGCAGGTCATCCTTGCTTCCATGGGAGTCGTCAGGAGGTAGTCCCAGGAGAGGAAGACGATGGCGTGATCAGGCATCACAGCAAAACTCCATAGATAAACCAGACAACGCATCCACCCAGGGTGGTCCTCTGGATAGGCCACGTGAAGAAGCTACGGACGGTGGACTCACAGAGAATGAAATACTGACGCAGAGGGGTATGGAAGATAAAAGAAAAGCGTCATTCAGCCAAGAAACACCGAGACCAGTTACCGAGCAACAGCAACAACAACAAGTTAAATCTCCACAGCACAATGCGCAACAGAATATTGTGGCTTCTACTCCGCCTGTGGTAATGCCTGAGTCAACTCCATCACATCCTGGCCTTACTCACCACCAGTCGCCATATGCAATCCAACAAGGTAACTTCCCTCCACAAGTGGCAGCCCAACCCTACACCCCTCAGTTGTATCATCCCCAGTATCAGCCCGCTCCTTTTGCCTCCCCTGCCAGTCAAAGTCTGCCCCAGTCCATTTCGTACCAACTTCAGTACCAGTCTCCTGCTGGATTCCAAACTTTGCCCCAGACCCCACCGGCCTCGTTACAGACCACTCAGCTCTCTCCCGGAATTCCCCAACCGTCTTCATTGGAGAGGCTTGAAATGTCGAAACTCAAAGCAGAAAGCGACCTACAGCAGAGCCGGTTGATGGAATACCAGGTAGCGAGTGAGTACCAAGAGCAACAAAAGACGCGTCTGGAGGAGGAGGTGAAGGATCTGGTGAAAAGAGTTCAAAATATGGAAGGCATCAGGCAAAAGAAAGATCTGGATGCCGCCAGTAAGATATCAGAGCTAGAAGGAAAGGTAAACAGTCTTTTTTTTAAATACCAGCCACTGAACACTTAGGAGCCTTAAAATTAGAACTATGTCACGGGTGTCCGTTCATTTTATTTAAAATGCCAGTTACGCGTCGTTATTCGCTACGGAACTTGAGAAATTACTTCTATTCACTGTCGCTGCGCTCAGCCGATTAGAAAATATTTCTGTTATAAGTATGAACAGAAAAAACGACACAATGATACATGGAGAGAACCGCCAAGCATTATATCAAACGTCACAAACAGCAAAAATAACTTTGAAAAACCTTAGGCTAACAAGGTATCAAAAACCACGCCAGGATCGCAATCCGTTTCCATCTTCCTCAGACTTGTCCATCCGTGCCTCCTTTTGTATTTGCTGTGTTATTTATACCATCTTTTAAAGTCTTGAACAGTTATTTTTATGTCATTTCACTCAGTTTGAGGGCAGCATTTTGATAAAATTCGTGACAGCTCCAGAACGTGGTCCTGCGTGCCAGATAGAATTGGAATTTGGAATTGTTAGGAAAAACTGGAGTATGCGGCGAAAAGCCTGTTGATGCAAGGGAGAGCCAGGAAAAGTCTACAGACAAAGTTAAAATTAAACCTAGAATAGGACAAAATGATCAGAAATTGTGAGCGGTTTATCATAACAAATGAGATAGAAGTGAGTTATCTGGCTCCAGTGGCGACTGTTTTATTCCTGTTGTTAGGTTCGCCGTCTGGAGCTTGAGCGGGAAGAACTGCTGACTACAATAGAGTCACTTAAGACGAGACACAAGGATGAAATGGCTAACATCGATACATCTCACAAGTAAGATAAAAACAAGATAGAAGATTAAGACTCATGCACAATTAACACGTGTTCGAATCTTCAAAAGACCTCGCAACCTCATTAAAGCATACTTCGCTTACAAGAGGGGGATTTGTAGAAAGTCTATAACTATGTTAGCAACCCCGCCACTGTAGTTGAGTTGACTCGGTGGTGTTGTGGATATCATGCTCAACTATAGCCTGCATGGCAGGCGTTAAAAGGGGAAGGGGGTCTCGCGCCCTAATTCCCTTCCCCTTCCCTTTCGAACGCCTGCCACGCAGGCTAGCTCAACTACAGACTGGTTGACGCAGGTTTGTGTCCTGCTCGGGAGAAAATGTTTTCTTTCTTTCATGAGGTGTATGCCGCCTCTAAGGTCTACACTGTTTCTTCTATTTCTTTTTCTCTAATTTATAAGATCACATTTGAAGACGCTGGAAGAGTCCTATCAGCGGCGAGAACAAAGACTCAAAGAGGAGACCGATCTCATCATCGCCCAAAACAGTGAAAAGTTTAAGAACCTTGAAAGAGAAAAAGCTGATCTACAAACTTCGAACAACAGAAAAATTTCTATTCTAGCAACCGGGAAAAACAATGAGATTGAGTCCCTAAAAGACATTCACCGAAGAGCTTTAGATCAATTACGTCAAGAGCACGAAGAGGAGATTGCGCAGTTAAGAAGGCTCAAGGAACAGGAGGTGTCAGCGGCGACAAGTGCCCATGCGCACACCAAGTCTCTTCAGTCTCTTATGGATCAAGTGTTAAACTCAACTCGTCAAGTGAGCGATTTGCGTCAAAAGATCGAGGTTACGCATAATAGCGGGCTGGAAGAGCGGGAACTCTCGGCGAGGGCCCGGGACGAGTACCTTAAACAGCTGCAGGAGAGGTTGCTTAGGCAGCAGTCGGAAAATGATGAGGAAAGAGCCAGGTTACAAGGCGAGTGCATTATATAGCGTTTGGGAGGTTCTCTTTGAAGGAACTACAGGCCCTTTGTGGCTAGATCATTCGTGTGGTACAAAGCCGCTGTGATGCACCGGGATGGATGAAACTATCCTATCCTATCTAGAAGCTCACACTTCATTTAAAATGCTAATTTCCTTTGTTTGTCTTGTTCAGTCCCAGTGTATCCCTTGCTCTCCAATGGTAGTTTTGTGTCACGTGAATGACTAGCTAGAAAGGGAAATTTCCGCGTGTAACTGCCAATTTTATCAGGAAACCGCATGTCAGTTTAGAAACCGAATTAGAAAGATAATACGCATATTTGAAGATTCGAATTTAGTGCAATCAAAAATAAATAATAACAATACAGTCAACCCCGCTTAACCCTTTAAGCCCCAATATCCACATACAAATTCTCCAAACTGATCTCCATACATTTCTTTCATGAATGAATTGAGAGAATTTGATAAAAGATCAAAGCATTTTCCCTTAGGTGATCATTTTGTTAATTCTCATAACCTAATCTCTCGACATTGTTTGGATAGTGTTGGGAGAAAATTGATGTTGGTCACTATTGGGACTTACAGTCAAACCAGGTCAAGCGTTCCCGTCGCTAACGAACTAATGAATTCATTCACGGAAAAATGATTTCTTTTGTTGATTCAATAATCCATTCATAAAATGAACAATCCAATATTCATATTTAGCCTCGATTCCATAATCGAATGTTGATTCGATTACTGTTTTTTGAAAAACTACACTTTCCACAAGTTGACCTCAGAATTTTGTTTTTTCCTCTTTTTTTTCTGAGAGTCGAGTGCCGGCGAGTTCTGAAGTTCAAACCCAAACAAACTGTTACATGTACGCCAGTTTGCTGCCAGTAATCAGTGCAACAGACCCAGGCCTGACCTCTTAGAAAACACAACGGTCAAACTAAGGTCAGTGTATGTGCGGTGATTGGTGGATTTCGATCCTCGGCCTTTGTCAGTTTCTCATAGTTTCTTTGCGTTTGCGGTCTGTCTATTCTAGCTGTTATTTTGATTAAAGGCAATGAAAAACGCAATCGTAAACGGCAGGAAAAAGGAAGCAAATACGATTGAACACAACAGACAAGAATAAAGAACAGGTAGATTTTGCTCATAAACCAAATCAACATTTGATTATTGAATCGAGGTCCAATTTGACTGTTGGATTATTCATTTTATGAATGGATTATTGAATCAACAAACGAAATTATTTTTCCATTAATGAATTCATTAGTTTGTTAGCGACGGGAACGCTTGACCTGGTTTGACTGTAAAGGGTTAACACAGGCACCTCATTATTACGGACAGTTTGCTTTGTCTCTCAGAAAAAAAAGACCCTTACATTTTCAACCGGATTTATACGGATACCCCGTAATTACGGACATTTTGTATAGCCCCTCCGTGTCCTTATTAACGGGCTTTGACCGTTAGTAAAGTCTTCTAATGTTTTTTTTTCTTATTATGGGTCCGATGAATTATTGGCTTGTTATGTACTATATAGGCTTAGTCGCTAAGATGGAACTGCACATGCGCGAGCAGACACGTCAAGTGGATCAAGAAAGATGGCGGCTAACACAGGAGGAGTCACGTTTAAAGGCTTTACAAGCTGCACTGGAAGATGAACGGCGTATCACTTTGGAACAGCTGTCTGCACAAAGAGCTGAGGTGAAAAGAGACGAGAATTATAACATGAATGTTTAACTTACAAAATTAGTTGTAGAAGTTGTTTCTGTTAGTCTGAGAACAAATCTTTCTGATATTATCAACGTTGTTCGTTAAAGAGAATGATGGGGCGGGGATCTGACATTCAGTGATAAGTTTGCAGGAGTCTTAAACGTCGAAAACGCCACTAAGAAAGTGACTTCTTTGAAACTTCTGCGCTTTGTCAAAAGTAGGATTTGATTTCCTGAGAAAATTAATGAAGTTCAAAAAGGGAAAAAGAAATTCGTGGTCGTTTGTTTTTTGAAATCGTGAAATTAGGAAATTTTACGTCCTAGTGGTGCAGTGACGGCAAAGAAATGTACCAAAAAGTGTACCGAATAGGTAAAGTTGTCAGTGTTTTTGCTAACCTAGAACCTACTGCTTGTTTGACGTTCCCGTTGCCGTCGCCGTCGTAAAGACTGGTTATGCGATGCTTTCTCGCGTTGTACTGTGAAATCCATGATCCCACGAGTGACTTGATTTTACTTAGTTTGGCGGGTGTGTATACAAAGAAGAATCAAGTCACGAGTGGGATATTCACGGTATTCCACGAGAAAGCATCCATAAGTAATTCATTCCATGCAATCATCACGACAACTAAAAACAAGATACATCCCCCATCAGAGGTAAACTCAAAGAAAGCCACTTTTAGTACTAAATGTAATCTGTAAACACCAAAGTCCAAATGGTCGACATAAAGTTAGTATTCCCCTCCCTCTACTATAACCTGCATCTGCTTCTGGTGGGATTTCATTGGGCTTGTTGTTTCGAAATTCGGATCCCGTCGGTCTTCGCAACGCTGGTTAACTGGTTTTTATTTGTTGCTCTCGGCTATTTAGTTCCTTAGCTTATTTGCCCGTTGTAGGCTTTTTGATTTCTTTTTGTATTACTTCTTTAACTTTGACTCCATAGAAGTCCGAAAGGTAGTTAAAACTCGGGTTTTACGGTGATTTTTAAAGATGCTTCTGGTAATTTTTGTAAAGTGAAAAGTTGTGGCTGTCGTTATCTGCTTTGTTTTTGGTGGGGAAAAGTAAAGGCCGCGAGCATCGCCGGGATTTTTGGGGAAATACCACCCGTTGCATACTGCAGATTATGCAACGGTTTTCTAGCTTTCTGATTGGCTGTATTCTTTATGGCATGGAATAAAACATTTTAAACTCTGTATTTCACATATATTTAGGTACAGCGAGCCCGGGACGATCTCGTGCGAGAACAGAGGAACACCATGAGTCAAATACAAGAAGAACGCAGAACGTTAGCCACCGAACGAGCCCAACTTTCATCGGCCCACAGAGACCTGATCAGCAGAGAAAAGTTAAAGACTGAGACGAGCGTACAGGTATCCAATTAACTTTTGAGAAATGTGGAGTTTCATAACACAAAAAGGGAGATCTGATACGTGTATCTCCGCGTAATCTACTGTGTAACTTGAGTTAACTTTCCAGCGTTTTCCAAGGAAAGGAGAACTGTCAACTTTTGTCATGTTTTATTCTTCATATCTTTTTATTTTGGGGGGTTATTACACTGTAATTGTATAGAATCTAGTTCGCGAATAGCGTGCATGTCCTTTTGCGCGCATGAATATCAAACGGATCAAACTGCCTCACTTACCCCTCTCCCAACGCAAAATTTACCCTAAGTGAGAGCTTAGTGTTAGCGTTGTGTTAGGGGAGGGGTAGGTGGGGGAGTGTCCGTATTGTGTGTAGTTCAGTTTTTATAGTTTATTGACCTTCATCTTAAAATAAAAACACAGGAAGAAAAAAAATCAAACAAAACAAACACTTAGACTTGGTAGCCACTACAGCGCAAAAAGCTTAGTGAAGTTCCATGCAAAAACTGAAAAGTCTCGATACGAGAAAAAAAAAGTGGAGAAGAACAGCGATAGACCAATTTTCAATATGTTAAATTCATACTTGGCTCCAAGGCTAAGGGGAATAAAACAAAGAAATCATTTTGAGGCTCAGCGATGAGTAATACACTTTTTTGTTTTATTTCCCCAGGCCTCGTAGCTAAGTATGAATTTTTATGTATCTAAATTGGTCTATTGAGAACAGTTTTTTATAGGTGATTTCTTGACCTCACCTTCTTTCTATTTAACATGCTCTTGGTTCTGCTCTGTTTGTTAATATTTCTTCTGTTCGCTCAGGCCGAAGCAGACCTTGGCGCCTCTGCAGTAAGGATTAAGGAAGAGTCCGCTGCCCTTAGCGTACGTGATGCGCAGCTTAAACAAGAAGAGGAGAGACTGAAAAGAGAGAAGCAAGAATTCGAGAGACAGCGGAGTGGATTTGATGAAGAAAGGGACAGGATTGGAAAACTAGGACTTGAAGTGCAGAAGCGGTCACGTGAAATTGATGAATTGTGCTCTGTATGTCGCTGTTCGCTTATTGTGTCTTTTGTTTTTCTTTCTGTAATTCATGTCGTTAATATGGTTATGATTATGATTATAATTATGTAGCAATTAGTTCGACATTTATTTCAAGGGTAATCAGACTTCAACCTTAAGGTACAGTGAAACGGGCAACAAGAGACATGCAACTTGTTTTGCGACATTGCTGCAAAACGGGTTGAATAGCGATGTTGCGCGTTTTACCACCCACGAATCAAAACTGTCTTGCAGCAAGTCAGGTTGTTAACAGGTTTGAACAAGGGTGGCAAAACGCGCCACATCGCTATTCAACTCGTTTTGTAACAATGTTGCAAAACATGTTGCACGTTTTTGTTGCCCGTTTTATCAAAGCTTTAGTAATCTTTATTGTTATTTACCCAGGATGCCGCTCGGGTGCGTGACGATGGAGAGCACGCCCTGGAACTAGCGGAACGCGTACGAGTGAACGCTGACAGTCAGCGGGCGGAGGCCGAAGGAATGCTGCTGGTAATACAAGAAAAAGAACGACAGCTGGCACAGGTAAACTGACTGAAAGATTTCGTACTTTTGAAATAAACAGTAAATTGCTAAGTTGTATAATGTTAAATATGTTATTTCATGTTAATTTTTTATTCTGGGATTTAAATACATACAAGCGTATTTTGAAAGACTACCCGCTGCGTACGAAAAACACGTCATTTTCGCTGCCTATATCGTCGTTTACTAGAGACTATGCCGGAATATAGTTTTTGACATAAGTCTGCTTTAATAGCCCACGGTCGATATGATAAAATTCTAACGTGACTCCGAGGCTTTAGGAACAAAATTTCAAATTTTTCACGACTCCATTGTCTCGCAATTCCCAGAAGAGACTTGACCGAAATAGAAAAATAACCAGAAAGCCTGGGAGTCATGTTAGAATTTTAATATATCGAACGTGGACTACTGGAGAAGAGGAGTGTTTTGCAGGCTTGATGACCATATTGAAAACTAAAGTATTTCGTGTAATTAACACCATTTTCAGTTTAACTTGCCTTTACCAACTCTTGTGTATTTTAGATATGTGTTAGGTATTCTTTTCATAATAGATGTCCTATCTCTTTCGATCTCTATTATCAGGACCGTCTTGCTATTGCGCATGAGCGGCGCTTGTTGGAGAAAGACAAACAGGCAGGACGGTGTTGGCAGTGTGAGGGACGGCGAACAGCTGCCGCTGAACAGATACATACTACAGGTTCAAACTCTTTATAACTGAGCTTAGCAAGGCTTGCTTTTTGGGGTTCGGGGGGGGCATTTTAGTTGAACTTTAATTTCTTGCATCGTTGTGGTTTTCTTGTTTTCCCTGTACTGTCCATTTCTTGCTTGTTTCTAACAATTAGAATAATGATCAAGGGATAATATAAACATAAATTATCTCGGGCATCTTTTAAGAATTGTAAATACATGTCGGTAAATAATATTCTGAGACAGAGCCTCTACTTCCATTCTAGTGCCTGCTCCAACTGGAAGATAGTGTGTCTGCTGTTTAGTTTTGTAAAGTAAAAACAGCTGAAGAAGCCTAATCAGCTCACGTACTGACTTTAAGATTTCATTACCAGACTGATCAAAACGTTTGAAATCAAGATGTAAGTTACTAACCGTGTCAAGACTACGGGAAAAACGCTGTTCTAAATTTTGTATTCCAGATTAGTTTCAAAGGTAATTCGACAGGGAAAAAGCCTTTAAGGCAATTAAATTCAAATTCAGTGTGTATTTTACCACCACAGACAAGCTTTAAAGAATATTTAACGTGGTAGCTCCAAAATATCGAGGTTAATACGCAAAATTTAAAGAACGAGTACTGGGTAGGAGACTTCAAGACTGAACCTTAGGGCTTATCCTAAGAGGTACAAGGTAAATTCATTTCAATTGAGTGCACGGACACTTACCCTATTGAATTGAGGTTGAGAAACTAGCAGAGAAGACAAAAACACAACCACAAACCTTTTTGTGAGAGCAAAAGAACGAAAAATTTTAAAAACAAAGTAACCCAACTTTCTGTTAACCATGTTTCAAGAAGTTAACGTACACTTTTTCTTTCCTATTCCCTTGAAGAACCAAAATGCCAACCATCCTTGGCATTCTTTGCGGAATTTTTGACGGGAAATGACATGCACTTATGTCTCTGCTATAAAACATTGTTTTGACAGTGTCTGAAAATTTTCGTCTGGTAGGAATTCACTCTTCACTTCCTTCCTTTACGCATTTTGATGTAGTGAGTTGCGCTGTTTATCTTGCTTTACAGACTCACCCGCAGTGGTTAGTCAATCCTCCCTCTTAGCGTCGGCTCCTGGAACGCCTGATTTGTTAGTTAACAGTCTGGAGTTGAAAAGAACACTAAGGAAATGGTCACATGACAAAGAAAAGGTAAAAGAAGACGGAATCATCGGTGATTGTTTTCCCGTTGATATTTGGTTTTCTCCTTCCCGGTCCTCCCAGGTGAACCCCAACTCCACCCGTTCGATAGCCTGGGCACTAGAGGGTTTTTTCGCGTCCGCGCGCGTGCGGCGGGAATCTTCCTCCGACGCCACTGGTCACAATAAAGATGTCAATAAAGACTTGACTCAAACTGGAAATCGCGCGTGCAATGTCTTTGGCACCCAGGGTACCCGTTCGATGCCAATGCTTTGTTGATATGTTTTAAAGCGTTAAAATATAGAAATTAAGTTCGCCATGAAAATAAAGGAGCGTGGCGTGACAAACCAACTAAAGACTCGGCGTCGGAGACTTACCGAGCACTATTCTGCAAGCAAGCCCACAGTTAATCGAATAGCAAATGGGCGGAATAGAAAAGCCTGAGAAGCATTAATAAATTTTCAAAATCGAAGGCTCCCAGGTGCGGATGCAAAAAAGTTAGAAAGGGTGGCGGGGGGGACTACACTTATCAGGTAAAGGTACTATTTATTTTACTTGGAATTCGTTAAAAATACGATAAAAACTCACAGAATTGGGTTTTGGGAGGGGGACGGGCTAGGCTCGGATTGCTCGGAATTAAAACATATCTTGCATTTTATTGTATCCCGATTGTAAGATGGTGGCTTGACAATGTTCACCTGAATGTTAATTAAACACCAAAGTGCTCGACATACTTCGCAAAATTTGCTAACCATAATTGTGCGCAATGACCCGAAGGTGTTCATAGGAGTAGAAAGAAATTAGGAGCCCGACCGAAACGCGCGTAACTTTGTGATTTATGTCCTTATCAAGACAGTCGATTAGGTCAATTGTCTATCACAAAGGTAGTGATTAGCTGACGTTTTCAACGGTAGCCTTGAGAAGGTCGATAAAGAGCTTCGCTCTCTTTACAGCGGGATTATCAACCTAAACAATTCAGTTGATTAAAAATAAAACTTTCATGCCACTTCGTTTATTTGCCGACTATTCGTTAACTTAACGCATGTGATGGTAATATATCTCAACTTTGCAGTTTTCAACCTTTCTCAGCAATCACCGATACCGTTCCACAAAACATAGCCGCTGGGAACGTTTCGCCCGAAACGTCGCCAGCGGCGAAGAGCGAGGAGAAACGGATGTTTTCGCAGGCTACTCAAAACACAACTCTTAACTGTGGGGAAACCTGGTTGAATAATGCAGTTGCTCCGCGTTTTCCCAATTATTAACTTTTCCAAGGTCAAAACAGTAAATTGATTTTACTTTTTTTATGCTTTATTTTTAGGATGAAGAATTCCTCGAGCAGGAAGCCCAGTTTCTTAACAGACTTCAGAAGTCACATGACACCAGCAAGCACAAATCAAGCTTGCCTCTTAATTCAACAGTTTACTAATAGTTTGTTGCGTGAGTCTCCAGAGATCGTTACAGAGGTTAGCAGCACCTTTACGGCAACCCGCAAACTACAGAGAGGGCCATAAGATTTTTAATGTATCCGGCAACGATGAAAAACTAAAAGTTTGCAATTGCGTTTTGCATGAATGTGAACTCATAGTTCTTCGTGTTCAAAACAGCAAATAACGGGTCTGTACAGAATGAGCTTCAACGTCGACATTTTCTTGTAAATACCAGCGTGGTTTAGTATTATTTGTAATCTGTAATATTTAATTTAGAAAAGTACAAAATTTCTTTTTATAAAATAAAGCTAAAAAAATACATTTTTTAGCTATTTTTACAATACCAAAGAAAAGTGTGGCTGAAAAGGTGTTATTTTAATGCTTGAACGGTCACACTTAAGGATTGCTCATCAGCTAAAAGCTATAGAACCACCTTGTACAGCATAATCAACAGCACAATAGGGTTAAGCACTATTCCGTAGCTTTCATTGAAATAATCACACCACAGACTCGAATAAATTACGCTACAGGAAAGTATTGCGTAGTAGGTGGTCATCTAGAGACTCGATAGCTTTCACGCGAATGCCACATCCTGTATAAATGTCGTGTTTGTTTGTTTGTAAGTTGGGCCATCTCTTTGTAAGGAAGGTTGTTTAAAAAAATGTTTTTTATACTAATATAGCTGTTGAGGAAAATCAACTCTGATGCCCCATTTTGGTTCTTTGGTTTCTAAAATACGCAGTAAAACATTATACGCTAACAATTAATAAAGGCGTGAATAGTATATTATATTTGAAACAAAATTATTTGGGATAAAAAACACTGATGGAAAACTTATCCTGTTCTTGTGTTCGCTAGAAACTCGTAAAAATTAGACAAACAACAACACAAATGAACTTCCCTTTTGGTCATAGAAATTCGCCTCTTATGACGCTGCATAACTTTAATTAGGATCGTTGGTTATTAGAGCACTTTAAAAAGTGTTTACATTCTTTAAATTCTTTAAACCATAGTCTGAAATTTTTTTTTTCGCTTTTAGGTAAGGAGGAAAGGGAGAAATGTTACCAATGATTTTTTATCTTTTGATTTAAAACTGGAGGCGTCCGGACTTCAACAGATCATGTTGAACAGCACGCGCGCGTAGACGTTTGCGAGTTTCAGACGTTATATAATTCCGAGGAAATGATAAATGAACATTACGTAGGTGATAATGGTGTAATACACGATGTATTGTCATTATTGGCTTGGATATTGATATCAGTGAAGTAGACAAGTTTATCCGAGTATACTGAGCTCGTCACTATTGACTCAGCAAGCTATTTTTAGATGTAAGGTGCGTTCACACGAATTCGGTTTAAGATTGTAATAACATTACTGCCTACCGGCATTTCATACATTCTAATCCGTCTAATGGATTCGGCTCCGGAAGTTTCAGACGTCAGAAACTGAAATCGGCTTTTTCCAAAAGGTTTCTGCTGAAAACCATCTCCTTCGTGCATACTATTTAGGATTTGACTGATCTTGCTGAATAGTTTTGATTAAAAGCGAAAATTCTCATTACGACGGGAATGGTTTTGCTGCTCAGTTCTGACAAATAGAAAGCGTCCTTAGTTTCAAGATTGCTGAGCTTTTGAATGAAATCCTTAAGTATGACCTTTATATTCGCTATTTTCCTGTCGTACTGGATGTAAATTTGGATTAAAGCTTCACTGGTTTGTTTGAAAAGCATTGTTAACCTTACATTTTATTGAAGTAGAATGTAGCTTGAACTGATCTAGGTAGTCATTAACCCGTTCACCCCTGAACTGCCCGTGCGGATCCACGTTCCCTCTACCGCTTGTGACGTCATCAGTTTTAAAGGTCAAGGACAACTTTGTAATCTATCTTGTTCAGGGGGAAGAGATCTTTCAAACCATACAAAAATTAGCATGATTCAGTCAAGGAGGCCGAAGAAAAAGGCAAAAAATCCATGCAGCGTTTACCCGAACATCACCATGAAAAACTTTTCCACTATACACCTACCTTCCTTCCTTCCATCTAAAAGCTTCCCCAAAAACATTTCACACCAGAATACAATCTAGTAAATGCACAGCAAAAGAAAAGAAACAAAAAGACGAGGCAAACTATAAAAGTGAAAGAAGAAGGAGGAGAGAAAGGGAAAAGTGTAAGACAAAACTGCTGTGTCACTTTTAATCCTAAAAAAACTCTCGAAATTTTGCAATCTGCGCAAGATGCCCGAACTAAAGAACAACCTCGTCCCCAGGGCGCTTTTCCCTCGCCCTGGGGACGAGGTTGTAAAGAAGTCAATCCCTAGGGAAATAGTTAATTTTGTCACATTGATATTCAAGGGAAACAAAATTATCTGTCTCCCGAGGAACCAGTCTTTCAGTGATTTGTTATAAAGCTGGAAATTTTGAAGGTGGAGATTCATCAAAGCTAGCTGTAACGGCGGTCGTCGGTCAACATTCGCGCGCTCAGAGCTTTTTGGCGGGAAACAGTTTGATTGTTAGATGTCATGTGACCTCGAAGTAACCAATGAGAGCGCGCGCTGTGGGAAGAAATTTCCATTAACCCTTTGACTACCGAGATTTTTACGGTTTCGAGTGATTTTCTATATACAAACAATCCATAGGATTTCGTGACTCCGTTGTTGGGGTTACCATAGAAAGCGGTGCTGTTCTAAAACACTGAAGACTCGAGTTTTCTGGAAACTTCGTTCTGACGAAGTCATTTTTGCTTCGTTGAGCTATAATAACGGCTGGGTTTGTGCGATTTTTGATAAGTTTGCAGCAACTTTTTTTCTTTAGTGGCTGCTTGATGAGAATCATTAAGCTTGACGGTAGCTAAGGGCCCACCTTCTCAAAGAAGCGAGTAAGAAGATGTACTTCGTTTGCGAAAGCCGGAAAAATGGCCGCTCCGAAACGAAGTAGCTTTGGGACTCGACTACTGACGAATTTCTTGACCTACCACGGCATATTTTGGAATCTGCGACCACTGAAAAGCACAACAAGTGCGAAATTTCCGTGGCAGGTCGAAGTGGCAAGGTCGAACGAAAGTTCAGGCAATGCAGACTTAAAATCGTACAGATAAGAAAAAAAAAGTGGAACAAAAAGGTGTGAACGAACGCTGTCAAAAATTCAGCATTTTTTCTAAACTTCAATGCAGTCGTGATGGTGTTGTTGGAAAAAGAAAGAGGCAAGGGCAAATTGAACTGGGGACTGGAACAAAAGGATTTGTTGCGTTAACAAGGACTGAATTTTACTGTGAATGTTGACTTGAAGCGAAGATTTCTGTAAAAATCCTGAAGGCAAAAAGGGTGATTAGAAACGGTCATTTTTGTCCTTGTCCAAATTCAAAAGGTGATATTTTGCAAAAAGCGCCGACTTTTTTTTTGTTTAATGGATATCCCAATTTGAAGGACATTCTACTCAATGCTCGCAACTGACAATTAAGGCAATGTTCGAGCGATTGAGAAAGTTGCAATGTTTAAAAGAATCTGGAACAGAAGGCTTCGAAATGTTCAACAAGCAATTGTTTTAGGTAGTTTTGGTTTTTTATAGCCAAACTGTGACTAAGAAACTGCTCGACTTGCTTTAAAAGTCGTTCTTCGAGAAGTTTTTCCTGCAGGGAGCAAATGGGTTAAAATGACTGAAGAAAAACAAGACACAGCTCGTGGTCAAATCTTTCAGCAAGCCTGCAAAATTATGGAATTATATTGTAACTGTTTTTCCAATGCTTAGGTCCCACTAAGCATTGGAAAAAGTGTTACAATATAATTCCATAACAATTGAACAATTATCAAAACGCCAGGTTTCTCTGTAGCTTCACTAACTGAAGCAGAGGGAGCCTGAATCTTTGCGAGCACATACTACATATTACCTCCAAGCCAGTTTTAACCGGCAGGCTCTCTGAGTGAAGGATAGGAAGAAACAGAGATAACGCGCGCACGCGTGTTGTGATGCGTCAGGATCTTTGACTAGCGGTAACCAGACAAACACTTAAGAAAGAAAGGATATTTAGTCAGGTATTTTTATTGTATATAATGAAAATAGAATAATGTAGTTGAATTTTCGTTTGCGCCCGTTCAGGTAAAAGTAATTGTGTTTGAAACGCAGAATATTTTCGAGTTAAAATATTTCACATAAAATGTCAATATTGACCAATATTGGGTTAATTTTTTTAAATAAAATCTAGAAAGTGATATACTAGTTTCGGAACAAACCACAAAACAACAATTGCTATTTTCGTTCAACCTATTTCATCGCTATTTGCCGCCGGCTTCTTGGAGCTGGTTTCTTTTTAGTGAGACGGGAGTTTAGCCGTTGTTGAGCAAACTGCTTTCTTAGTCCTAGTTTCATTTTGGCTAACCCAATACCTAAAAGATATTTAGACTCTTTAATCTAAATTTAAAAAACCCAGGCGAGGAAACTGAAAGCTAGACTTCTTAAAAAATAAGCAGCCAGCTAGCTTTCCTGTTAAATAATATTAACTTCAAATATTTTAAGAATGTAAATGTAGTGCTATATACCAGGAGAGTTTGCTTCTGTAATATTTTTCTGTCTTCCACTAAGAAACCGCCAGGTCCGCCCAAGTATATTTGACATGAAAATAAATAGTTATTTTGGTGCAAAGCGGAAAATCTTTAAAGAAAAAGCACGTGTAAGATTGAAGGATTCTGTCTTCATCGGCTACTGTAAGGACGGTCTTATCAATAAATGAGATTAATTATCACTGTATCATTAAATAAATTGCAATTCCAGGAAAACGACTTGGGATGTTTTTAGATAGTCTGGATAGTTCAGTCTTTTTGTGTTTGTTTTGTCGTTTTCGACTGAACTATTTAAAACAACAACAAAATTCGGTCACTAATAACGAAAGGTTTTTTCCGTCCTATATTTCTGCCGTTAATTTAACAAATGAACCAGGAAATGTTAAAATTGTCTTTCGTCTATTTTTGCTTTCTTGAACGATTACACCTGCAATCAGCAACAGTCAATTAATAGAGTCACACTCCCATACAAATAATGCTCTTTTATTTTTACACAGTCTAAACCTAAGACAACCACCTAACGATACCGAAACGATCAATCTCATAAAGTAATCTGCTGAACGGGTGTGTGATATATAGTAATCACAGATAAGTTGATTACTGATATCTATTTTTTTTATTATCGTTATTTTTTTCAGGTCTTGTTTTTTTGAAAGGGATGACAAGCTTGTTTGGATGCTGTCATTGCGCCAAAATAAAAAAATAATGATAGAAATAAATAATAAATATCTCCGTGAGAACAGTACAACGGTTCCTTTTAAGTGGACAGTGATTGTTCGGCTCATTTCACCAGAGAGGTGCACATTAAAACGAATTCGCAGCAATTTCAAAGGGTCTAAGTTTGTAAAAAGAGGGAAAATACAGAAAAACTAATTATAAATTTCTGAAGCTTTGACGGCATCCGGCACCAAGCTAATCCAGTGCAGAACGATGAATATGAGTGGTGTCCCAAATCTAATATACAGTAATTAGGGCGCTTTAGCTACCTGCGACAACTGATATGTCCGTTGGCTGCCCAATACGGGCTTCATTTGTTTATCCGTTCTTTCATTTCACCGAAATCATTGTTACACTTTTTCACCCATATAACTTCATTTGATCACGTTCGTCTCATAGAAAGGAATCCTTGAAAGCAGTTTTGGACTTGCTTTCATAAAAACAAGGGAAGTCGAGCCAGTTTTACCATCTGTGCACGTGTGAAATATTCAGTTGTGCTTATCGTTTTTCGCGAACCTTCTTAATATTAGTCATCTGTTTGAATACGGTTTCCTAAAAAAACCTTTATCACTCGATTCTTTTGAGAGGTCACGATTTCCAACCCTTAATTTGGTTATTATAAACGTTTTTTACCTTTTTGGCAAATTCTTAACCTTAAATTCAGACGATCAGTATGTTTCTCTCTGTCCCTCTGTTTTTCTTTTTTCAAAACTTGCATCTCGCTGAATTTCACAATCCCTTTCACATATCTTCAAGGACCGCGGATTGTCGCCGTTTTTTGACCATTTCTTAAATCATTATGTCTAAGAACACAACAACCCGACCATGGAAAACTTCGCCTATTATATTGACTAAACACACATACACACTGCACGTGGCTGAAACTTTAGTTAAAACGGAAATCCCTATTAGAAAGGCACGGTAAATTACATATCCTTCATTATATTAAGAATGTCTAATTTTGAACTAAGCCAGAACTGAACCTTTCCTTTTGGGGGCTACTTTTGAAAACCCTTCGAAAGCTTTTAACAAGAAAAATTAAGAGCAAGGAAGTGTTCATTTTTTATTCTTTGGGAGGAGGAGGGGCAGTAGTTTTTTACGGCTCCTCTTTCAGTATCTTTAACTCCCCGCCCCCCCCTCGGGCAAACTCAAAACTTATATGACCCCCCATCCTTCATATAACTGGTAGTGAGCTTTCATGAATGTATACATCTTATGGAAGGGGATGTTTGATGGCATTTCAATGAAGTTCCTGATAAAATAGCCGTTATAGCATTTGGGTCGAAGTGACGTGAGAAAACTTTCATGACCCTCACTTAATATCTTGAAACTCCAATGAACCCAAAGGAAGTACCTCAAACTTTTCTCTCCTACCCCGTTACGATTTAGTCGCCCCAACCCCCTCCCCCGAGGATAAATAAAGGCCTTCGACGTTTTGATGTTTCCAACATCATTTGATCAAGAATTAACAATCGTTCAAATTACACATTTGCAGATTTGAGTTTGCAGGCCGACGACTTTTACTTCATGTTTTGATGAGCCAGGCAACAGTGACTGCATTCTTATTTATTCATGGTAATTTCTTTCCATTCCTACCGCAGCTACCATATTCCTAACGTTGAAACTGGTGCAATACGATGTTCGGCCGGGCATAGCTTTTACCAGGCCTACACGGTCCGTTCCAAACGGATAAACCGCGCGAAACTGAGGATCTATGCCAGCCCTGTTTTTGACTGTTTTTGCGTGAGCTTCCATGGCTAACTCACTGACTTCCTTATCAGAGTATACGTATTATCGAGAGTAAACATCACTGGGTCTGATGGTACAAAATTTCAATTTCGTTCCGTTTTTGCTGAAATCAGTTAATTATTAGTTGCAATATATAATACTGCTCTTACCAAATGGTTATTGACTTCAAGTAAAACATTTGCTATGGGTCAAAATCTTGTTGGTCCCTTATTGCCATTTCGATAACCGTGAGAAAGATGTTATCCGATCTCTTCCATTACATGAAGTACATGTATTGATGTCGTGATATATGGGTTCTACGTGATATTTACGTCTATATTACTTGAAAAACCGCTTATTTCTTTCCCATTGAATCGATGTGGAATTTTCTTTTAAGTTATAAAAGATCTTTGAAACTTTTGAGTCATTTGCTGAGATCTTGTTTAGTTGGTAACCATAAGAGACACTAGTTTTTTTTCCTTAGTTTGATAAGTAGTTCCTATCTTTCCTCAAACGCAACGAAAACTCAACAAATTTTCTGTTCAGTTATTTTGGGAGGAGTAAACTGTTAGTACGGTTGAATGAATGTGACTGCACGTATTTAGAAACAAAGATTACAAATATAGGCTGCCGGTTATGTCCAAAGACTAATATTTTAGTTAAAATTAAACCTGTTAGCTATAAACAACTAATAAGATAATTACAGTATACTCCACACACGAAGCCCTCTTGTTTGTCTTACCTTCTGTAAGATTCAGAAAAATTTCGGCCAATTGACACGTACGAAGTAAACTTAGAAAAATGCTGAAAATAAATTTTTCAGAGAGCAGTCAGTTTAGCATGACTGGTTTATAAAAAGAAAAGGATAAATTTAAGTGTTCTTAAAATGTGATTATGGGTCTGTAATTGCATTTTACTTTCTGAGCTGTTAAAGCTTATATTTTTCCGCTTTTGTCACTAGACCATGAAAAGGTCCCGCGATCAAGCCCGGCAATATTACCTTGTCTTTTTTGTCCGAAGGGCGAATTAAAAAGTCTGCCCTATATGAATTCTCTTGTGCTGTTCTTTGTTCAAGCTCTTTTCTTCATACTGTTCCATTTTGGTTCTAAAGCATCAACACATTCACCATAAAAATATTTTAATTCAACTCGGTTTTTGTGTAGATTAAGTGAGCTTATTGTAGATCAGTAGAACAATTTAATTACCTGTAACGATATGGCGGAACACAATCTTACGTCTAGGAATACACAAATTAACGAGGAAGGGTAACTTGATACATGTCGATTGAAAATTGGCAGACTTCCTTCCCTAGATAGCCGTTAACATCAATGATAAAGCTTCATTTTCACAATCCGAGCTGAGGGTCCTGAGGGAAAAACAAGCTATTTTTGTCGGCATCGGCTTCCTTTTTATTCTGTCGGTATTAACGGATGTAGTTGCTTAGCAGTTATCATAGTTTTCTTTCTTTTACTTTCCATGCAAACACAGCTATATGAATACGTGAAGAAGTGTTCAGAATAGTTCTCTCAACATGCTCCGGGCTTCAGTGAAAATCTCTGCAACTGATATGACCATCTTTGGCTGACTTAAAGTGGTGAGGAGACCTGTTTGACAGAAAGGCTTTGATAGAAAGAAATATCAACGTAAAATGAAATGTTGCAACTACTCCCACAGCAGTAATTAAGCTAGCCCGTTGACCTCCACCTTTTTGAGGCGGTTTCCGATTCGGTTTGTTTGATTGAGCTGTTGCAAACTCAGGGTTGTTCAACTCTCTATGAATTTATGATGGCCTACTTTATTGTAACAACTGAATAGCATAAAAGTTACTTTTATAAAGTGGTGCTTTCTTGTACCACTGTTTGTTTTATCAAAAATTCTTATCTTCTTTAAAAGTGGAATATTTGGCCAAGAATTTAAGCCGGATATTTTAGACAGAACTGTGGAAAAAGGTCTTTTAGCCTGCGTTTAAAACTTATATTGATTGAATGCCTTTCTTACCTAGCCAGCTTTTTCTCGACCATCGAATGAGGCCAACAAAACCTTGAGTCAGAATACAAAAATTATTCCACCTCTTGAAACAGTGGAAAAGGCTTTTATAAATTCTGTATTCAGTCCCGAGGTGTCCCGCGCGGGATTGAATGCCAGACATACTTCATTAGCAATCATTTAGCAGTCATTTAGCTGGTATGAATTATTCTTTTGTACTCTCGAGACTATAAACACCATTGAAAATGTTATTGTGATGTGACTGCGGCTAAGCAAGTCTGCAGACGGATTTCTTATCTTTTAGTATTCATTTCGCGTGGCTTTTCGAGCTTGCAGATGCCGGAGTTGATAAGCAGGGCAACCGTTCACCCCTGTAGTGCGTGTTAATGGATCACTACACAAATCACCACAGTTCATGTTATAAAAACCTTGCAACAATATTCGATATTGATTACGTTAAAGCCTTTGTACAGCTCTTCACAAATTAGTATTTAACCTAACCATCTTTAGGCACCTTTTAATCGAAAACAATGTCTTTCAGATCAGTTATTAGATATAAAGTTTAGCATACGAAAGGACGGTCTGAAAGGAAAGCAATAGCTGGCTCAGTTGATATCAAAATTACCCCATACTCCCAGACCACTACTTTTAAGCGCGTTTTGGAGCGGAAATATTCTGCTCATTTGAACAGTTTCGTGACATATTTAGCATAGCGGTTTTCAAGATGTTACAGTTTTCCCGCAATATTATTAATCCACCGCTCTTTCAAGTTTCAGAGCCGAGGGGGGATGGAATGTATTGGGTTTGCCCTCTTTATATGTATACACTCACCAACTTGTTAGCGCTTCCGGCCATCGAATCCCGTCTCTTGCATATAGATGGCTTTCTTTTCGTATCAGCTTCCGCAGAAAAAATTTTGAGATTACAAAACATTTGGTTTTTCTTTGTTTGAATAAAAAGTCCGGAAATTGGAAAGGAAATTTCCTTCAAACTTAGCCTGTCTCCCACATGCAGTTTTGTCTTATCGCTCATTGGCAAGAACGAAACCCCTCTGCGATTTCACACTTGATTAACCCCGATCCAATTTGCATTTCGCACGTTCAATCATCTGCGGTTTGGGAGTGTGAACGCGTGACTTTGCGCTGATAAATCGGTGATATGATTTAATCTCGTCGTATGTATATCAACTTGGCTTGAGTCCCAATCGTTTAGTACTGTCACTGACCGTGATCAAGTAACATTAGAAGACTGTGTTTGCAGGATCCCCAGTTTTTCACAGCGGATCAAAGCTTCGAAGAGGAGACATGGATCGCTTTTCGGCGTTTTTTCTATTATTGATGTTTGTTTTAGCAATGTCTCTGTTCCCGATGGTCTTAACAAAACGACAGTGTCCGAAAGCTTGCAGAACATATATATCCAGTGAAGTTGAAGTGAAAGTCAGCAAAGCATTGCGGGTAAATAGTGAATCTCTTTTTCTGCTCCTAACTTTTATTCGTTAATTTTATAACGTTTATGATTTTTCTTTTAATTAGAGCGCGTTCATTGTTTTTGTTGATCGGCGGATGATAAATGTTTAAGAGTTAATGCGTTACTATGAGTACTGTTAAGTTCATTACATAATTATAAAGTCTTTATGTAGGTAGTTTCATGAGGTATGTACGTTGAAAAATTATTCTTGTTATCGAAAGATGCCCTTACAAGGATAAGTGACTTCTTTCGTCATTTTAGTTGATAAACAACTTTCCCCAAGGATTTCTGCCTGACTGCTTACTTCTTGCTTGCTTTGTGTAAGAAATACTCTCGCATTGTACTCTTTCTCTCTCTCTCGGCTCTCGCCTTTCAGATTTGTTAGACAAAATCATTAACTCCTCTAGCGAAAATTCGCACATTTTCAAGTAGGAGGTTATTGCATGTCTGTTTATTCAATGTATTTATTTAAGTCGCTCGTTTTTGATGGGTCCTGCTCGATCGCATGCAAATTGCAGGTTATGAAATCACAGAATTAAACATTGTTAAGACAACCATTGTCACCAAGCACTGATAAGAAATGTCAGCAAGATCTGATGAAAATTGCCAAGAGAAAGAGAGAGAGAGGAAGAACGCTTGTCTACAAGACATGTCCTACTTCCCTCTATAACCAAAACATTGAAGACCCAATCACAGAGGGGAGAGAGTAAACTCTTGCCATTTTCGTTAGATTGCAAAAACAGACAACTTGGATGCCATCCCAGAGAATAATAGTGGTTTTCTAGAAATTCTAGTCGTGTCCCTATTCAAAACTGCTAACCGCAGAGAAATCGTAGTCACTACGTTGAAACACAAGAGGGGAATGAGTATGTTTATTACACAGACGATATCTGTGAGACGCATTTGCGAAAGATTTGCGGGTATCTTTTTAATCCCCCGATCTTTAATTTTACCAAGCAATAACTGAAGTCATACCCCCTGTGACAGCAGTTGTGCCCGGAGGCTGTTGTTTTTGTTCACATCTTATTTTGCTTCCCTTTACAGTTTCCATCTTATTAACTATATTCCGCCTCCCTTACGCTCGCGGTGTCCTCGTGACGTTAATATTATCAAAACAAGAATAAAAGAACAAAGACATTAATTTTCTTGGCGGAAGACCTGTCAAAATTTCCGTTTCAACTGCAGAGACATGCTTTAGTGAGCAAGCTAAAGGAACGGTGCTAAAGCACTAAATTTATTTCCTCAAACGTTAATCAGGGCAATTTTGGCTTATGGCTATTCCTTGATAGGCCCGCGGAACTCATATGGTCGCTATATTGCGGGCAATGCTTTAAATAGCAAATGCAGAAAAGTTGTAAACAAGCCGGCAATATATTTATCAGAGCAGAGTTGAGTATTTGACATTATTAATTAGCTCTTTAAGCATTGTTGATAGTGCTCACAAAACTTTATCTTCTGTCAGGGTGTGGCCATTCCACGCCTGTTCATTCATATGCAAGAGTCAGTTTAAGCAACTTGAACATATTTCCTTTTTTGGCTGAGCCTTGAAAAGTATACAAATCGTTCGTGACCTAGCCTAATTTCTAAGGTGAAACCTAATTTGAAATTCGGAGAAAACACCAAGAAACCGTAACAGTTCAATTAAATGTGTCGCTTTTATCTCGCTTTACGTGGAAAAACTTACGTATTACAGCCAACATCTGCGTTGATTTTATTTACCCAGAAAAACTTCGTCAAGTGACAAGAATAACAAAAAGCTAGGATGGAAGGGCCAGGGTGATTGGATACACTTTTCAGTTTTTTTACGCAAGAGCATAGTAGAACCGGGTAGCAGTACAGTGGTAAAACTCTCAGATTAACTTGGATTTTTCTAACTTTTGATTCAAACCAAGACAATAAGTCGAAAGTGGTAATATTAAGACAAAGTCCCCCTTGCTCTCTTGACTTAAAACTTACCGTTTGACCATTTGTTTAGAGTGCTTGCAAACTGGTCATGGTAGCCGGTTTAGGTTGAGTCTCTGAACATGAACATCTCTAAATTTGAAATTGTTGAGCTACCGTGAGATGAAATGCATTTGGGATGCATGAAATGAATCGTAAGCGAGAACGACATCGAGCAAAATGAAATTTAAAAACAGGAAAATGAGATTTGTATTCGCCTTGTTTTTAAGCCTAAAGGCAATCTTAAGAGCATGATTATAACAATTGACGCCATTGTCTGTTCTTCAATTTCTATTTCAGAGCAATAGTAAAGGAATCCGTGGACCAAGAGGCAAGAGGGTGAGGTTTTAATTAAAGCATATTATGCCGAAGTTTCGTTGGTTACTTTACAGCAACCCTAGTAACTCCCACTTGGCTGAATTCGAAAAGTACGGGTGGCTTCCAATACATGCATTAATGTTGGCCTGGGGCGTGCTAACCGCGTTAATGCCAAGGTTAAGCACTGTTAATGTAGCCATGGCATCCTGAATGACAATTTCATGCAAGCGTTATTTTATATAAGTTCTGTTAATTTGTTTCAAGGTTGATAGAACCTCGGTTCAAGCATGATAAGAAAAGGTCATGTAAAACGTGAAATATCGAGCGCTGCGTGCCTCTTAGACAAACTCAATAGAACATGAAAAACTTACTGACTTCATAACTTTTTGCAAAGTTTAGACTTTTAATAGTTTATCAAGACACATAACGCTCTAACAATCCGCTATGGGTAAATGTCTTGACAAAAACATAAGAACTTCACTAAGAGATGCCTATAAAATTTTAAAAAATTAAACTTCATTGACTTTTAATAATTGTTTTTTGCTTTCATTGTCAGGGAATACCGGGACCAATTGGCCCTCAGGTAACCGAATAATCATCATTCATTGCTCGACACTAACCTACTTGCAAACATTAAGAAGAAACACTCTAACTATTGCAAAAGCTATAACTAAAGGCTTGAGAGTAATGCTAGCGAATTTAAAAGAAAAGCTCCCAAGTACAGACTTCTGTTTCATGCCTTGTATTTAAATGTGTTGCACTGGTGTACATGGCGACCCTAAAGCCAAGAGTTCAATGATGTTTCCGTTCATCTTATCGACTGTTGAACAAGAATCACGATTTTAGTATACTTTTCAGACTATTCTCGTTTCCAATACATTCTCGTTTGATATCTGTGGCAGATAAGAGTCGTATGTCATGGGTAGGCAGGTAGACAGTGTGATAATGACTAATGTATCAACTCTTTTCTTTATAGGGTTTGTCAGGTCCCCGTGGGGAGCAGGGTCCGGTTGGTCCTCCAGGACCAAGAGTAAGTATATCGTCTTGAATGAAAATGTCTCTGTTTGTTTGTTTTTATTTTTTAACTATGGCAACACCAGGTGGAGTGGGGGAGGTTATTTTTAAGGGTTTGTGAAACTCGTCTTTCAATTCCTCAATTAGTTCTTACAGCCAAAAAAAATTGCACTCAGAAATGGTACTTAAATTAAGATTTGAGCGTAATCCATTGTTATTAGGATTTACCGTTTCTTCAGTTTGCAATGGGTAGTTTATGTCTAAGAGTTTGTACACGATATTGATTGACAGTCTGTTCTGATTTTCGTCCTAGGGTGAACCCGGCCCAGCCTTATCCCTTCCTAAATGTGAGCCAGGAGAATACCTCACTTCTGACGGAAAGAAATTAATATGTGTTAAATTTGGTAAGTTATATATAATCTTTTTTCGTACTTCAATCCTGCTATAGTAATGGTGACATAGGTTGTTATATTGTCAATAGTAGTTCTTTAATTGCTTTGAATCAAAAATACAGTGAATCGGTTTTATTACACGTAACCCGACTTGACGTAAATAAGCCCTAATTACTGTACCCCAAGTTTTCCGTGCCACTTCAGTGGAGTCAATACTATATAAGCCTAATTTTGTATCGGCTCAGTGACGTTAAGTGAACAATTTCGCATAAAAAACTTCAATTTATTTCTGTTTGTTCGGATGTGTTAATTTTAACATGCACTGTTTTTACATCAGGGGGGTCAACGTACGGGTTCCTGTTCACACTTAACAACGTTCAAGTATCATGTTTTAAGACGCTCTAAGGGCCCACTTGGCCTATTCCTTCTTTTCTTTACAAGCACAATGTACAAGATACATAATAGGTTTAATGTGCATGTGTAAAAAATAAAAAAGTAATCAATGAGGACAAATTACATGGTGCGCCGTAGTAATTCTTGAGTGGAAGAATGCTTTTCAATTGGCCATTCTGGGTTATTTTAGATACTTCAAGTAACCCACACACGGATTCAGTGGGCATCGGTGATTGACGACTTCTTAGTTTTACAACTAGAGAATTCTGATTAATCCCGGCCTATCAATTAGCCTGCATTTAATGCTTGACTATAATCTTAATTAGTATCTTTCCGCCCCCATTAGCCCTATTTCAATGTGAGTGGTCAAACATTAAAAGAGATCGGAACTTACGTAGTTCTTTGAAGATTCTTAACTGCATTTTTAATATCTCTTGTTAGCAAATGATAAAACCAGTAAACTTGAGGAAAACTAAAATATGTAATATGTCCCTTTTAAAATTATCCTTTTTTCCAGGCAAAGAAGTCTGCAATGCTGTATCAACATGTGAAGGTACTTTCTTGTAGATCATTACAGTGCATATCTTTGAACAGCAAACAATATTAAGTGTTTTCTTTGTTCCGGATGATCATAACGTAACTAAGTCTTCATTTATTTTTTACTAATTGACACTAATTAGGATTTATGATAGTAACATGATGGGGCAAATTGTGACGCATTTTATACGTTACTTCGTAGGTCGTCCAGCGCCGCCAACGCCCAAAGTAGTCACAAGTAAGAGGAAGTTTCTTGTGTAATCACTAAAAATACAAGTATCTGACACGCAGATACATGCACTGACGTTATATTTGCGTAAGATTACTGAAGTAAAAATACGGTTAACTTCTGGGCTTTTGTTAATGGTTAAAAGGTTCATAAAAGCTCATCTACTCTAAATAGCAACGTACGTACGATAACCCATTACACATCTGAGGTCTTAATTTTGAAAACAATTGACAAGTCTCGATTTTTATGCTTTATATTAAAACTTATTTCAACTAGATTGAAAGGTACGAGGATTAAGATCATAAATTCCCTTTTTAGATATTAACTAGCTAGACAGAAGTGCAGTCTTTTTTTTTTAGTCCTTTAAGAGCTGGTAATAGAAACGAAGGCAATGCTCCTCCTTATTTTTCCTGATTTGCAGTGTGTTTGTTTCTAGACTTTCATAGTTTTTCCAGAAAACAATTATCGCTTTGTAAACACTGTAAATTCTTGGTTTTTTGGTCGAATGAGTTTTCTTGCTGAAGTTTCTAGGAGCATACAATCGACGATAATTGTCAACACTTCACTGAGTCAATTAAAAAACTTAAGATTGCGGTAACATAATGAACGCTTTTTAACCTTTCTTCCAGGGCTAATTTTGTTTTCTTACCAGCCCAAGAATATTCTAGCTTACTTTTTTGCCAAGATAGAAAACCAGAACTTACTTAGTCTTGCTTTAACCACCCACGCCTTAACTGCGAACGGCGCAAACATAATGTTTGTACATAAAAATAAAGACATGTTTTTTTGCGTTCAAGTTTCTTGATTTTCAAACAAAGTTAATGCTTCTCACAATCACCTCACTGATTTTTTTTTTAAAAAAACTGGGTGGACAATAGCGACCTTTGTCTGTTTATAATCTGTATATGTATGTGTATTTTGAAACAATGACTGACGCCTTTGTTTTGCCCTTTGCAGCAACAACACCCACCACGCTTCCAGTGAAAGGTAAATGCCTGGGACCGATGTATTTTAAGATACCATCATCTAAACGAGCATTTTGATGGTGGCAGTAGCCTGAGATCATGCCCCCTCCCTATTATCCCTTTAAGTCTCTCTCGAGTCAAAGAAACAAAGGAGCAAAAAAAAAACGCCTGATCTCAGGTTCGGGTGGCAGCGGCTGAGGCATCCTTGTAGCCAAGCAGTTAGAGCCCTGGACTTGTAATCCGGATCTTCGGCTCGGGGCCCGATTTCAAGTCCCATCCTGACGGCTAGCTGGAGTTGTTCTCGGTAGTCCTCAGCTCAAATCTTTGGTCACGCTTGTGAATGGTTCCGATCGTCTCCTACCACTTGGGGCTCTTAGCCTCGTTATTTTCCGTTTAAAGTCAAACCTCTTTAATACGGACACCAAAGAGACAGAACCAAGTGTCCGCTTTACAGAGGTATCCGTATTATAGAGGTAGAAAATCTATGATTTTTGGCATTTCTGGGACCAAACGAATTGTCCGTAATAGAGAGGCGTCCATATTATAGAGGTTTCCGTAAGGAGAGGTTAGACTGTAATTCTTTTTGTTCCTTTATCGATAAAGAGCCTCATAGGGCCGGGAAAGGATAATCAAGTACTTATTAAATATTACTATTATCATCTCATTTCTCAGTACTCATACAAATATAATTGATGGTTGCCATAACAACAGACAATATATTAAATAGTTTGATGAAAGTGCGATATTTTTTAAAACATTTCAAAGTTTCTTGTGGAAGTACAACATGATAGCCACACCCACACAATGGCTTTGGTTGATTTTATAAATACAGTCAAACCTCTTTACTACGGACACCAAAGGGACAGAACCAAGTGTCCGCTTTACAGAGGTGTCCGTATTATAGAGGTAGAAAATCTATGATTTTTGGCATTTCTGGGACCAAACGAACTTTCCGTAATAGAGAGGTGTCCATATTACAGAGGTTTCCGTAAGGAGAGGTTAGACTGTATAGAGGGAAACAGAGAGAGATCGACACCACCAGCTTTCATTCAAATTCGTTTTTTAGTATCACCAATTACCTTTTTTCTGTTTCAAATAGAATACGTAAACATGACACAGTTCATGAAGAAATACATGATTCAAACACTGTACATGGACGCTTGGGACCTGGGTACGTTTTACATTGGAGACCAGCTTTTCCTTGGAGTGTCGCAGTTGGGAGGAAAGAGCTTTGTTATCTACAAATGGGACAGCGGGAACAGGTATACAAAGGATTTAAAACATTTTCTTTGCTTCAAGTGCTGACCTTCTTACAGTAATTTTAGCCGAAATCTCGAGAGCTGAAAGGATCACTACCTAAGTCTAGCCTGCTTAACGGGCGTTATTTTTTCGCGTTTTTCAGGCTAGCGAAGTTAAGCGCGAAACGAGCGAAGAGCGCCAGACAGACACGCCTATCTCGCGCGTGTCTGGCGCTCTGAAAAACGCAAAAAAATTACGCCTGTTATGCAGGCTAACCTAAATCTTTTTTTCTTTTAAACTTATGTTAGTCGTTAAGTTAAACTATACTGAGGGCATTTTCGGTCCAGCTATAAATCCTTCACGAAATCTTCTCATCTTTACAATTTTTAGTGGCTTTATTAATCTCGGCTTAAACCTTGCTTAAGGAGGACACTTAGCAGTTTTGACAATGGCAACTTGATTCGATCTTCGTTGTAACAGTCGAATTACTTACGGAATAAACTTGACCTTAAACGTTCAAACTTAATAATTATCTCAGTGTTTAGGCTGTGTCAATTTCATGTGCCACATTTTGTGTTCATTACTGTTTGTATTACACTCAACATATACATAAAGTGAAAAGAAATGTCCTTTCTTATATTCAGCGACAAATCGTCGGATCAGGACCCCAGTTACAGCCCGTGAGTGTTCATCCATACTTTTAATAAAGCACCTAATTCCACGTAATAATGCACCCAGGCACATGCACAATCCCAGAACTAACCGCTCTCGTCACACATGGGGATCATCGTTCTTCATCTTTGTTGCACTGGTGATGGTCTTGCATTGTAAGCAGTAATGTTGCATGTTCTTAAAGTAATCTATGTTCTGCTGCTCTGAGTTTATCTTAAATCTCGTTTACTCCGCGCCATAAGAGAAGCTGCGTGCTGAGCCTTGACTTTGTTGTCTAGGAGTTTTAAATGTGCTCTCGTTTTTGTTATGTTTGTGACGGAAGTTATTCCGCTTACCTTAAAAGTGAATGAACAAGGGATATAGTGCTGCTATCGATTAAAGGTGAACAATTTCAAGTTGGCTGTTCTTTAGGCAGCGACTCTTTCGCATTTCCTTATCTCTAATCTCTGCCGGTGTAAAATCTACACTATGCTTCTAGTTTCTGTTCTATAAATCATCATAAATAAAATGGTTTTATTAGCGGTGATAGAGTGAAAGATGTAATGTTTTGTACATTAACTAAATTGACAACGAATATTGGCCGCCGTTCATGATAAAGTCGAATCCCTCAGGCGTGATTCGCCGAAGCTAAGCCCGGCTACCATCGTCGTCTCTTCAATCCCTTATTGGCAATAATTTTGATAGACAAAACACACGGATTCAGACCTCCAGTTTTACGGCAACAGTCGGTAGTGTTATAAAAATGAGAAAGAGATGAAACTTGCAAGAATTAATAAGAACTTTAAGATGTTACTGACGCGCACCACCCGGTCCCATCCTCAGTTATAACAGCAATGCAGGCTCTATTTACGTTTTGCTAAGTAAGTGAATTTTCGAAAGGCCAGGCGAAACGTTGTCAGATGATTATACTATTACAGTAGCTACAAGACATCCTCTTGCCCTACTGTATTTCAGCTTATATGTACTACTTTCGTTTTATGATGTCCTTCAGTGACTACTCATGCATGTACGTGTTGAGGACACCAGCGCTTGAGATCCTTTTGTTTGTTCGGAGTAATATTTTTAGACCTTTTTGTAATACTTGTGGTAAGAGTTTTACTAATTTATATTGTGTGTAACAATCTCATTCCCATAATTCTGAATCACATGTATTTAAGATGCCTAAGATTAAATTGAACAATAATCATTTAAACTTTTTTAAGCGTCGATGTAGAGCTGAATGTAGTCTAAAAATTCTTTCTAAATTCTTCATGATGGCCGAATCTAAAAGTAAAAGTGGTATATACTCCCATGAAGCATGTATTTGTGAAAAAATAAACTTTTTTCAAATAAAAATCAGTCAAAGGTAACTGATCTGGATACAATCAAACAAGACCTTGAATAACGCAGGATCTCCAGGCTGAGTTTGGAGTAAACTCTAGGAGCTCGTTAAAAAATTTAAAAAAAGACGGTAAATTATTAAGAGCTTATCGAAAGACAGATCAATTCCACTGCATGGAAAAAATGCTGGTATACATTGAGCAAGTTTTCTCTTTTGGTGAAAGAGGTAGCTATTCTGTACGCTAGTCGATCTCTCTCATAGTAACTCCTATTCTGCGAACTTCCTTGAAAAACGAATATCTTTATCACTGAATACGTTGTTATTCTTCAGGCTGAAACTTCGTTAAGGTAGATCCCTTTTGAATGTATCCTGCTCCCTACCAGGTTAAATCGTTATTCTTCACAACTTTGCTATAAGTGCGCTCTCCTCTAATTAATCTGAAGAGCTTATTGAATGTATTTCTGCCGCACTTGTTGTCTTAATTTTGGATGTTTTTCTTCTACTTGCATGCTGGAGCTAGTGTTTTCCGCTCCTAATTCCCCATGTTGAGCTCTTAGCTTTGGGCAGCATGTTAATCTTTCAGCCGTAGAGTGAATCAACATGTGAATTCTCCTAAATATAAAGACGTAGGAATTACCTCTGCTTTATTCTCGTGCTCTCTTACATCATTTTAAGGAGAAATTGAATGTTGATCGTTAGCACTAGGGCTGAAAGGTTTAATCTTAAGCACGATATCTTAGCATTAGATGAGAACACAGCACGTAGGATATACGAAGATATTTTAAGGATATTTATAGATAGTTTGGGGGAAAAAAACCCAGATAATCCGCATTTTACTATATAAACGTTGTTGACGTTGAATGCGCAAATGTGGCGCCGAAAAACAAGTTAATGATGTTAATTTTGGTTCTTCTTATATACCATTATACTGCCATTAAAAGGGGTTGTGAGTCAAGTGCTTATCACAAAAACGTAAAAAAGAAGTTACGAGACCAAACCGTTTTTATTCTATTCATCACTGTGCTTTAATTTGGGGCATTTCATATCTCTTTAGTATCTTGTATCAGGCTCGCGTTGTATTTTTCACTTCATCAAAGAATTTCAGTCAATTCTGAAATTTAGAAGTGTTTGGCCTCTTTCTCGGCCGACCACAGTGTTCTGAGTTGAGGCCTGATGTCATAAGTAAACGAACCTCCGATCATTAGGGCCATAAATGTTAGCGGCTTTGTAAAATCTTTTTTTTTTTTCTTTATTTTTTCTCTTTCCAGATTCCGTAGTTTTCAAGTACTCAAAGTACCATTTGCAAGAAAATGGCGGCAGTTCACCATCGGAAAAGACGTATATTTTGCCGTGGCGAGCAACTCTCGTTCGCACGACTCACCCGTATTCAAATGGAACGGAAACTTATTTACTCCATTCCAAACGCTGTCCACAGTGAAGGCGTTCGATGTTGAGCCATTTAAAATTGGCCAAGACACGTATCTTGCTGTGGCTATTTACTATGGGCGTGGTTCGCACATCTTTAAGTGGGATGGAGAGAGGTTTGTGAAACTCCAGGATATCGCAGCCGTTGGAGCGGATGTAGAACATTTCAAAATTAATGGATCAACGTATTTGGCATTAACAGGTACACTGTCTGACATTTTTTAGCAATTATTGAAGGTTAGGAATCAAGTGTGTCTTTACTAACGTCACTCCTCCATTCAATGTCGAATTTAATTTAATTGATCTCAAAGATGATTTTTAGACTCCTGTTTTCTTTTAACTTTTTAATTACAAACTCATATTCTTCCATAAGCACTCATGTCTTATCAAATTCAAATCAAGAGTTTATGCGATCTGGGCAAAAGAAAAATTACATGATCGATGAAAATAAAGGATACACACTGTGACAATTATAAAACGAATCAATTCAAAATTGGAAAGGACCACTCCAAGGCTCCGACCCTGTTGAAGAAGAGTTCTACTACAGCTTTGCCGTCTTTCATGGTCTTTGATGTTCGCTGTTTTAGCCATGCATATTATGTCTTTGTTCCACACTAAGACCTTAGCTTGTAGTGGCTTCCATTTATTTTATCTTTGCTTTTTTCCAGGTCCCTTCTCCCGCGGCGAGTATACATACATCTACAAGTGGTCTGGTACGAGGTTTGAACTATTTTACAGGTTACCCACGGAAGAGCGTGCGTATGGCGTCAAAGCTCTATCAGTTGATGGAAGTTCATTCTTAGCTGTAGCTCGCTGGAGGGCAGATAGTTCACTTATTTTCCGCTGGAATGGAACGCAATTTGAGCTCTTCCAGGAAGTGCCCTCGAGAAAGGTAAGCTGTCTGTTTAGGATGTACTGCATTAAAAAACTAGTACATGCAGTTTTAAAGAGACATCCGATATTGACTCGATATTGTCTTGAGATTGTCATATATCTAACAGACCTATTTTCCTTACGCGCAAATGAACGAATTCCTAAGGGCTGGTGAAAAATGAACCAGTGATGGATTCGTAGAAACGAAGTATTCGGATGGACGCAGATGGATCAGAAGATTTTCGGTTTTTTGCTCTAGTTATAGCACTGCTAACGAACTTCACTTGTCCACCGTCTCCTTTCCAAACCGCTATAATGAGACGGTCCACTTAGAATTCCCCTTTGCAAAATTTCAACGCAAAAAAAGGAAAACATGCACGGCATACAACATTGTAGGTGAAATCACACTTCATCGCTTTCTTCTAAAATAACCTTTAGGCATAATAAGTAAATCTTAACTCCCAATTGGCGTCATGTTGGTGTCCTTAGGCCTTTTCCGAGTTCCAAACTCCTCACTTTCAAAACGAGTTTAAGGGTAAAACCTTTCTTGTGTAAATGAGTTTTATTTGCATGAAAATAAAAGATTATTTTCATATCAATAGCTTCGCACTTAACCTCTCTTTGAGACAGAGCCTTTGTGTAACTTAGCTGTTAGCCACGTGGGGGAAGCGCTCTATAAATCTTACAGTGCTTATGACATAGCCTGCGTGGCAGGCGCAAAAAGGGGAGGGGGAGGGGGAGGGGGAAGGGAGAAAGGGAAAAGGGAAGGGAGCGCCTGCTCTAAGAGCCTATGTTTTTGTATAACGCCTACCAATTTTCTAGTAATCCGGTTACGCTTACTGTCAATCAAGTGTCGCTACACTCGCCATTGCAGAAAAACATTATACTCACGGACTAAAGAAATTCGCTTAGTTATTCAGATCCAGAAGACACTTTGGAGAAAATTGGAACCCTTATTCTGCCGTAATAAAAAAAGCTTTACGCTTCAAAAGAGGTCAAAGAAATTACGCTTGCATCAGAAGGCAAATCCTGCCGACCAGAAAACAATAACTACAGTCAATCGATATGTATGTCATGACCTCTCAGTGTGAAACATGCGGCTAAAATAACATTTGCTCAGTATAAGTGCAGAACCTTCCAGAGCATAATCTACCCAGCAGATAAAAACAACCTTATTGTAATAAGCAGCATTTTGGCATGAGGTAAAACCACCCTCTTTTATTGCTAAGTTACATCGGCGAATGTCATCGTTCGATAAATTGTTGGCTAAATCTTTCGCTGGGTAGCCCCACAATTCCATCTCCTGCAACTCTTCGATAATACTTTTCAGTGGCGAAATGACGAGAATCGCCGCATTACCATTTAGCTCGTAGTTCTTCGCGCGTACAAACATTTGGAGCCCTTACTGCTGATTCTTGCTCTGGTTTTAAAACAGTTTCTCTACTACTAGATAAATTCACATCTCTCAAAGCACTCTCTACGACATCCACGTCTACCTCTGCCATCTCGACTGTTTGTTGATTTGTGAAACGCGCATTTCAATATGTTACTCATTACGGCTCAGCCAATCAGGAATTTGCGGACGCCAGCGTCCGCAGATATGAACAAAAGGGGGTTCTTAGAGCAGGCGTCCCCTCCCCCTCTCCTCAATCCCCCTCTCCTTTTTCCCTTCCTCCCTATCCCCTACCCCCTACCCCTTTCGACGCCTGCTACGCAGGCTATTATGACACAAAATTGTAATCACGTGATTCTCTTTTACAGGCACGTGATTGGATTACTATCACCTCACCGTTCATGTCAAGTGAGAAAACCTACTTAGCAATCGTCAGCAGTGACCGCAGTCCGAGTATATATGCTTGGGACAGATATCACGCGAAAAAGTTTGCCAAGGTACAAGATATCCCATCGGAAAGAACGAGAGATATGGTATTTTTCAACATGGGGGAGACTGTTTATTTGGCTGTAGCGTCGCATCGTAGTACGGACATTTACCAGGGTTCATAGTATTGAATAAGAGAGTTACATCTTTCACATTGGGACTGTGAAGAAACTCTAGACTTTGGAATCTTTTCCAAGTCAGATACCCGCTGTTCGCGATTGAACCAAAGTGAGAGAATTCAATTATCAGAAGTTGTAACTATTGTTGTGGCATCTGATTGATGGGAGATTTCCGTGAATCCTGTCAAGTCATTGCCTGGTTAGATTTCACTATAGTTTCACTGAAGAAATCTGATTGGCTAAATTGCAAACTACTGAGACATTTTACTTAAGTATTTTATATGAACAGTACTCCGATTTCACGTTTAGTACTTAAGAATTAATTATGCTGGATGAGGAATACAATTACTTATTACATAAATTATTATATATCAACATGTAACGAAATCCCAATATAACGAGTCCCTTTCCCAGGAAGAATACTCCGCATTTCAGGTGACGGAGATTTTCGAGGGATTTTTTTGAAGGTCTGCTTGATTTAAGTGGGGATTTTTTGGGTCTTTAGAACAATCTGAATATTCGTGGTATTGCCTGCGTATCCCAGCCTCGTTGTTCTGCAAATAAAGTACAACCAAACTTTCTGAGGCTCGGAAATTCAGCATGGGATTTTTTGGGGGTTAATTCTTGGTCCAGGAGTTTTTTGGGCGTTTTTATTTTTGCCCCCATTCGATCATTTCCGTCAATTGAAATCCAGAGTACCCCCCGCTAGGGTCCCTATATAACGAACACCACAAATGAAGGTAAGGAATGACATTCTTTGTCATAGTTAGGTACCCCGCGGACATTTTTTTCTCAGACTCCTGCCACCGCGGGACCACGTTATATCGGAATTATGCATACTCTCCCAGACGATCCTTCTTATTAGGATAAGCGGGAAATGTTTCATTCTTTCCTGCAAAACGTTTAATTTCCCAAGTAGACCTTTTTTTGATGGAATAGCAATTGTTAATACTGTAGTAATATTAGAGTTTCATTGATCTGTAATATATGACACAGAGAAATATTTGTACGTGAGGGAGCTGACTAACTGAAGTAGTTTTCTATCCGATAGCAGATTTTAATTTCTTTGGATGTAAATAGTGGGAGAATTTTTAGCTGACATTGTTTCTTTAATTAAAGCAAAACGTCGAATTCCAAGTAACTTAACCTCGATTTTATCTTGTACATACGTAGTTTTGTTTTAAATTATATAAAATTAAAAATTGTAAACATGTGTCTTATTGGCTTTAGCAAGTTTTCCTTTCAACTTTTTCCAAACTCTCTCGGAAGTCTCAAGTTACAAGGCTTAAGAAAAAGACTGAAAAAGGAAAAAAAGAGGTTCCGATTCCTGATGGGCTACATACGCTTGTAAAAGAAAAATAGAACGAACAATAGAAACATTGCCCCTACTCCCAAAAACAGTGCTGAGCTTTTCCAACTGACTATCTTGCATGGTGTCATTTGCAGAGAGCAAAAATAGATCAGTGCGGGCTACGACTTGGAACCAGGAAGGGGAAGACAAAAAGCAATTGTTGAAAGCCTGAGTATACGATCTAAAGAATTATGGAGAAAATTGCGACCGAAGGTATACTGATCATCAGGGAATTGGAATACCCCTTATTCTGCCTCGTACCGAGACGTCTCTCTCTTGATGAAAATTTGCGCGCAGAGGAAGGCGGGAAATAAAAAGCGGTTTTTCTTCTTCCCATGATCCCTTTCGCTTCGACATTGGTCACTCGTGTGCGTACTCTCACCTGTGCAGTTTTAACAAGTCGGTACAAGCAAACTCCTTTTAAAACTTTAAGTTTGTTACGTTTTGTTTTCATGAATAGATTCCCAGGGCACAAACTGTACAAGCAAGGAATTTTGTTCACAAATGAAGTTTGTGGTGAAATTTTGGGTCAAAACTTCGTGTACCAGACGCAGATGACGTCAAACAAAAGACCTCTTTGTTTTCTGTTTAGGGAAAAATCTGCTTGGTTTGTTTCATGTTTGTTGTTCTTTTGTTTTACGTCATCTGTGTCCAGTAAACGAGGTAAATGCCAAATTTTGGTCGTCTGAGGTAAACATGCATCGTTAAGGCATTATTGGAACCAATCTTGGTGTTGCTTAAAGCTTCAAGAATTAAAGAAACATCAGCTAACTGATCCTCACGGCGAAAAGAAGAAAAACACCAAACGAAAAACACCTTCTTTATTTCCTCACACACAGTTCTTAGCAAGAGAAAATAAAGGCCTTGTTCTCTTGTAGCTCTAGGCGATACCCGCAGCGTCCTCAATACGTAGTTGATGCCATACATTTGCCCACTTCCCTGCCAAACGAGCATCCCTGTCCGCCTTATATGTGAACCCCAAATTCCGCCCCCCCCCCGCTCACACCCGCCACCCCAGAGTGCCAAGTGAAATCTCTATTTAACCCATTCGCTCCTGGAGATTTTGCCGAAAAACGCGTTTTGAAGCTAGTCGAGTGGTTTTCTGGTCACTGTCGTGCTATAAACAGCTAAAGCTTACCACAAACAGGTTAACAGGTCGTACACTTGGCGGCCTTCTGATCCAGATGCAAAATATCAGCTTGCGAAGTTCGGGCATGCGCAGAAAGCAAAATTTCGAGTTTTTGGGTTTAAAAGTGACACAGCAGTCTTGACTTTTACTTTTCGCTTTCTCTCCTCCCTTCTTTTTTCCCTTTTCTTGCCTCATTTTTTTTTCTCTTGCTGGGCATTTAGTAGGCTTCATTTTGGTGGGAAGAGTTTTTAGGAAAGCTTTAGGATCTTAGGATTAGGTGAAAGGAAAGGTAGGTGGGCAATGGAACAAGATTTTCATGGAGATTTTCAGGTCAATTCACGTGGTTTTTTGCTTCTTCTCCGGTGTCCTTGACTGAATTGTGCTCATTCTGGTATGGTTTGAAAGATCTCTTCACTCTACACAAGTTAGCGAAAAAAGTTGTTCTTAACCGTTAAAACTGATGACGTCACAAAGGGTAGAAAGGACCTGGATCCGCACGGGCGGTTACGGGCGGTTCAGGGGCGAATGGGTTAAAAAATGCCAACTGCAGGGTTCGTTGAACAAGCAAAAAGAACCTGTTCTCTTGTAGATACGATTTATGTATTATTATAGCTATTTGATTGTGGCCGCACCTTGGCTTTACCTCGAAAACTGTGCCATCTTCGTCGGTTTCGGGCTTAACTAACAATAATCGAAGTCTAAGAAACTATCTATTGTCAAGATCCCTAATTAGGCTAAAAATTGCAAATTACTACCGGCAAACAAAGATTGCTCCAGTAGTTACATAATAGTATTGGTTCTGCTTTGTGAGTTTCTTTTGCCCGGTCGCAACGTGCAGCATCTTGTTCAACCTCTGCAGGCTACCGAAACGTTTGAACCGCGTTTGATTGACGGAGATCTATTTCCAAGTGGTTTTGATTTCGAAAGGTCGCCCAGTAGTGAAAACCACGAGGTTCATGAAGGTAGACTTCGAACGTGCAGCACTTGAGCTTAAAAACAATAAAAAATTCCAAAAGGCAAATGTGACGGCCAAGTCTGGATCAGTAATAAGCGTTGTTCTCTGTGACTGAGTTATTGTAATCCTTTTCTCGGTTATTGTATTACTTGTTCTAAAGGTGCAGCATTGTGTGTTTTTGCTCATTAACATTCTAAAATGTTATTAGCACTGTACTTTGTAGTATTATTTTTAATCTGTGTGTCATACCCTCGAGACGGATGCGATAAGTGCCGAACGTATTTTTGAACTCGAAAGTCAGAATATTCAGCTGTTTTAATGCTTATTGTTGAAGCTTGCATAATGCTGGTTGATATAAAGGGGCGGTAAATTGAGCAAGGTATTAAAACACAACTCAGTAAAAGTGTGATTTGTTTGGGCCTATATTATTCGATGACACAATACCGTCAAAGCTCTGTGGGATTATTTGCCAAACGTTTTAACCAATCAACAACCTCAGGAAAAGAAAGGAAAAGCCACAACTACTGAGCAATTTACATGAATACGTGGAATATATGAATATTTAAAAATTCTCTTGTGTAATTTTTAACCAACCAATGAGAGAGAGCCATGAAGATATAAACGCCTTATAAACCATTTCAACCACACGCAGTTTGATCTTCTTGAGGTGAGCGAAGTTTGAGAGTCAAGCTAAGATTTCATTTTCTACAAAAACCAGATAAGATGGCTGATGAAGACGTTGCTGCCTTGGTTGTGGACAATGGCTCCGGTATGTGCAAGGCCGGTTTCGCCGGAGACGATGCTCCTCGTGCAGTGTTTCCCTCCATCGTTGGCCGTCCAAGGCATCAGGGTGTGATGGTTGGTATGGGTCAGAAAGACTCGTACGTCGGCGACGAAGCTCAGAGCAAGAGAGGTATTCTGACCCTCAAATATCCCATCGAACACGGCATTGTAACAAACTGGGATGACATGGAAAAGGTAAATATTCTTCAACGTTGGAAATATCAAGTTGAGCGGTCGACTCACGATGAATTTTGCTTATTTTAGATCTGGCATCACACCTTCTATAACGAGCTGCGTGTAGCTCCCGAGGAACACCCAGTTCTGCTAACAGAAGCTCCTCTCAACCCAAAAGCCAACAGAGAAAAAATGACACAGGTAAAAACGCGTTTTTAGTTCGTACTCTTGAACAGTGACATTTCTTTTCCGAGCTCCTGCTGAGTTTTCGGAGAAGAGGGAGGGGCCGCCTGGGCCGGGTTTACTCTTCGATCGTAAGGCTTGAAGGAGTCGAAAACTTGCTATAAGCTTATCGACATAGCCGTTAAAAAAAAGGCGATTTTTGTATCTATCCATGAACGTTCGTCAAAAAGCTGATTTATCGTGGATTGAACTTTTGCTGTTTTAATTTAGCTTGAAAATAGGTAAAGTTTAAGGTTGTTCATTGTTCGTTTAACTTTAAAATGTCCAATTTTTTTCGGCGGAGCCCCACCTCAGCAGTAAAATTTCCATTGATAAAATTTCAAATAATTCCACAATTAAATTCTGGAAACGACGCTGGACTTCAAGGGGTCGCCTTCAAACTATATTGTATTTCGATGTACTGACAACAAATTTGCATCTGTATATATTTTGTCTATTGAACTGCAAATGCGTTGACTTGCAACAGCTCATAACATTTAAAAACCAGTCGCATATCGGTTGAAAATGTTGAGTTCGGTTTAAAATGGAAAATTGGCTCCCTGAAAATTGTAAATTTATTGATGTTTAAGAATTCGTCTTCTCGAAGAAATTTTTTTTTTAGCACGAAGCTAGTGCCTGATCACATCTGACTGGTTTCATGCCCATATTTGGTAACGAAACGCTGTGATTGGTCAGAGTTGTCCGAACAAGTTTTCTAATTAATATGCAGGTTTGACTGATGCTTTGTGAATTATGTCAATAGCTTTCGCACCGCATTTCAGATCAAAGGAAGTCAAAGTCTACAATTTTATAAAATTTTACAACGTGTTCTTTTGTGTGAATAATTTCAATTTTTCTGGAACCCAGCCTCTTTTAACTAACAATAACTTGACGTTATTTGCAGTCGATCCTTTCTTTTAAAAAAGTTATTAAAAGAAAAAACCTCATTATTAAAACTATCAAACTTTTGTTCTGTTTGTTGACCTTTTGCAGTCAATATTTGCATCTGAAAAGACTAAACTTGGATCAATTACTGAATATATTGTTTTACTTTTGTCTTGCTAAAAATCTTGATATGGGCTCTTTCGTTTTTTAAACTAAAAATGTACAGCGAAGAAAGTGGAATAAATCCTAATTACTCGAGTCACTTGTAACGAATGAACTTTTCCTTTTTCTAACAGATCATGTTCGAGACCTTCAATTCACCAGCCATGTACGTCGCAATCCAGGCAGTGTTGTCTCTTTACGCTTCTGGTCGAACAACTGGCATCGTATTTGACAGCGGTGATGGTGTGAGTCACACAGTTCCCATCTACGAGGGTTACGCTCTTCCCCATGCTATCCTTCGTCTCGACTTGGCCGGCAGAGACTTGACCGACTATCTCATGAAGATTCTGACTGAGCGTGGCTACTCCTTCACCACCACTGCAGAGCGTGAAATCGTGCGTGACATCAAAGAGAAGCTGTGCTATGTTGCTCTGGACTTCGAGCAAGAAATGCAAACTGCTGCATCAAGCTCCAGTTTGGAGAAGAGCTACGAGCTTCCTGATGGGCAGGTCATCACCATCGGTAACGAAAGATTCCGTGCACCAGAGGCCATGTTCCAGCCTTCCTTCCTTGGAATGGAATCTGCAGGTATCCACGAGACAACTTACAACTCGATCATGAAGTGCGATGTGGACATCCGTAAGGATCTGTACGCCAACACAGTGTTGTCAGGTGGCTCCACCATGTTCCCAGGAATCGCCGACAGAATGCAAAAAGAAATCACAGCCCTCGCCCCACCCACAATGAAGATCAAGATCATTGCTCCTCCTGAGCGTAAATACTCTGTATGGATTGGAGGATCGATCTTGGCTTCGCTGTCCACCTTCCAACAGATGTGGATCTCCAAACAGGAATACGACGAATCTGGTCCCTCAATTGTTCACCGCAAATGCTTTTAAATTACGAACATTTGTCCAAGTGAAAAGTAGAATTTTATAAGAACACTATTTTGACGTTTTCAAGAGATCATTTTGTACGTCTTATTGACTCAATTTCTGAAGAACTCAGATCTGTAAAACCAATAATGGTTCTTTCGCTGGTTATTTACCGGTTGAGATTATGTGAAATAAATAAGTTTTTGGTGATTACTTGTGTGTTGTTTCGTGAGCGGGATTTGGGCCCTGATTTCATGAGACAGGTCAATACATAATTACTATAATCTCCCTCACAAGAATGTTAACCCTAATTGAACAAGTGGAAGAAACAATAGGGTAGCCTAACCAGCTGAATGTGAACATACATTGACTACGAAAAAAAACATGCGTAGAATTACTTAATACAAACAGTCAAAGAGGAATCGTTTCGCTGATTTTGAAAGACAAAGCTTGTTCATTTTAGGGAAACTAGACGCCAAGTTACTGTAGTCAGTTAGAACGAGAACCTGCCATTCTTGATACAAACTCCTCTTTTCAAAACCTTGCTCTGATTTACTCTAAAAGGCATGACCTTTCGATGATGACGTTGCCATGTAAATGCCCGAAGAAAAAGCGATAATTATTACAAAGCTTGGCATTCGAAACCTGTGAGATTGATTTATTTCAAAACAAGGTCCCTTGAAAATTGTACCCAACTTGGGCGCATTTAAAGCGTCAATAGCTTGTCTCTGATTAGGCGGGACCGATATTATCATGTCCCGCTGGCAGGAGAGTCTCTATGTTTTGTACGTGATCAGCCTTTTAATTTCCCTTTTCCTCCTTTTTCCGCTTCAGACATCTGACGTTGCTGAGGTACTTCAAAGGGTTCGCATTCATCACGTGAAGCGAAATGAAATAAATAAATGGCAAAATACAGGCAAACCTCTCATAAACGACCACCCAAAAAGCGAAGGTCAAGTCGTGACTTACAGAGAGGTGGACGCTTACCAAAATCGACCCACAGGGGCTGGAGTCTTTTCGATCCTAGGAGAGACCCGGACACATCAACTTTATGGGAGAAAGTTCATTACATGCACTTTACGAGTTACGATATTGGTAGTTTCATGTTGCCCGCTAAAAGACATCGCATTTACTTAACCCTTTAAAACCTAAGAGTGATCAGCATCAAATTTCTCCTTGTAATATCAATGCTTTGTAAAACAGAGTGGTCATGAGAATTATGGACACGATCACACAAGATGAATTTGCTTGATATTTCATCAACTTCTCCCCATTACTTCTGTAGGAAATGAATAGGGGTAACAAATGAGAATACAATTTTTGATCTAAGGGTTTAAAGGGTTAAAATGTGGTACATACTACAAACGGAGATCAAACCATGCCTACTAAGCCGTAAGAGGCGTTCCAAATTGATTCAGACACCGAACTTTTCATGTACTTAATTCAATGTTCGGCTCGTGAAAAGATCGGCGTCTGAACCGAGACTAAGAACCTGTTAGGCTAAAATTTGCCGTTTAGGCCCCCTCGCATACAAGAACTGTTTTGGCCTAATATTTGAAACAGGTTCTTATTTTCTACTATCTTTTATCTTTCTGCGCAATTGCGCAAATACAATAAGTCAGCATTCAGGATCCTCTTTGGAGACATAGGTGCCATATCACTGCCACCGCAATGCAATGATATGCAGATTTTATATTAGGAATTCACTCAACTGAATACTAAATGATCTTTGCTGCAATTTTTTTTCTTCAGAAAATAAGAGCCTAAATAGACTAAATTTTTGCTAATTACATTTATGTGAGAACCTGTTTAGACCTTCTCGGGAAAATGCAGGTTAAATGAAAGTAAAAAGGGCCCGTTTGTTGGAAAAGTTACTAAAAAAAACCGGATAAAAGTTGCTAGCCTGTGAACAGAGAGCCTGTTCAAAGGCTGAAAAGTTGCTCAAAAGTTGCCACAGAATGGAAAAATCTGCTCCAATGACCATGAAGTCGCTGATGAAGTTGCTTATCAACCTTACCTACTTAATTTAAAAACATAATAGCCTTAAACAACATGTTATGAATTTCAGTGGTGGCAAACAGCGAAAATAACCATCGGGATTAAGGAACAAGAGTGGATCGCTGATTTGATGGCGGTTTAAGATGGATCGGCGGTGTTGTCGAAAACACTTTGTCAACGCCTTTGCCTGGATAATGTTTCTCGGGCGCGGAGAGTAACAAAATGGGCTAGTTTTGTGAGGAAAAAAAATCATTACATTCTGCCTCCCACCTCCTCCCAGCCTCCGAACGTCAAAATTTAGCCCTCAATTTTTGACCACAGTATTCTCTTGGGAACACTATTTTCCGTGTGCCACGAAGCGCTTGTGGTGAAAATACGCGCGCGCGCTTGACGATCTCTCAAAGAGAAAAGAGGGTCTGTGAACAGGCTAACGAAAATTAGGCGCGGTATCATGGGGCAATCCCGTGGGGTCGATCTCCGGGTAACCCACGAGCAAAATGGGCATGCTAGGGGATTTGAGCGCTTTTGCGTTTCAAGGCAAACCTCCCCTGGGTCTTACCCACGGGATAGCGACATGATGGTCAGCCATAATCCGTCACAACGTTAAGAAACGCTTGAATTCTGACTCGAATGCTGATCGTTGATGGCTTCTCTTTGAGCTAAGACCGTCTTTTATTCCAGCTTGTCGTTTGGGCACGCAGCTCTCTCATTTTCCTCGCACAGGGCCACTACTTGTTTGTCTCAAAGTGATGTTACACGAGACGATTCGCAACGACGATTTTTAGCGCAGCAGAGCGTTGCAGTGCTGGAATAATGTTGTAACCATTCGAAACAATGTCGCAACGCTGTGTTGCGCTGAAAATCGTCGTGCGAATCGTCTCGTGTAGCATCACCTTTACTCGATCATATTATCGAATTTTAATAGTTACAAGATGACCTGCCTGGACACTTTCCTATTAATTTTGTCAAGTAAGCTTCAAAAGTTACTACTTGTCCCGGACAATCAGATGGAATGCCTGTGGTCCGATTCCCGTAAACGACCACCTCCCGTAAGCGACCAGGGCTGAGTTGCTCAAAGCATGGTTAGCTTTAACCATTGGTTAAGCAGTATCAAAACCAATACGTCGTCAAGGTATTAAACGCTGGTTAACGCTAACCATGCTTCGAGCAACTGGGCCCAGAAAGTCTTCGCATTTTGGGTGGTTGTTTACGGGAGGCCTCCGATCAATTTACATTTCCAGATACTACAGAAAAACAAACAAACAAATAAATTCTTTTAGAAACACTTTATTCAACAAAATTCTATAGACAATTTTCAAGTAAACTGTTCGGTGAATCAACTTCTCGTTAGTACATGGTGTGGATTTTTACGGTTTTGAAAATATTAAAAATAAATGATCTATTTCGGGTATCTTTTTCACTTTCACAGTATTTTTTCTATGGACTCGTGGGAGTCGTTATGTACAAGAATAATCTAGTGTAACTTCTTTCTATTTCCATTACGGAGAATGTAACAATATCAGTTAAACGATAAATATAGCAAAAGGTTTTAGAAGATGTTGCTTAGCAACCAGAGGCAGCTGTATGCAGTTCAATCTAGCTTTCTTTGAGGAAGCTATTGGTAGCATCTCTCACATTCTTAGTTGACTATAATGACCAAAGTATTGCAACAAAGGGACATGACACACCCCTCTTACTGTGCTTGTTTCTGCTACACAGAGTGAACTGGACACCTCACATAAACAGTGACGTAACTACCTCACCAATCTAAATTGAGCGTATTTGTTAATGTGGAAATAGTGAAAGTCCTTAATCTAGGTTTAGAAAATTGTTTGTAGAATATTAAAAACTGACACTATTAAAGTTTTTATTATAAATATTATTATGAAACAGCAAATTTTGCTGAAATTGTGATCGACATCCAATCGAGCTAAAGATGGGTTAGGCAATAGGAGTAACAAAATATCACTAATATTTTATTAACCATGACTTATACTGTTATTCTAACTCTCTCAGTAATAGTAAAGAATATATCTCTTAATACACTCCCGCGCCCTGTCAATAAAAACTTCTCTCTGAATATCTGTGTTTTAATAACCAAAGAACTGCAGCCGATGATTTTTAAAAGTACAGTCGAACCCAGTTCTACGGACGCCTACTTAATACGGACACCTCGTTATTACTGACAGTTTTCTTTGCCCCTAAGGAAGCCCTTACATTTTCTCTAAATTCAACGCGCTTAATACGGACACCCGATAATGCGGACAACGGACACTTATTTCTTGCCCAATCAAACACAATGTGAACTGCCTGATTTCACATTTTCTGGAGGATACGAACACCACAGAACGATTTTTTATCTTTTCTAAAAACTTAAATACAGTTCTTGAGAATTCAACTCACAAAAATTCACTAACATTTGACAAATTGAGCGACATGGAAACAGCGTTAGGTGACTTACCAAGAGATATTTTCGTCACTGTAACCGTCATCATTGCTTAACCCTTTAAGCCCTAAGATCAAAATTTGAATTCTCATTTGTTTCCCCTATTCATTTCCTACAGTAGCAGTGGGGAGAAGTTGAAAAAATATCAAGCAAATTCATCTTGTGTGATCATGTCTGTAATTCTCATGACCACTCTGTTGTACAAAGCATTGATATTACAAGGAGAAATTTGATGCTGATCACTCTTAGGGCTAAAGGGTTAAGCTCCCATCTGACACTATGAAAGCAATTCAATGTAAAGGAAGCTGTTGGGACCAGTCTTCTCGCCAACATTTTCAGATTACGTACGTACAAGCATTACTGTAAGTGATTATAAAGTTACACACATGATTCAGTCATGATGTTTTCTCTGCTGTTCCATTTGTTATTGGCTGTATTGTGCGCATGGTTTTGAAGATAGCCATTGCTTGATGGAGTTGTGGTTCTACCTGCAATTACAGGAAAGTGGTGTTTGCAAATTAATCAAAGGATAAACTAAACAAATAAAAAATTACAGCCTTCTCTCAAACCTTAAACTGGTTCACTATCAAAACTTTACAAAATGTTTAAAACATTGGTGGAATATATATAATTTTCTGGATAAAAGCTTGTTTGGCGATTAGAGGGGTATTTATATCATAAATCATCTATCTTAGGAGAGACATCATACTAGAGCAAATTCTTAATATAATATTTTCACCCTTATTCAATTCTTTATTTTCTTTATCTCAGCTTAAGGTAATGTATTTGAGACAAAGCAGTTACAAGCAAGAATTGGAACCACAACATGGGTGCACTGATACAAGAATAATATAGCCTCATATGATAAAACTGAGTAGAAAATTAAAGAGAAATATTTTCTAATTTCTATTTTAGATAACTCAATCTTAAAACTTAGTTTTAGAGGAGAATACAGTTCAAGCTCTCACAAGTGAACACCTTGGAAATTAAAAAAAGTGGTCGTAACTAGAGCTGGTTGCTTACAAGAATGTACCGCATGGTAAGACAATAGGGTGTGGTGGATTACAAAAGCTTCAGAAACTCATTAATAATTCAGAGTCACTAAGACTAGTGTTCATGTTGACGTTAGGCTCTGTGGTCATTGCCACGCAGGCTAAGTGAACGCTATGGAAAGGGCCATGAACTTTTACAAATTCAATACTGCACTGTATAAGATCTTTATCACCGAACTATCAGCCCAGTGTGTAGTTTCATTAAAGTGTTGATTTAGATGAATAGGACTCTGATTGGTCCCTTATGAGAGTTTAAAAACAAATTGGTTGCGGTTGCTTACGGGATCGGTCACTACGAGACCTTTTTGCGACTGTAATTACAATAATTACATGATAGAGAGTTGGGGATGAGACAGCATCAATGTGCATCTACGGATCCTGAGAGATCTTTGGATAAAATAGAAAACATGCCAATGGTTCGAATTAACCATCATTTCCTAAGCATTAACCACAAAACTGGTCGGTTAGAAGGGTATAGAATTAGCTCAAACAAAACCTAAACACTACAAGAAAATCAACTAGACCTACTATAATGCCACAGGGAAAAAACAGGCCTTAAGCTTACCATTTGCATTTTCTTTATTAGAAGTAAGTTCATCACGCGATCTTAACACAGATTCAAATGAAAATTGCGGCATCCTCCTTGTCCAATGATCGTATCCGGAAGAAGATTCCGAAACTGATGAGGAACCAACATTACGTCGGGCGTAAAACAAAAGATAAGCAGCCTTGGTGATAATCTGGTTCTCATTTATCTTCTCGACACGCATGTCATCAAACAACCACCATGAGTCATCAACAGGATTCTTACAGTACGCTGTGTAATGACCACCAGACATTCCACCAGTATGGTTACATACAGCATACAAGTCGTAAAGGTGCTCTTCATCTGATCCGATTACAGAAGGGGCGCGATGACGCCTCCATGTACCCCACCCTAAGGAGTGTGTCTCTGGTGATGATCTTTTGATGCGGGGTTCTAAATGTGTCTTCATATCCAAGTTAGTCAGTGGGAAGTCTACCAAGGTGTGGAGCTTGGTGCGACCTGCCGATGTCTGCATGGGGAAATGGCAAGTGTTAATAAGTACACTGCAGTTGTCATTCCTGACTAGCACACTCATCTAACTGTCACATTTTTCAATTTTACATCTTTTGGTGGTGGAGAGAGGAGTTCTGACATACTGGATCAGTCCTAAACTGACAGAACAAAATAATGTCTGAACCTCTTTCTCCACTCTTTCTGTTGCAAAGTAAGTCTGTATCCCAATTTGTGAAAAAACTCTTCATATTACTATTTCTTTTGCTAAAAATTCCTTCTCTCCAATCCAGAAGCTGCTTTGAAATTAATATTCCTGCCCCCACTTCTTTTTATGGTAGTAAAACATATGGGGCAAATGTTTTACAATAGTGGGCATGACAATCAGAGTAGCAGGTGGCAAAGGCCTCATGTTGAGTACGTTGCAAATCTTCCACCGAAAGCAGCAAAATTGCTAGCTGTTGGCTCATTTTGACTGATGGGAGTTAAAAACATCTCTGACCACTTTTAAAAAACTGTGTAATTTTCTTAAGAAAAAAAATAATAAAAGAGAAGCTGATGTTGTGCAACAAAAAAAACTGACTTATAATACTGACCTGCCTGAATCTCTTTAGATGAACCACCAGCACCTCTGGCAGAGTCCATAGGCTCAGTTTCTTCACTGTTCCTTGCTGGAGTTTTTTGCATCTTGGACAAAGCCAAGCATCTTCAGAGCCCAGCTGAAAAAGTTGAAAATTCAGAGTAAAAGGTCAGTAAAGTTCTGTAAATACCCTCAAGAGATGATTGTGTGTGAAAAAGCTAAGCTGAGCCTTCCTGTACAGGCCATTACAGGAAGTAACACCCAGGCTGGCTAGGGGTATCAGATAAGTATTTTGTCATCACGGTTACTATATTAATTAATTGTTCTTGTTACCTTTTCATCTTTGGTGTACAACCTGAAGCAGTCCTCTAATTCAGCATGGTGTGAGCTGTTATGAAATGATTCCATCTCACGCACGCTGCAGTGCTCTTCAGGCCTTTCTTGAAAAACACTGGACCTAACAAATCTATAAGGGAAGTTTGAAAGATTACTTTCAACCCAAAATATAACCATTAATGTTTTTACTGTGATTTGCAAGTTTATGTACTATAGAGTTGTTGGTGAATATATGAAATTTATATATTGAAACCGTGGAATGAAGAAGACCATCCCTGTCAAAAAGCAACTTATGCAGTTGCTAAAAGAAAGCCTGTGGCTAATCAGGATTTGAAAGAAAATGCCCTTGAAATGACCATGGCAACACTGGTCTTTCAACCAAGTGAATTGAAATTCAACATATTCACCTTGTACTGGTGGTTATTTATATTTACCTGACTCTTGTCTCTTGTTCCCATTCAGCAATCACTTTGATGTGTTGAGGACCACTGCCCGGTCCACAAGCCATAAGCGCTCTGTAGGAACAAAGTATAGTAACAAAAATGAAAATCTTTCCTACATCAGTCTAGACTGTTTTTTATAAACTCTGTAGTCAATTTAGAATTTCAAAGTGGGATGTCATCCTGTATACGCCAGCACCTGTGCACCAAAATAAGTTCTCCCAAACCAGGCCGGGTACTTACCATTTACATGGAAAAACTGGAAATTCTGGTTGGAAAATCAAGTGGTTTACTTTGTTCTGTTTGGGAAGCTTTAGAAAATATGGGCTGTAATTTGAAGCGATCAATTTTTCTCCTGTTTTAGTCTGTTCAGTTGATTTGGATATACTTTGTAGTGGATTGCTCTGCCACCACGTCAAATTTTTTAGTTTTATGTTTATGCACAAGATTTCCACCCGGGTGGTTTGTGTAAATGGTAAGCACCCTGGTACCTGACAATAGCACTTGTTGTAGAAATCTTCTGTACTAAGCAGCCACTTCTTGTAAGTGACCACAAATCTTGACATTTTGGCTGTTTGCTGTTTGACCTTTGTTGATTTAATTGCCTATAGAATATTAGAAGTGTCTGAATGATCCTTGTAGCATCTACACAGCTTTTAAACAGTTTCCTCAAAACTGTGAGTGGACGACTCAATTTGGTAATAATGGGTTACTAAACTGCACATAAATAAAGCATATGAATATTATCTTGGCAGCTGACCAGTGCTCATCATCTTTCAAACAACTTCGTCCAGCAATTCTGCACAGTAAACTTGCATCAGAGTCTGTTTACTTTCATTAGGGAAGGTCAAGGATGATTCAGCTGTATATCTCAAGACTTACTTGTCAACAGTTGCCTGGTAGAGGGGGTGGTCCACCTCTGGGGAAAGTGCACTCTTTCCTGGCAAACCATTCACAACACGCAGTCGGAAAATCAAGCCTTGCTTCTGCATTGTCTGAAATAAGATGTAAAAAATTGTTCCGGTACTAATGAATATTAACTGTCAAACTACAAAAAATGATGAATTCTGAAGTCATTGTACAGCCGGTTGTTACATTTTGACAGGCTACTCAATTAAAAATTTCAGTAAAATATGAGTCAAGTTGCCTTGAATTTTCGCTGTTCTGAGCAAAAATTTAAGCTTTTCTGTAACTCATTTGGTACTTTCTTTAACCCACTCGCCCCTGAACCGCCCGTAACCGCCCGTGCGGATCCAGGTCCTTTCTACCCATTGTGACGTCATCAGTTTTAACGGTCAAGGACAACTTTTCTTCGCTAACTTGTGCAGAGTGAAGAGATCTTTCAAACCATACCACAATGAGCACAATTCAGTCAAGGACACCGGAGAAACAAGCAAAAAACCATGTGACATTGACCTGAAAATCTCCATGAAAATCTTGTTCCATTACCCACTTACCTTTCCTTTCACCTAATCCTAAGATCCTAAAAGCTTTCCTAAAAACTCTTGCTACCAAAATCAAGCCTACTAAATGCCCAGCAAGAGAAAAAAAAAATGAGGCAAGAAAAGCGAAAAAAGAAGGGAGAAGAGAAAGCGAAAAGTAAAAGTCAAGACTGCTGTGTCACTTTTAAACCCAAAAACTATCTCGAAATTTTGCTTTCTGCGCATGCCCGAACTTCGCAAGCTCATATTTTGCATCTGGATCAGAAGGCCGCGAAGTGCTCGATCTGTAAACCAGTTTGTGGTAAGTTTTAGCTCTTTATAGAACGACAGTGACCAGAAAACCACTCGACTAGCTTCAAAACGCGTTTTTCGGCAAAATCTCCAGGAGCGAATGGGTTAATGGACATGCAACTGCACTTTTCTCTGACCAAAGAAATTTTCCTCTTAATAACTGAATGACCCTTACTTGTGATGATATGTTGTCTAAAAGAATCCTTGACATGGCTTTCAAGATTGCTGCTTGAAGATTCTCATAACTAAGTTCTCTAAGAACTCTTACAATGAATGGAAGACCAAATCTGATAAAAAAAAAAAAAGAATAAGGAAAAATATCACTTGTGATGCAGATAGTATCTAGCCTACGCCACTGAGATGAAACTAAACCTCTGGTTAAGTCCACCTGTCAGCTAGCGCGAAAACCCTCGTTTTGGCCCCTAAGCTGTGTATCAGGATTTGAGTATGTGCAATGATTGGCCTGTTAAAAAAGCCATTGTTCAATTGGCCAGTCAGGTTTAAGGGAAATTCAAAATGTACTTCCGGTTAAATATAACAGTCTATTAGGGCGCCTAGAACAAAGATCTTGGCACTGTTTCACAAACGTCACCAGACGGGGTTCGTTCCGTATCCCTGAGAAACCCGCATCCCGTAACACGGATTACTGTATGAAGAGCTTAGCATTTACCAGGGCTATCCCTAAGGGCTGGGTGCAGCTGGGATTTCTCCCAGCTGGTATGAGCATAATCCCCGGCTACCTTTATAGGAAAGAAAAGGAAAATAAAACCAAAAGAAATTCCTAGCTCTTCAATTCTCTGCCTACTAATTTCATACATCCAGCACCTTGAAAACTTAGTCACCCTAGATCTAATAAGCGGTGACTGACCAAAGCCTGACTGACTAGTTTTTATTGTCATTTTCCTTTAAGTCAAGTGGCAAATAGGCTAGAGGGCAGAAGCAAAATCCCTTCAATGGTCTCTTACTTCTGCTTCCATGACAATGCCCGAAAACATTGCTGTTAATTCACCTCTTTTGAATGGTCAACCCAGCTGTGGTAAGCAGTCAGTTGGTCATTTTCTGTAGGGTGAACACTTGATATGGGTTTGACTACAGTAACTGTTAACATCAACATTATCCCAGTCAAGGGGGATTTCCACTGACAAAAGCATCTCCATTTTCAATTAAATGCTGAATTTCTGTGACTGGCCACATGTTTGTTAATGCAAAGGCAATATTCTGATAAACAGACAAGCTGCATATATGCTTACTACTAACTTTTGAATCCTCTACCTTAAAACATTTTAGGACAGGAATTTTACCTTTTACTTGATGTAGTTTTACCAGGTCCCTCACAGTTTGACACAAGAATCACAATGGTGTCTTGAATAGGGCCATCATTGTCTGCCGACATCACAGAGCTTTGTGCCTCTCCAGTGTCCATTTCAGGAAAAAGCTGACTGGGTGATTCAAAGGCATAAATATTGTCCCCATCATGAACAACACTCAATGACTGCTTATCATGAAATGTTCTATGAAAACCATCATAGTAGAGTTCTGTGAGAATCAAAGATTCCTCTTTGATTCCTGTCATGTCAGACACAACATTTCGCAAATCAGCGATAGTTCCATTTAAAGGTACACTAACTCCAATGCGTAGTGGTACTCTGGTTGAATGTACAAAGACTGTCGTGACAATGATGGGTCGAGTTTCTCTCTGAGGAATGGGTAATGAGAGGCACAGGAATGGATCAAATGTGGTTGACTGTTGGTTGCACCTAGGGCATTTGAGTGAGGAACGATACTGTGCTTGGAATAAATCCAGAACAAAGCTGTCATTACAGCGAGTGTGATTGGTCAGAGCTTCTGAGGCAATTATGTCATCTGATTTACCCATACTTTCCTGAAATAAAATTACAAAAATGTAAGCTTAAATGAAAACCTTAAGATGAACGGACATTATTACATCCACATCTGATTCACTCTCAGCAGTGTGATTTTGACAAGTCAGACTTAATTTTTTGCTGTAATCTGTTCTTAAACACATCAATTCTGTTTTAAATCACCTCGTTTTTGCTCTGTATCACATCATTTCTGTTTCAAATACAAAATGAGGTGTAACAGCCTTTTTGTTGCTGCTTTATAACAAACCGGCTACTAGTTCAAAAAAAAAAGAAAAAAGATGGTACTGACTGAATTCTGTGATTTCAAAATAGTAGCAATAAAGTGGTATTTGAACAATTTTTTTTTTTTTTTTATAATCACACTTGGCATTCACTTACAATACAGCTACAGTCGGTACTTACTTACAACAAGACTACAAAAGTTACTTATGTTACAGCTTTACTACTTACTTGTTTGCTACTTACTTACATTGAAATACCTAAAACTAGTTTACAACAAACAAAAGGACTACTAAAGACCATAAATAAATGAAAAGAAAAGAAAAGAAAGAAAGAAAAAAGGCGACGCCTCTGCCTAAAACGGTTTTTAGCAATAACTACTTGAGATAACATTGACAACAATTGCTAATATTGATAATAAATCATAAATATGCATAATTAGATAATTAATAAGATGATTAATAATAAACAGTGCGGAAAGATATGTGAAATAGATACTTTAATTAAGAAATATTGGCGGTATGTCTAGCTCTCAATTGCACATTGGCCTTGGTTCATTTACAGAAAATGGATAAATAGGAAAGCTTTTATTTTACCAAAAGCTATGTAATGTTGAGAAGTGGACGTAAAGGATTCCATTTCTTAGAAGTTGCATCAATGTTGTTGGACTCTATGTAAAACTGCGATTTAAGGGACATAAGAAAAGTTGTTAAATTCGGAATTTTCTGGTTGACCCTGCAGCTCCATTTATAATACCTTGCCAGGAGAAAGCAGAAATTTAGTTGAAGTGAAAACTTGGAGCTGTCTGGTTTCAGGCCCAGATATACAGCAGTGTATTTTGGATAATCTATCGTTATTAGATTGATCTGCTTTAGTTTTTCAGTCAAATTTTCCCAAAAGGTGGCTACTATTGTACAGTTCCAGAAGAGGTGGATTAGGTTTTCGGGATGGATGGTACAGAAAGAGCAGTTCGGGTCCTGCTTTATATCGATTTTTGTTAGGAAAAGGTTCGTTGGTAAAATTCGGTGAAGGAATCTAAATTGAAAGTTTAAAGTTTTGTGCTTTTTGTGCACCTAGCTGCCAGACAATAGGCGCTGGTCCAGTCAGCAGAGCATCTTTGGTCGGATTTAATGCTGTCATTCCATTTTGAACTTTGTGTCATGCAATTTTGGTCTGAAATCATCATTGTGATTTCAAATCGAACTTGCACTGCACTTACGCAATTTTGAAATCACGGTATGATTTCAGACCAAATTGCACTCCACTCAGTTCAATTACTATAATGTATGTTTGATCTTACAATGCACAGCATTCATTTGAATGAGTAATAAATCAACTGGTCAGCCCATCTGGTCTATAGCAAGAGAGGCTTCTGACCTGAAAGTACTTCAACACGCGATGCGCCACTGATCAGACAAAAAAAGACATGCCATTTTACTTTACACCAGCAATGGATATGCTGCCTTTTCGCTTTTTGTTATTAGAGAGAATCAGTACCAATACAGTTCTGAAGAGTTCATTTAAAATTCTGGTTCCTCTCATACCTTTCTTTAAAAATTTGGTTATTAACAAACAAGAATAATTTCCCTAATCTAACAGACTAACAAGGCCATTAGGCAATAGAAGTTAGTGTATTAAATGCAGACTTGCCAAGTCTCACAACTTTGCTGTGAGTCTCACAATATTATCACAACCTTTATCATGATCTCATCATTTATAAGTTGACAACACTGATTTCTCAAGCTTTATTGGAAAGTCATCCTACAAAAAAAACTTTTGGAGCATCTGTGCGGCTTGACGTTTTCAAGTTACACAGCAAACTCAGCCCAAAAGAAAACACGTGGTGGTTGAATTTAATTAGTAAGGAAGTGAATAATTGCCAACTTGGTACATTGTTAAGTTTACATTCTTCAGCCTACCACCACTTGTTGCTACCAACAAATACCCAGTATCACATTTAAGGTAAAACTTAATCTCTCATAATCAAGATGCCTCCTGCCCCTTCAACAAATGTGTGGATATCTGCAGCAATGAAGACTAAAGTGATGATAAATCTGGTGACTGTAAATACCCATGATCCCCACCTGAAGTTCTTCCACTAGGAAATTTTGAACATGTCACTACTTTTCCTGGCTCCAGGTTCAGAATCTTAAGATTTTTGCCTATTGGGAGGCTGGCAAGTCTGGTAACATTTTGGGAGGAAATCATGCAGAAAGATTGAAACTGCACAGCATTTAAAAAGTGATACACCTCAACGAAAAAAAAAACAACTGTAAAAATGGAGGAACCTTATCTCTTAAGAAAACTGGCCACTGTCTCTACTTTTGCTAACAATTTTTCGGAACAATTAGTGAATGCGTCTAATGGACTCAACTGCAAGTGGTCTTATTATATCCTGAGCAACTGATAATAGCGCCTAACAAGAAAACATAATTTAACACCAGAATTAACGAAAAGGGACCAGAAAAATTAATGCGCGTTTTAAAAATAAGTTCAGACACCAACACTTCAATTAATTTAAGTTCACCCTCTTACTTAAAAAAAAAGGCCTCCAGCAAACCAATCTACCAGAACGAACCACACCATTTTGGTTCACGAAACTTCGGGCTATTTTTATCCCACCGCGAAGAAAACACAAAGAATCAATCATTAGGAATATCACTCCGGACGCTAAAAATTATCACCCCATTTTCAGTATTTTAAGCGTATCGTTGATCATCGACGAGACATACTTCAAATTCTTTTTGCTTCCGTTTGAAAACTTAGTAAATGGTTTACGTTACACTTCATGTGGAAAACATCCGAACAAAGTTCTTACAAGAATAATCATTAGAACAAGAAATATGGTCAACATATGGCATCGAACAGGTAATCTAAATTCGAACGAACTGTATGTGTTCATTCGATCACAACTCAAGTTTAACTTCTGGGATGCCAGAGAAAGAAAGAAAGTCAAAGCACGATTATCTCTTACGGATTATGTCCCATCGAAGCTCACGTGAGGGAGAAAATTTGTAAACGTTTGGTTTATGAAATGCGACGGGATCAATCAAAGAGCAAATACGGTTAGAGCACGCGAAAAAATATTTTTCGACAACTCGTACGTGTCTGGCTACTAATCAAAACCACAACAAAAGGTCAAAACAAGAAGGTTTTTATCTCAAACGAACCACAGATAAACGAATTTTATGCAAATTGTCAAAACACTGACCTGAAGAAAACAAAAACAGGACTTGTTTTGCTTTTAACCGTGAATGAGGTGAAATCAAAATTCGCATTAAATTGCATGACATTCGAGCAGGTAATTTGATCAACACTGCAAAGTGTCAAAAATAGCAAATGTGTTTTTTTGGTTTTTTTTCATATATCCTTTAAAAATACCTTGTTCGCCTTGTATTTTCGCTTGGTTGCTCGATTCAGATCTTCATGTACTTTGTCCAAAAGCCAAAGCAAAAATTCTTGGGCGTCATGTTGCGAGTAGCCTCTATACTGAGCCCCATATTTTCCTACGATCATTTTGAAATCGCTGCTAATCTGTGAATTGTACTGACTTGACCACAAACTCTTGAGCAACACAGCTAACTTCTCCGTTACTTCACCGCGAGTTCCAAACTTCTTGGTCTGCCCCTTCCGAAGTTTTAAGTCCTGTTTGTATTGGTCCATTACGAAGTACTCGGCTAACAAATCAGTATGAGCGAGACATTGAATAATCGAGTTCATAAAACAAGTATTGCCATGGTTTTTCAATCCAGAAACGTTGATTGCCTCAGCCGATCTACTTCTTTGAATGTTCGAAGGAGGTTGTTCAGCTGCATCGAAATTTTTCTTCTTGTATGAAGCGTTCTCGTCGATTTTACCAATCGAAGTTGTCGAGTAAGCCGCGTTCGAAGGAAACTGCACAGCAGATACTCTTATGACAAGTTTGTGAACCATATTCGTAACAGATTTCATCGACGGCCTCCTCACTAATCTTTTGCCTCCAACAAAATCCCTCGAGCCAAATCTGAAGCTCTTTTTTTTCGTTAGTTGCCTGGAGCTCTTAGACCTCTCCAAGTTCGCATCCTCGTCTGCGCTAACTTCCCGGGCGCCGTGACCTCCGTGCAGCTCACCAACACTTGCGGAACGTCTGTGAAACATTTTCTTTCGGCAGGAAGTGCAACTGTATTTATCCAAGACAATTCCACTACTCTATACCGCAGGGCAGCTTTTCTGCGAGACAGGTTATCATTCACTGTACAGAGATGTCAACTCGATACTTATACACAATGTTTTTCCGCTTCGAACATGTCGATGACTCACTTTCCCACAAACGGAACGCTGAAAAAATGAACTTCTGCTTTAGAGCATGCGCAAACTTACGTCACTAGGAAGCTGGAACGTTACTAAGGTGGCTGGACCCATGCTATTCTCTATTGCAAAAAAAAAGTAATTTCCCTTGAAAAAGAAAAAGAAAAAGAAAAAAGAATAAAGAGAACAAGGATATCATCCTTTTGATCCCTATTTCTTGTCACTAAAAAAGGGACACAGTCAGATCGAGACCGATGTAGGAGGGCTGGATAAGACATGACGGCCGGAAATATTCGACAGGGTGTGCCATGCAAATCTGAAGATTTTGAAAACACTCACTGAGAGCCTATCATAACAGGCTCCTGCACTCACTTACTCAGTTGGGAAATCATCGATCCCGAGCCACCCTGGTGGCGGGTGGAGGTTTTTGTGACGGTGTCTCTTTGCCCGTTCAAATGGATTTGGCTGTGAGTCACTTTTTGTGTAACAGCCGGAAATTCGTGTTGCTCTTTTTTTCCAATGCTAGAGTGACGACTCCTTGTTCATAGTTAAGACAAGAAAAAAAAGACAAACTTGGTTATGGGATTACACGCCGGATTTCATCATGTAGTGCTAAATCTTATCTTCCGTTCAGAATATAAGTACCAATTAAACAAGTGGTCACGAGCGCTACTCAACAAAATTTTTGTACGGGGGCAGGGGGGGGTCCTCCCTCCGCCCCGAGGTTCAACCACTCATCCTTTTATACACCATTTTTGATAGAAAGGATCAGAAAGGATTGACAAGTGGTAGCCCTTTCACACGCTTAGTTTAGAACTTTTCATCCCTTTAACTGCTGTAAATGCACTTTCAGGTTTAAATATGAATTAATCACAAGATTAGAAAATGTTCTTGGTGTTTTCACAGAAATAAAATCATTCTGTAGCCCTCTTAGGTCATTTTACAGACCAAAACGACAGTTTTCTCCACGTACCTTTCATATACAGTACTGGGGGAACCCCGATGACTCGAACTCCCCGCTAACTCGAACTGAATCCTGTTTCCCTTGGATTTAAACCCGTTTTTCAGGCATCTTTACTCAGTGTTTACTCAGTTAATTCGAGCTCGGACAACTCTAAATAGTTCCCCGCTAACTCGAACTAGATTTCCTTTCCCTTGATAAAAAAGTCATAGAAAATTACCGCGATGACTCGAATTCTGGTCCTTGTAACTTTACTCGGATGCCATTACATTTGCTCTTCTTGTCGTTATAATCAGTAAAAACACTAAATCTAACACTGGTTTAACACTAACAGCAATTTGATTTTAATTTGTGCAACGGCAAATCATGTTTTATCACAAAAAATGCCTTTAGCCGTCATGTTACCTTTTCTAATAAACTAAGTTAAACTTGCACTGCAAATAGTGGTATTATACACTGCCGGAAATGCTGAAAAATCAATTATTATTAATTTTTAACACTGAAAATTGAAGTTTGCAATCGACCCCAATAAACGGCAAACCTCCGCTAACTCTAACTGTTCTTCTTTTCGCTTCAGAGTTCAAGATACAAGGATTCTACTGTACTTCAACTAGTGAAATCCCCCTTTCGAGCGGAGCGTCCCCTTATAGGCCTTTAAAGGGAGGACTCCCGGGGATATCTACCTCATCATGAACAATCTCTTTATTCATAAAACCCTCGAGGCACTGGGTGTATGCTAGAGATCATCGCTGTTAACTGGTTAACTTGATCATTACCGTATTTACGGCCACAGTATTGAACCAAAACTGATACAAGGGGAGCAGTAAATTCTTCTCACTCCCTGGCCTCGTGTTGTGGAGTGTTCTAAAAACCTTAAAAAATTGTTCAAACTGAACATTGGAGGGGATCCCTTCAGTTAGCATTCGAAAGCTGAATTAATCAGGCATGTCATGCTTCATCAGTAGACAAAGTGATAGGGGTTTAGGCTTTATTTGACTCCTAAAGGAGACCATACTAGAACAGGCAAATAGTTAAGAGCTACAGTGATTTTAACTGCACTACAGATTTTGTCATCAAATGCTATCTTCAACTCAGTTTATTTTCTTAAATATAGATATTTCTTTAGGCAGAGACCTCAACGATACCTATATGGCCGGGTAAAAATCAGTGGCGGATCTAGACCTTCAGGTAAAGGGGCAGGGGGGTGCGGTCATCCAGACCCTGAGACAAGGAGGGGGGCGGCCTCAAAAAAAATTTTTTCTCATTTTGGTCTAAAAATAAGGGGGGGGGGGGACTCCTCCCCTGGATCCGCCACTGAGAATCCCCGGGAGGGCATTTAAGGGAAACCTTGGGTAGGGGTGTGCCGCCAAGGCCTTCACTCGCTAAAAATGAAAATAGATACCCCTCTTTAAAACTCAAGACTCGAAAAAAGCTATTCCCTGTTCATCGATGTATACCTTTGTCCATACCCGTTTAGGCCAAATAAGGGAGTGCTTGCTCCTTCCCCTTGGGTAAAGAAATCGAATTTCCCTCCAAAACACCCTAAGCAAGATGCGAAGAATTCCCGTCACTTTCTTGTGTTAACGTCGGTAGACCTCCCACGGAGCAAACTTAAGCGACACATTGAAGGGAGACAGGGGGTGCTTACCATTTTGGCACAAACTACCCGGCTGGAAATCTTGTGCAGAAACAAATTGGTGGTAGAACGACCCGCTACAAAGTATATCCAAATCTGCTAAAAAGACTAAAAACAATGGAAAAATTTGCGTGGCCTCAAATCACAGCCCATATTTTCTGAACCTTCCTAGAGGGAATGGCACAAAGTACGTTTCCTACCGAAGTTTCCGGTTTTCCCATGTGAAAGGTAGGTACCCAGGGATACCTAAACGCCGGCACGCTTCCTTCCTTTACGAGCATTACATTATGGCAACGAAACAGGGAAAATATTCGTGATATACTACTTCGTATCAAACATGGGGAGCAAGTTTTATTTTTAATAAATAATATAATAACATGTGCAAATCAAATTTTACATCAATTTATGAAATACAAATATACCCTTTATTTCGAAAATACGAGGACGTCGAGTAATTAAATAAGAATTGTAGCTTGACACTTTTGCACAAAAAGACAATAAAATTTTAAATTTTCGTTCTTAAACAAATGCATTGACTTTTTATGCCCTGTTAACATTAAGATATTCAAAACATCTTTAAAACCTTAAGACGTTTCTAAAAAAATTTCAGAGAGAAGTTTCTGCGTAAGTCAAGTTGTAATACATCATCATCATTTTTTTTGGGGGGGGGCACGGGGTGGAATGGGTGTTGGGGGTATTTTCTCAGTGTTTAAAAACTCAAAATCAGGTGTAACATTCTCGCTACCAAGACTACTTTTACTATAATACAATGACACATTTGGAATAACATGTGAAACCTGTGAAGAAACTTTTGCGTAAAACCAATTTTCTCAATATATGAAGAATGAAGTACTAAAAATCCAAATTAATTCAAAACATGTTTGCAACCAATAACTATACACTTCAGAAACTCTTCCTTTAAATACAGTCGCTGACAAAACTGTCAAAACACTGGAAAAAGAGCATCCTATCCTCTTCCTAACCCTCATAATCACCCAACCAAGGAAGGCATTTTGTTATGTAGAAGATAAGTGAGAAAGTAGTTTCTCTAACATGTTTGCAACTATTTTTGTTACTAATTTTGACAATCAACACTGATTATCTTAATACTGCCTGTTTGTTGTCCAAGAGAACACATGAATTTGTTCAGTTGTTAACAAAGTGAAAAACTGAAAAACAGAAATATCACTGACGACAAAATATATCTACCGTATTTGGGATTTATTTTCATAAATCCTAGATCGCTTGTGATAATAATATCACATGAGCCGAATTCAGTCCACCCAATTAAGATACTTTTTTTTTACCAATAAACTAAAAAATTCTTAAATTTGACTTGTGTACCCTTTATAACAAGCTTATAATAAATAACAAATGGACTATACTTCATACACACTTATTACATTAGTATTTCCTCTACAAAGGAAAAGATTGGACAACATTAAATTTTTTGTATGTTCTTGACATCTAAAAATGATATAAAATAATAATTACTCTTTTAAAAACCTTTTCAGTGTTTCTATATATTATATTCTTCCTGACAGTACATACTTAGCCAAAATGTAAAATCATGACCTGTACCAAAGTAGTATGAGAAATAATTTAAATAATTTTGCTTCGGTACATTATGCTCTTACACTTTGGCATTACTATCCCAAGAGACATTTTGGCTAAAGTGTAGAAAGGAAATTAAATGAATCAGTTATTAGACTAACAAATAATAGTAATAATAATAATAATAATAATAATAATAATAATAATGATAATACTTAAAAATTAAAAATTTATAATGCACCTTTGACTGCTTGATGCATGGACTGATCTCTATATTCATTGTGAAAGGTACACATTATGCTACTGAGAGTATATGACTCACTTACACCGCTTGGAAAAGAATACTTGTGGTTTAGGGTGATGGCCTGGCTGCCTCCTGTTAGTGACCTGTTATTTTTGCACTTTGGGTAGTTCCTGACAGGAAGTTCAGCTCTATTTAAGTTCCACTTAGAATAAAGCAACCAATTATAGAAGTTTGTTAAAAAAATGTTCTATTGGGGTCTTTTTCCACATGCATTTGTCATTCAGTAAATACTGGGGATATGCGTATTAATTTATCTCTTGCCTGGTGTTTTCCACTATCTACCAGCCTAAATAGCTACAGAGGTAGTGAAGGCAAAAATATTTCCTACCAAAATTGAGTGTTCACTACAGCACCTTAGTAAACTTTGTTTGGTTAGTAGTAAGCTAGTATGTTCATTAATCCTGGGCCAAAAACTGGTTAACAGGCAAAAAAAAGACAACAAAAACTAGACAGCTAAATACATTTAGGCAATCAGTATTGAATACTTCTGAAAAAAACGAATGAACTACTTCATAGAATAATGCATGCAGTTTTAACAATTTTGGTAACAAAAAACAGTTAAACAGAAGCTTTCAGTAATAAATGCAATTCCTCAGGTTATTATCTTGTGTACAACTTCATTTGTGCTTGAAGATCATCCATTGTTGTTACACCATACTTGTCCTTATCTGTCTCCAGGAGCTTAAAAATTTCTTCAAGTTGTTTTTTCTGTGTCCTTGTACAAAATGAAAAAGAATAACTATTACATTTATCAAAAGTAACCAGTATTTCAGGCACATAATATTACCTTCCAATAATAATATTTACTTCCAATTTGCAGTCACTTGGGCTGCCACCATTATTTTTAATGTTTAATATTTTTTATAATGTTATTGTTTAGGAGCAAGTAAGCTCCGAAGAGCATTAATTCTTAGTACAGGTCTCTTTTTGATAATCTTATGAGGTAAATGCATTCATGTGAAACTTTAAAACTAATTTTCTGTTAAGATACATTTGAAAGTCTTTTAAGAAAAGAATTGAAATTTGGGATTCATTGCTGACAAATTGAAAATTATGGGAGGTTCTTTAATCTTTAACGAGTATTCTCCTAAACCAGTTTTAATTAACTACACTGGGAGTTTTAAAAGAAAAATTTAAAAATAAATAAGTACATAAATAAATAAATAAATAAATAAATAAACATATATGTACATTTATACATGAATAAATGAGCACACAATAAAATGGCCTAATAAAATGAATGTGAATAAAATATAAAAATACGACAGAATTTTAGTATCCTACATGCTAGAGATAATGGCTTTAATTTCATCGAAAGAATCAGGAGTTTTAGATAAGGGTACACTTTAATATAGGTGTAGTTCAAAATGGTAAGTTGGTAAAATGGTGGACAATTAGGAGATCTTGAAGCTCTTATATTGTGAGATATTTCAGGTGGTAGGGAAATACCAACAAGCCCTTTATAGATCTTGTAAAACAAGAACACTTGGTTGATCAATCTATGGTTCTCCAAGGAGTCCCATCCTAGGGTGTAAATCATTGGAGAGACAAGGCTGAAATGGGAATAATAATTGTTGTCGACAAATCTGGCTGCAGGGCACTGAACAATCTCTACATGTATCTTATCAATTTTACACTGCGTGTGAAGGTTCCATACACTACTCAGGCAAACTCCAGTTTGGGGCATACAAGAGTAAGATAAGCGGTGTTCTTGACCTCCGTAGTACAACCAGATCTGTCCAAGAAGACCAAGACTTGAATTTGCCTTCTTACAAAGTGTATCACGATGTTCATTCCTGCACAAATTGTCAGCAATAGATTATCCCAAGGCGCGTTGAAGAGGAGACTCTTAGATAACTTCACCATCAAAGTATAGTTAAAGTCGACAGGAATCCTTTTGTGGTTATCCCTAAATGACAGCACTTGCCTGCATTAATGGAAAGTTGCCAAATCTCTCTTCAAAAGGTTTAAGAGAAGGGTTAACATTGTAATTTATTTTAATTTCTATTACTTCTTATTTACTTTTTAATCAAAAGATCTTACTCTTTTTCTTCAGCCAATTCCTCTGTGGTCATTTGGCTTTCAATCTCTTTGATACCCAGCCGAGACGACTTGTAGTAAGTCTGAATGTTAGATGCATCCTTGACTGTCACCTCTTTGATCCTCTTTTTCTGTTCATTGTCTGTCAGTTGCTGTTTACCTTCGTCTTGTGGCAGCATGTCTTTTTCATCTGCTGGAAGGTAATGGATATCTTTCGCCTTTATAAGGCCTGCACCTTGTAAAAACTTGGCAGCCTCTTCAAAAGTTACTTCTTCCTCATCATCCTTGGGTTAAGTTAAAACAATACATGTAAATACTTCTTAAAATGAGTGTACAGTTGTAACTGCAAGACTAATCCAAAATACATTTTTTATTAGAAAATACATGCATTTTGGGGCATTTTTTAGGGGATTAGACATCCACACTAAAACGATAAAAAATGAAGGTATTCAAAACAGATACTTTTGACAATGAAGCTGGAGTCTTTTGAAATGCCATCATTTCAGTGTAGTCAGTCAAAGGGTCTTGAAAATGCTGACATTGTCTGTATCTTACGGTGCGACATGCAGAGAAAATGAGGTCATGGACAGACAGACTATAAGATTTACTGGTATTATATCTTTGGGTGGTTAGAATTAGGTGTGAAAGACTACAAGTGAATACTGGGTCTACTATCTTGACAATCACAGAGAAAATACCATCTGTGGGTTAAAAATGCCATAGCAGTGATGCTAAGAGCCAGCTGCTGGCTAATTTCACTGGGTGAAAAAGAGCTTACCACCAGCTCAAATTACTCTGGAAAAAAAGGACGTGGGGTTAAATTCAGTGAAGATGCAGTTGAGAAAAAACCCATCGTGACAAATGGAAAAACCAGCTCAGCTTTTCCCTTAGCTACATCCCCAGCAAGGCAGACATGCAACAGTTGCCTTTAGGGCAACCATCAGCAATATAGGTGATGTAACATACCGCCTTTAAAACCCGGAATAATTTAACTCAAAAATACTACATAAGAATGAACTCTAAAATTCAGGTTTTTCTAGTGACTATTACAACCCTGCTACAATACGGTAGAGCTAAAAGGAAGCGATTTGTCTTCATCTTGATTTTCCAAGGAAACTATAAGAGAAAATTAATACAAGTGGAAAAACGGAAATACAGCTGCAGTTGATAACAACTGGTCTTGGTGAAGATGGTTTGTTGCATGATATCAATCAAATTATATTTTATGTGGCCCGTAACACTATTTCGGTCATTGTCATGGCAATTGTATTTTTCCAGTTTTTGACAAGGGAAAAGAAAGAAAAATAAGAAAATATGTAACATTATTTTGTTATCTATGGTAAGATGCATTGTATTTGATAAATAATGGTGATGTAAACACCCTGTAGGCAAAATTCTCAAACTTTTAATTTCCTTCTTTGGTTTGAAGCTTTCCAACTTCTGATCACAAAAAGATACACATGAAAAAAAAAATCCATCCTGTGTAGAGGGACATTTCAGTGAAATAAATCACCTTTGCTTTTGTGTAACACAACAACTCTATTACAACGAAATGGAATGAAACTAAATCTAGTTAACTGTGTAAAAATATTTTTTGATAGTATTTATTCTTAAATACAAGTGAAGTTTATTTTAACAAATCGCTTCTCGGGTGATCGGAAAATCTTTGGTCAACAGAACTTGAAGTTATAAGCTTAAATGAGAAGATTGATTGCAAAAACAAAAAAACAACGACAAAAGAAAAAAAACAAGACGTTCAGAATGCCACTTTCCATTTAAAGACACAGTTTGCAATATTAACTGATTTAAAGACAATTTTATGGTAGTTCGAATGCTAAGTTAAGCTTACATGTAATACTGTACAACTAAGACAAGTCCAGACTGATTTCGATCGACTCATTGTTTTACAATACGCAAAGAGAAGTGCCAGAAAATATAATGATATCTAAAAATCTCTTCTTTTATTTCATAGACAAATGAATTTAAAAGCTTTGGGACGGCATGATAAGCGTAAATCAGGTTAAATAGAAATCAGAAAATCAATTTCCTTTTTTACCTTATCGGACACATTCTGTGCTCTTTCATCTCTCGACCTCAACTCTTCCTGTTCAGAATTGACATAAAAACCCTTGGATTTTCTTCGCCATAAGTACCAGCTAATTGCTACCACAGCCACGGCAATTACGACGGGAAGAATATTTTGAAACAGATAAAAATCCATTACTACCCACACATCCAGATTGACGTCGAAAACAGCGAACGAAGAAAAACATATACCGCTGTCAAAGGAGGCCGCTGGACCAGCCTCGTTTACAGGTGGCGGGAAAACAAAAGTCTCCTCGGCCCAAAAATCCAGAAGACCGGGTGCCGGTTGTCCCGGTGTTGTTTGATGTGTTCTATTGATTGGGGAAACCCAGGGGCCCCCCTGGGGAGACCCCTAAAAGGTGAGATCAGTGGCAACTACCTTTGGGGCAACTCATCGCGAGTTCCAGAAAAATTTGAATTCCTAATGCGTAGTCCAATTCTACCTGTTACCACCCCCCTGGCATACCTGCGGGGTTTACCATTTTTTTTAACTTGGTGATCTATTCCCCGCCTCCAGGCTCCTCATCAAACACGACGTTGTTTGAGTACAAGACTAGGGAAAACAATATTGATTTCCTTACAATAATAGCAAAACGAGACTCTCTACGGGGTCCCACACCCATTATTTCGCACCGAGAAATGATGTTCTTCACAAGAACAAGGAAAGGTTATTTTCGATTAGTCCCGTTCCCTACCCTCGGGACAGGACCAAATCCCCGAGCCTGAAGAACTGGACTTGTCTAGGGAGTTTCCCGAGGGATGGTAAAAGGTGAAATTGAACATGATTGGCCAGGAACTCATATATAACTACACTACGATGTAGTCCCTCATTTTCCCTTATGGATAGTAGAGCGATCGAATCTAGCCGCGTCTCACCTTTCTCGCGTGGGGTGATTTTCACGCGAACGCACGTGTTTCGCTCTTTTCCGCCCTGAAGTTTCGCTCGACCCACTATCCCTGACGAAAAATGGGAGAATACACGTGGCCCCTGGGTCGTCAAGGATTGTGAAAGCTTAAATCGGGTACAATGTAAATGCAAGAGCTTTATGTCTGCTATTAACAAGAACATAAAAGTCATTATTAAAAAAATTTTGGAACATCAAAGATGAACAACAAGGATAAACAATGAGTGAATTTATTTACACAGTGAAAACTTACAAGAATTACTTAACATGAAAATATTTGGCCCAGTATTCCAAGGACCAAAATTAGCCTCCCCTTCTAAGAAGTGTATAACCGACACTAAATAGGCCCTTTGCAGCTAGCCATTCACGTGGTACAATTCCTCCATGCTGTAGAGCAAAGGTCGAATAGGGACAAGACAAACAAAGGAAATTACCGCGTAGAATTAGTATGCCTTTTGTTTGTCTTGAATAGGGACAAGACAAACAAAGCGGTTTTACCGCATGAATGGCTAGTATGCCTTTTCCTGTGAAACGTTGTTTGCCTTGCCCTAGTGCAATGCACCTTATTTGCCCCCATAATTTTGCATAAGCATTGTTTTTAGGTTATGCAAACTTTTTTTTTTTTTGGGGGGGCAAATAAGGTGCATTATGGGAGATGTGCAAGTGGCGTATGGGCTCCTGGTTGATAATGATTAGAAGTCCTAAAGAGGAACCATTTAAATGAAAACTACTGAAAAGCAGGGTTTTTTAACCAACAAAAGGCTAAGACTTTTCAAACCAGTTTTGATAATAGCTCACGTCGACATTTTAAAATTCTAACATGACTCCGAATATGGAAAAATGACCAGAAAGCTTCGGAATCATGTTACAATTTTAATATATCGAACGTGGGCTATTCAGAAACGACTTTCAATGACATTCAACCTCGTCCCAGAGTCTTCTCGATTCCAGCAGCCATATTAGTAAAAGAGAGGACCCTGGGGACGAGTTTGATTGACATCTTTCTCTCATCAGATCCTAATGTTATTAGCTGATAACTATGGTCTGCGTTTGTCGGTTGAAGAGTTCAAGCGTGATGCTGCTTAAGAAAGCAGGGATAGAGTTGAATCTCTTCAGATAAGTCTCTATTTGATCCGTTAACTGAGAGGAGAAGTCTGTGGCAAGGAGCATCATTTCACCTTTGGAAGTGCTCTAAAATTACAACAAAAAAGCACAAAATCAAAACAGGTACATTCACCTTTACTTAAGTTTTCTTCCTTGAACTGAGGTGCTATCGTTTTTTTCTCGCTTGATTTGAATAAAAGATAGGACTAATATGACATAGTTGAGACGAAATCGTATCGAGTCATCGAGCAAGACCATGAAAAGGAACGGGGAAATACGTTGCTAGCGGTGTCCAGTCTCTTTTAGCCCCCCAAAATGAAACAAGTAGTCGCACGCGCAGAAGAAGCTGCAGCACCCAGGTTAACATTACTTAAGCACAATAGTAAAAAGCACAAAACAAACAAACAAACAAACAAACGAAACAAACAAAAAACATCAAAAACAAGGAATACACTGAATACGTTGTCAGAAATAAGGACAAGTTCTACATAGTAGCTTGCAAAAAGACTAGCTTAGCCTGCATAGCAAGCGTTTCCGCTCGAGTTAATGAGCAAAAGCTGGAACGAGAGCAAACAAATAAAAGAAGGGGGAGGGACTCTGGCTCAAAGTTTTCGCGCCATAACTCGAGCGGAAACACTTGTTAAGCAGGCAAAGGCTTGCTTTTAACTTTTCTTTTACATGCGTACGAGATGTTTCTTTAAAGTATAAATGGTAATTATGAAGAGCGAGGGAGACTTGAGTATCGTTTGGGCGAGAAAACAAGGCGGTTATTGGATAGAATCAGTTTTCTGATAAAGGAGTTGAAAATACTGGTTGTTACCATAAAATTCCTGAAAAAATTATTGTGCAAGTCAGCTTTTCATCGTAAAACTGTATCATCGTATCAGTTCTAATGCGATCTAATGGAATCAATAGCGCCGCCTCAAGCTTCACGCGGAAGAGACCCCTTTTACAGGCGACGTGCATATTGGGTGAGATAAGGATAGCAAAGTAAGCCCAGCAGTTAGAGCACTGGTTTGCAAACCGGTTTCGACCCCCTAGCGAGCTGGACCACTACTCAGGTTCTCAAAACAACTGAGAACCAACCAAGGTACTAGTGCCTTTGCCAAGTAAACAGCTGGGCCTTCATGTGCAGGTGCAAAAGGCAAGCTGTAGCTAGCATGTCCTAGCTCAAGAGTAATTGTGACCAGCCCGAAAAATAATCTTGACAAACAAGATTGATAACATTTCTTCTGTAATTTGAATTCCCCGCCCCCCAAGGAAAAATTCACTTGCCGGTCGGGCAGGTTAAGAACATAATTTAGTAGCCTGACTAAAGCAAAATCTACCAGCCCTGGGCTATCGGATATGACTTTCTTTGCATGCTAATGTGGCAGGGTTGACCACGTGAACTACTGGTTATGTCTTCAGTATGGGACTTACAACAGTTCTTATGACAAACTATACCTCAAATAACAAGTCGTCTGCAGATCTCTCGGCATACATGGACTGAAGTCGATACTGATTGTCTCGAATCACATCCACCTTGTATCCCGTTAGCGCATAACAAGCCTCGCGAAACTCTTGGATCTTTTTCTTGAAAACCTGACCACAAAATCAATTAAAATAACGTTACAGTTGTGCCATTTGTTTCAAGACTGAGGGCCTAGTTTAGAATAGTAAAATAGTGAAACAAAATATAATTCACCATTCACCTCCTTAAGACGCTGGTTTTTCATCTCTGCCGAGGAAAGTTGAGCTTTGAAATCTGTTGGATGATGATCATGACATAAGAATCAATGGTGCTAATCCAAGTATGAGTAGTTTAAAAAATCTGCTTAAGAAAACGTTGTTTCTATTTTCAACAGCCCGAGATATCTTAAGTGAAAAGTTGTAAATTGTTGTGAAGATGGCAGGACAACAACAACGACAATACAGCACACATGGGGGTGGGGGTGGGGATTGAAAATTCTTGGAGTGCTACGTGGTGAAGTTTGGCTCATACTATTTGCCTATGCGCGACTAGAAAAACTTGCTTTCTGGAGTAAAGTTCCGGCCACTCTAACGTTTCTTTAAATGGCAGGAGCCTACCCTAGGCAGTCTGGTGATTCTCACATAAGCAAAGCTTTTGAGGTTAGTTTCGCCAACGGATATCACAGGTGCTGACACTTTTTTTCTTGTAAAAAAAAATCATGATTGTGTTCAACAAATAAAGCATCATACGCAGTTAGCATTTTCTTTTAAAATAATCAGTCGAGTGTTTCATCGAAATGAAGCGAAAAAGTTTGTTGAAGTGTCACTGCCACAAGTTTCTTCTCTAGTTGGCCAATTCGAAGTAAGGGTAGAATAGGCAATTACTATATAGCATTCTTAAAACCTGGTCAGTCCACAAAATCGTTTGGATCGTCTCTATTGCGGCCTCGGTTATTTTGGAACGATTGAGACAATCTGGACAATTACATAGACCAGGCCCGTTTCTCGAAAATCCCTGTAATTTGACGGTCCCGAAATCAAATATGTAGATCAAAATCTAATAACCAAAAGCGCAGTTCCTCGCTAAGAAACCAGTTTGTTTTCTTGAAGGAAGTTTTCATTTTTCTTGACGCAAAGTTTTAAACGTCATATTATCTTTCAAAACTATTGCCGGAAAACTCCGTAAAACGACAAAAACAATGGTTTCCTGGGCTCAATCCTTCCTTACGGGGACTTTCGAAAACTCCCTTTCCCAAAACTGCCCAGGTCTATCCAGGAGATACGTGATCGCGCCAATCGCTCGACGTCTCGATGGTCTGAACACATTCATTTCTGGGACCCGTTTTGGGCGATAAAGACGGTCCAGACAATTACACGCAAATCAGGCTAAGAGGAGCTATTCGTAAGGTGACTACAATTAATAAATCCAGCGCAATGGATAAAGAGAACTGGCCGACCTTCCACTTGTTTCATGACACTCGGCGCTCCTTCAGGAGTGAGTTTGTTGAGCCCGGGGCTGACTTCTTCTTGGCTACCGCCGCCTCCTTCCTCCAGGATCTGTAGCCTCCTCCGAAGTGTTTCATTCTCCTTCCTCAATTTCTCTAACTCCTCTGCCCGCTGCTGTTTAGCCATGCTTGATGGATTCATCGACAGGTGAACTATCTTGGTTTTGGTAGGATCGTAGTAACCCTAAAACAATTCAAAGCTAAGTATAAACCTTAAAAAAAGATAAGCAACAACTCACATATAAATTCCTTTGGGCAGGACTACGCGGCAGGTGGAAGTCGACTAAGACTTATTTGTTCTCTGTTTGCTTTTTGTGGTAAAAGCCACAAATCACAACCTCTAAAACGAGGAGTGACAGTGGGGAAGGAAGAAAATATGCGTACATGGATGACCTGGTAACTAAGACGAACTTTCCTGGAGTTGAATCCCTAAGAACCACACCCAAGTTCAGAAAGAGAAGAAAATTTCATCGTCGCTTGTTTACGTCCTCCATAAAACTGGAACTTAGATATTTTCACACTGTAGTTGTCCCCTTAAGGCAAAGGATATACAAAGAAATGTGGGGCACGTGCAAAGTTGCTGTTTTGCCAATCTAAACCTATTGCTTCATGAATCCCGTTACCGTCGGTGACTCGGTGCCGTCGGATCTAAAGGTTTCTAATGTCTCGGGGCGAAATCAGGGTGACTGACAAACTACCGGTATCTTCAAAACAACAAATGGGCGTTCATACCTGCATATGCATTTGTTCTTTACGAAGATCGTACATCTCCAGCTGTTCCTGTAGTTTGGCATTCTCTTCTCTAAGGTTTTCCACTTCTTTACTGTAAAACAAAGCGATGCAAATTTAAATTATAAAAGTGAGAAGAAAGTGAAAAAAGTGAGAAACTTTCTTTCCGCAGAAAGTCCCCCTGTACTCCCTCCACTTTAAAAGAACGATTACCGCTCCACAAACGGTGCGTCTGAAGTTTATATTTGAATATTCACTAAAATAAAAAAAAAAAACGTTCATAGCGGCTACAAAGCTCAGATTTCTAGACTACAGTGTTCTAAAGTACTCACACAAATCTTACGTTGGATAACCGACGTATTCGTGACGGTCACCTCCAACACCTTTTCTTGGCCAAAATTAATGCTTCAGGGATGCTTAGAAATGTTCGATAAACAGGTTCAGTTTATACTGGGAGAGATTCGTGACGAATCTGGAACATTATGGCACCGGATTCCTTTTGCGTGAATCCGCAAATTATATAAACTTTCTGGTGGTTTGGCCGCGTGTCCGGAGATTTTGAATCCAGAATCTATAAGAGTGAATACTATGTATCCGAATGAATGTTCTTGTATTAACAGATCTGTGAAAACGCCTACGAACCCGAAAACCATAAAATGCAATTAACTCGGTAAAATGTACTCCTAACACGTTTACACAGCACCAGACGAATTTTCGACCGGCTGAAAATTTGACCAGACACTTCGTTCACGCGGAACCGTTCAATATTTCCTCTCTGTTCACATGGAACTTTGAATAGCCGGTTCCAGGCGTTTAGACAGTGGGGAACAAGTTAAATCGTACGCGGCCAGCGCAAAAAGAAACACGAGAGGAAAAAAACGAGGGGAGACTGGGGCGGGAGCGAGAAAACGCCGTTCCCTCCCTTTTCCGGCCCTATTTTTTCCCTCGTCAATTTTTCGCCTGCGCCCTAATTTTTTGCCCGCTCCCCACCATCCGAACGCCTGGAACAGGCTACGTTCGGTTAAGATGATTCCGTGTGAACAGAACAGCTAAACGAACGAATTTTCAACCGGTCGTAAACTCGTCCAGTGCCGTGTGAACTTAGCCCTGACCTCAGATTTGCAAAGGGAAAAGTAAGGGTTTGAATTATCTCGGGTTTTCTCCGTTCAACGCTCTCGACATACAAAATATTCCATATTTCTTAGATTTTTAACATCTTTACCGTAACAAACTGTTGTCTGGTGTTCCTTGCGTCTGTTTAGACAACTTATCACGTAGTTCATTAACTTCAACTTCAAGCTGTAAAGAAAATAAAAGCGACAAAACCATAGTAAAAACTTAAGGGGTGCAAACCACTGGTCATTTCCAATAGATGTGCTTAGACACCTTATTTGTACTTAACTTCGCTCGAATAAAAATACTCGCGAAATTTAAACACGCGTAATTTAACACCCATATAGAAAATTCAATTCACAGAAAAACTGAGAAACTTGTAATAACAACAACAAACACAGGGTATGCATCGACAAATGCACAAATTATTTACTGGCTTTACTGATGTGGTAAGTTCCATTTTATAATTTCTACTGTGAAATATCGTTAATTTGTAAAGACTTCACATATGGAATAGAAAATGTTAAATGTAAAAAGAATTCTAAAAGGTTCAAACTTTTTGAAAAAAAAAAGGAAGTTGATGACGCTTGAATCGCGAAATTTAATGCCCTTTTGTATATTGGCCTTGTGAAATCGCGAAATACAGTCTCACCAAAGTCGCGAAATTGAGTACCAACAAGATACATGTATCAGTACGGTGAAATTACATACTTTGTTACATTTCAGCTTTTCCTGGCATGCCAGCTCTGCTTTTTCATTCAACTCGACCTGAAAAGAAAGTAACCAGAGAGAAATTTAATTTTTCTGATGATGGCAAATTAAACCATCGTTTGCTCCACGAAATAGTTGCAAGAAATAACCGATCGAGTGGCCTACGGACACAGACGGATTTCTGGTCCTCGTTTCTCTCCACTCGAAAATAATTATTGCTACCTTTATTCAAGCGTCTTAAAATACTCCCCCATACTCCAAAACATGCCGTAAAATATACCAAAACCAAAATCTTTTTCTCTATCGTTGCCAATATGCCGTTAACTCCCTGGGCTTATACAACTTCGTAAAATGGATTTTAAGAGGGCTGGTAAACTGGGGAGCTTATAACCGGACTAAAAAAGCGTTTCAAAACAAGCTACATAACAGTGTTGATCAAAATACTTTTTGAATTCACTCGCTTTTAAAGCTTCAAAACGTTATAAAAATCAAATTCATTTCGATACAAGCAAGAGGGGGGCTTATATCCGAGTTGGGGGGATTACCGGACGTATTTCTTGTTTACCGGTTGATGGGCCTATGCCTGCATGGAGGCTTATAATTAGGGCGGGAGGGCTTCTCAGCGGAAGTTTACGGTAACGAAAGAATAAAGGGGTTAGTTTCAAACAACTTTGAAAGGGGGAGTCAAACACTTTTTTTTGTTTTGCCAACTGAGTTGATAAAGTAACAGGGTTCTATCTAGGGTATTTGATGCCCCCCCCTCCAAAAAAAAAAAATATTGTTATCATTACAAAATATAAGTAACTATGTAGGAAAAATCATCCAGACGCGACGAGGTCAGTGCACATGAAGCAAGTATTCCCTGTCTGAGGACACTATATGACAAGGAATATGGGGTATTATTTTAAAATACTGTACTGTACTCTAACATTTCTCAAAATTGTGTCTCAAAATGCACCAGATTGCACCTCACTGCATATTCATTTCAGAAAATTTCTGGGGGGAGGGGGGGGGGGCATTCCCCCGGATCCCGCTAGGAAGCTCGTGGGCTTCGGCCACTCGGGACTTCTCCCCCAAATGATGAATCCCAGATAGAACCCTGAGTAAATATAACTCTGTAAAAAGATGGAACCTTTGGATTAGCTTTGATGAAGGAAGGTTAAATAATCATGGGGAAAGGACGTCAACGGCAACGAGAACGTCAAAAAAGGATTAGGTCAACAACTTTGCACGCCTACGACCAAAAATTGCCTATTTTCACGTTTTCTCGAGTACGTCAACAAACGAAGACGAATTTCTCTTTCACTGTTTAAACTTGGATATTTTTCTTAGGAATTCAACTCCGGGATGGTTCGCCTATATTTATAAAGAGAGTAAGCCAGTCGGGATAATCGCGATGAAGTTTCAAAGAACGCGAAGTCACTTTTTAGTGGTGACGTTTTCGCCGCCGTTGCCATCGTGGTATGTAAAACTTTCTGATGATTTAGTGACTAACCTCCAGTGTTTGTATGTGTTCATGACATGTTTTAAGACGAGTTTCAGCCTGATGGCAAAAAAAAAAACAAGTGTTAAAGTTAAATAAAGTGAATAAGTTAAATAAGTTTGTATATTTTGTAACGTTGTATTGTAATAACTTCAGTTCATCTTATTGTGTCAGTTGTATAGATCTGTCTTCCTGTTCTTTTCCTCTTCTTAATTTCTTCCTAGTTATAAATTACTTTACGTTTTCCTCTGCCTACCTCGATTAGCCAAGCTAATTGCGAGTAGAGGATGTTTGTGTGTACATATTTGTTTAAATTAATTTAATTTGTAACTTATGAAGACCAATAAACTTCAAACTTCTTCTTCTTTGTATTCTGGGCTCAAAGCTCTAAGTGACAAAGAAGTATGTACTTCAACTAATATAAACGACACTGAAACCCGTGAGTCTAAGACGATATAAAAAACCTCAAATTACGTTACGATTAAGTTCGAATAAGACACTTTTCAAAGCCATATATTTAGTGATAGAAGTTTTGTCAAAATACTGTTGAAAACTTGGCAAGGGCAGTCTAACAATTGTCATAATTCTGTATCGTCAACCAACTGACGTCTTTGACGTCGATTTCTTTTCCTCATAGCATCTAAACTATTAATTAAAGAACAGCAGCTTCATTCTAGCTCACAAGTATCTTCTACATGTATCTTAAAAAAGGAAAAAAAACTCAGCGTGAGCTAGGATCTGAATGGGGGTACTTCGGTAAAACTAAAGACTTAATGGTTTGGTCCTGTAACATGAAACAGTTAAATTTTAGGCATTTTAACATTAACACTAAAAAATTCGCTGTAACAGTAATTTTTTTTCCAGAATGAAACACAAACTGCTCCCAAAAAACAATATTATTTTGTTTCGACATATTCCCATTTATTTCAGAAGATTTCCGAAAACTACCGAATATATCCGAAGATGTCCAAAGAAAACCGAAGATTTTCGAGGAGAAATCCGAAAATTTTCAAAGAGCAGATAAGAATTGACTATGCCAAAAGACTATAGGCCTTTTTTCCACGAAAAAGCCTCCAAACATAACACAGTATTTTCTCCGGAAACAGTAGATATTAAAAAATTTGCCAATTTAACAACAAACACTAGAAATTATGAGCAAATGACACCAAACCCCATTCAGACCCTCCTGTTCTGTTAACACCAACCTCTTGCAGTCTTGCACGAATCTGAGGGTCATAGTTTGATGAATAGCTGTTATCGTAATTATCCAAAATCCTTCGGCATCCATCGCGTTCCTAATGACGACATTGAAAATCATCATCATCTTCATTGTGTTTGCCACTGTCACCATTTTTTAGATACAATCTTTTAACTGGGAGGGATATAACTTGAAAGTATACCGTCAATGATCTCATGGACGCCCACTCTCAAATAAACGCCTCTCATCTAATAAACACCCCTCTACAATGTTAAGACAGTTTGTAATAGACGCCCCCTGTCTTATAGACGCCCCCTAAGAGATTTACTCCAAGATACTAGGAATTAATAAGGGTTTGCGCATAGTATCTTGCTCAATAACAAGTTCAAAGTAAGGACAAACTAACGATCATGGCAACATAATGTCTTTAAACAAGGATTCTGACCTTAATGTTGAGATTTGAAAGAGAGATATGGATCTCTAAACGGCCTAGACATATCAATTGATGGAGTGAATATTCCTTTTAATATTTCCGCCAAAGCATATTAGTTTTGTTGAGGTTGTTTCAGTTACGAGAATAAAACGGCACCTTTTGGACCCCTAAAATTGAATAGACGCCCCCAAGTGTCTATTGAGATTATTCACGGTAAACCATCCAAATGATCTGTGAAATTAAACTAGTTAAGTGCTGGAAAAATTCCCACACAACAGCAAAACCATAACATTACTATTACCTTTTGTAACAAACAAGCTATTAGTTCACTTACAGCTGTGACAAGAAACAGCCTTCGCTGGAGTTTTTGATTCCGTTCCCTTTGTCGCTCTGCATTCTCCTGTGTGTTCCAAAATAATACAAGTTGAATATACAGTTGCGTAAAGATTTTAATAGCAGTGACTTTTTAAGCGAAAGCCCATGACACGGTAACTAGCAGCTAATTAAATAATAGACCCTTAAACCAGTTTTTTTCCAGTTTTGACATAGACCAGTAGTTTAACCCAGATTTGTTTCCTCTAAGGGTTTTTAAAATTCTACAGTTTCTGACTTGTAAGCATCCCCACCACGTTTACATGAAGACACCCCTGGCTTAACAGAGTGACAGCAGTTACCTTGTACTCACTACATAGTATACACTGTCAGTATTTAATTGTAAGAGTTCCCTTTTTTATAAGTTACCTTTAATTCTACTGCCTCTCTTTTAACAACAGCTAGTTCCTCTGCTGCCCTATGGTAAGCTCTCTCATTGATCTGTGCACTGGAAAGATAAAAAAATCATTCAAATAATGAGAATCAGTTTGGAAGCACAAAACTGACTGAGATTTTGACAATCAGTTTTGGCCATTAGATAATAAGCTGATTTAGCAACAGAACGGGAACGTCAGTTGACGACGGCGCGCGCAAATCAAACAACTGGCTTGACCAATGACAGAGTGGTAAATTGGGCACCGCAAGTTGTGTTCAGTCCTTTCCGCGCACTTTCCCTTCGTCAACTGACGTTCCTGTCCTGTTTCTAAGTCAGCCAAATTAACACTTATTGGATTGAGCCGGAGAGTGATACAGCTGTTACACTCTCCAAGATGGACAATACCCTTCGAGATCTGTATACTCTGTAATTCTTTAGATCGTATTTAAAAAGCCATATCCAAGAACTGATTTATTATTCATCAGTGATTCTGTTACAAATATGTATTTTGAATGAATGACAATCTATGTTTAGTAACATAACATGATAAAGAGCATCCACACCTGGATTTTAAATCACTCTGTGTTTCCAGTAATACCACCTGAGTTTTCTGCAGATTTGCAACATCTTGGGCAAGCTGGGCAGGTGATCTGTAAAGTAAGGAATTTCATAAAAATAATTCATTAAAAATGTGAGTCAAGTCAATCAAGCCAAGTCAATATTTTACGTAATTCACAAAAACTTGTTAGTTATTAGAAATAAAATATTAGGACATAGTTTATATTAATGATAGCCAGACCTCAGCCTTTTTGTTCCTGATAAATCCTCAGTTTCCCACTTCTGAATTTTCTTTTTCAGCTCCTAACATAAATATCAAAACAAAAGAACAACAAAAACAACTAAATGAAAGTTTTTCAAATTCCAAGTTCTCTACAACACTGTTTACACCTAGCAGATATGAAAGCCCATGGATAGTGTGTGTACATTTTTCTCATTCCTTAAAGCTCAGCCTATCCAGAGACATTTTTCTTTTTCTTTGACAATTCAGTAGCATGCGAGCGATTTCATACACATGCTCAACAATCTCTTACGAGAAAATTAATGGTCTGTGAGCACAATGCTTAAATTAAATCGCAACAACAATAATATTTATGGAAACCTTTGAGAAGTAAACAAAACACGTTTGTTGTCTTTAAAAATGAGGAACAAATTCTCTAACAAAATCATTAAGGAATGCACAAAAATAATGCATAATAACAAGTACCTAATAAGTGTAGCAATGCCCAGGGGAGCTTAGTATTCGCAAAATTCAAACAGACATGGTAACATTGACTTGAATTAGATTTCACTCACTTCATTCTCAATCTCCACCCTTGTCAGTTCTGTAACCCTCTGCTCAGCCCGCACAAGCTTTGCTTGCAAACTGTCAGCTTTCTCTTTCAATAAAAGGTTACTTTCATTTGTCTCTCTAAAAATAAAGAAATTACTGTTGCTACAAAAGTTGTTCCTATTGCACTGTAAGATTGATGCCCAGCTCAGTGGCAATGCCCTCAGCTTGAGGACAGGGTCTAGCTATAATGTAAAATTTCAACAACTGTTAAACTGTGACAATAGATGGATCGAAAAATAGCATCACTGCTTTAACTGACAGACAACCAATAACACTGTGACTTCATTGACCAGGTCACTAAACAGAGTTGAATACCATCAACTGATGTGATACAACTCACTTTGAGTCTGAAGATGACAACTGCACAGGTTGTCAAAACATCAGTCCTATTCAGGAATACGTTCACCGGAATGATCATACTCAACCCACCTGTACTTAAATGAAATGACTCCTGGGGTCAAACCTTTCACAGTTTTACAAAGGGAAATAGTTTAGTTGACAATAACTTTGGGGATTTAAACTCAAGGGCTTCAAGATGACATACCTGTTAAACTGGTATTAAAATAGTCTGCGAACGGCAGACGTTTCTCCTCGCTCGTCGCCGCTAAGGGATGTTTCATGAGGAGGAACGTCTGCGACTCAGCGACAAAATTCCATACTGATGACGCAAAATCTGTCCGGAATCTGGTCAGAAGCGCTAATTGGTCGACGGAGCAGTTTCATTGTTTTAGCTATTGTTTACGAATGACAGACAAAAGACAAAAGGCCACAAAGGTCAAATGTAAACACGATGAATCTCTAACAAAACGGCCAATATTTGTGGAATACAGTCTTCTCTCGAAGAAGCATTTAAGTTTTGCTGGAGCTCATTTGAAGATGAACACAACACTTTACCAAAATCGACCAGGAGAAACGTAAAATGAAACAAATTTGCATTTGGAACCCCATGACTACCGAATTTATTATGTAAACATTGATTTACGTCATCAGTATGGAATTTCTGTCGCTGAGTCGCAGACGTTCCTCCTCGCGAAACGTCCCTCAGCGGCGATGAGCGAGGAGAAACGTCTGCCGTTCGCAGGCTAGTATTAAAAGTACATAATAATAAATTCTACATGCATATTTAGTTCAACTATTATTTTCTGTGGGTTATTTCAGGCGCTTTAAAAAATTTTCTCATACAATAACAAGTATATATTCACCTGCTAAGAACAAAACTATCACCTCAAGTTCAAGATCATGGACCTACATTGCACATTATCATGAGAATGTGGTTCAATTTCATCCTTAAATCAAATTTTACTTCCTGTTTCAATCTCATTCAGGGCACAAGAAAACTTGAATCCCAGCTTGTCCTTTGGGCTTGCAAGCAGCTCTAACATTGCTTGCCTAGGGTCACTTCTTCCTTAACTCAAGCCCCATTCAGACCGAAACTTAAATATGTTTAAAAGCTGTTTAATTAAACACCGTTTGGTTTTCTTTCCTTCATAAAAGCTGCTAAGTAACTTAAATTGTGAAAGGTTTGAACCCAGGAGTCATTTCAAAAGGTTGAGTTTGATCGTCCGGGTGAACGTAGTCCTGAATAGGACTGTTGTTGTTGACAGTGACTGACGTTTCGACAACCTGTGCGGTAGTCATCTTCAGAGTCAAAGTGAGTTGTGTCACGTCAGTTGATGGTATTATACTGTGGTTATTGATCTGATTGGTCAATTATGTTGCGATGTTATTGGTCTTCTGTCAGTTAAGCCATGATGTTATTGGCTATGAAGACAAGGCAAATTACAAAACATGTTGAATTTCATTTAAAAGCTGTGTGAAACCCTGTGTTGCAGTTTTCCATGTCTGTTTTTCATTTTTTAAAACCTGGTTTAATTAAACATGTTTAGTTGGTGTGAATGGGGCATAAGTTACTGATTTAGTTTGAAGATGACTTGCTTAGACCCTAGCTTTAAAAGTTACTTGCCCAGTAAGAAAATCTACTTGTCCAGGATGACTGGATAGGACTTTTTTTTGAGCCTTGTCATTATCATACACTGCACAAATTACTAATATAAAGTACACAAACTTAAAAGGTGAATATAAGATCTTTTGTGTGCAGTTCAAACAAAAAAGCATGAAATTTTCATGCATTCACTTTCGGTAGTTGTTGCAAAGTTGTTATTTTCTGCAGCGTTTATTGTTAATAGAAATGTTAGTTATACCTGTAATAATGATTGTCTTCTTTTAATTTCTCATTTTCTTTCTGTAATTCCCTGTATTTTGTGAGTTGTGTTTGCATCACCATGGCAACCCCTGTAGCTTCTTCCTGGCGAGCCAGCTTCTGCTCCAGTTCCTTATCAATAAATTACATTAAAGTTGGTACATTAGTGATATGTCTTTTGTTATTCATATGATGTTACTGGTAATTTATTTCTGCGGTGCATGTAGCCTTAGATAACAACCATCATTTTGTGATGCCACCACTGGTTTCCCAGCGAAATGGCGTCTGAGGAACGAGTGCAGAAATCTGTACTGATCATGTGACTCTACCCAAATCTGGGTAGTGCTTCTGACTGGTTGAAAATTTGCTTCAACCAATCAGAAGCACTACCCAAATCGACCCAGGTAGTAATGCATCATCAGTATGGAATTTCTGCACTTGTTCCTCAGAAACCAGTGGTAACAAATTGCAAAAATGTTGGTTGTATTGTCAGGCTATTTCTATGGTAAAGCTACTTGACAGAATGCTAAATTGCTAAACTGGCAGATTATCCCAAAAAACTTTTGAGTCCTATGTTTTGTGTTTTACGTTCTTTGATCTGGAGGCATAGTTACAGAGCTTCATGTACATGCAGTACTAAAATCATACCTTGACCCTGTGTTCAGCAGTATTTGATTTTTCTCTGAGTTGCTCCAGCTCCAGTAACTGAGACATTAACTCACTACGTCTTCTGTAAAAATTAATATGAAACAAAACTATAGGCATACGTGTGTGAAAACCTCTTATCATCTCTAGCTAGAGCATAAATACGACATATGACATACCTGTTGCAAATATTACAGGTCAGAATTAAGCAAGACACAAACTTTGAATTAACATTCAAGAGTTCTGTGTCAAAAGTTACAATTAGTGCAAAACTTTGCCGCCTGCGTATTAACAGATACTGAAAAGTTTGATCACATCTTGCCTGTTCTTCGGGAATTAGGGTGGCCCTCCATCAAAGATCAGCTATTAGTCCGTGATACTACCCAAGTATACAAAATTGTTAATGGCCTCGCTCCATTGTACTTGAGTAGTAAACTCAGTAAGCAATCAGATACACATCACTAAACCAAGGAAAAGGGACAATCGAAATCTCCCTCTTTGCAGAACAGTTACGCACAACGGTCATTTTACTATCGCACTGTAAGTGCCTGGAACTCTGACCACAGACACTAGCAATAGCCTGTCACTACATACCTTTAAGAGGAGCTTCAAATGCGAATTGCCGGTGCAGACCACATGTTTTTCATGATAACCCGGTGGTCGACACTTTGAACTTCAGATCTGGAGGTCTGGGTTTCAAGTCTAGCTATCCCATTATTTCCTTAGTCAGACAATAAACTTTCCTCCACCACGTTTCTCTTCACTTAGGTCAAGAGAGAGTAATGGTACAGAGAGAGACACGCCCAGTCTAGCCCAAGGGATATGTGAATATCAGCAAAGTTATTTTTAGACCAACAAGCACTTGAAATCAATGGAAGATGGTTTCCAGAGGGGTTGCACACTTTTATTCAGTGTTTTCAAGAGAGAATTATGGGATATTATGCTCTCTTGGTGTGTTGCCATTACAATATTCTCCATTGTTTGCCCTAAGGCGGTCGCATGTGGACTTGATGTTTCAATTGATTAAAATCAGTGGATGTCACAGCACCAACCTCTCAAAATAACTATGATGTAATTTACATTAGTATTATCCCCGCCAACAATGCCCTGAGATTCCCTCACTTTCCCATTTTTCTCTATGGCCCAGGTGTATAAATCAGGGCTTCTGATATTTTGAGCAGTCGCGGAGCCATGAAATTCAGGTAAATCCGCAAAATCCCATGAAATTCACAAAAACATGCAAGTACCACAACATTTGCTAGAAATCTTACAATTAAATGTCTAATACAACATATTTGAAAACTTATCTCGGCTATTAGGGCTGTTTAATAGCTGTAAACGTGCAAATTTATCTTGAAACTTCACCACCAAAACGAGCAAACAATGCCCAAAACTACTAAATGTAAATTATGTTGTGAAAAACTGGGCACTAGTCATGCTGTTAAAAGCTTTGCCACTGGCTCATTTCTTCAGTGCTTTGTTGTTAAAATAGCAAATGATTGTCTCTTTTACGAAACATTACATAGATCATTTTCTAGTAAAATTTGCCGAGAAAATTTCCACGAAATTGCCATTTTCTACTAATTGTTTTTTGGTGAAGTTACCCTGAAAATTTCTGCAAAATTGGTCAATTTTTCTGTGAATCTGTCACTAAAAATTACGCGAGATTTGACTTTCTTCCATGAACTATCAGAAGCACTGATAAATGGGAACTAGCAACCTACTGCTTGGGGTTCCGTAACCTTTGACTAGCATCCCATCCACGGTGGAGTGACAATACTCCGAGGAAACTTCGTGCTACTGAAACTTAGTAAAAAGCTCTGGCCATATGTGCCTCATTGGCTGAAACATGCCTTACTTCTTGGCTAGTTTTGCCTTCATTAGTACCTTTTAAAACTTTCCAGTTGACTCTTAGTATCTTCCAGCTCAGTTTGCGTCGTAGCTTTTTCAGTTTCTAGCCTGAAAAAAAGAATTACTTTTACTGTACATGAAGCAATGAACCTTATTTATGCAGAAATCTGTACTATTTTGTCCACCATTATCTTCAGGATCGGCCAAGGGGGGGCGGGTAGTGGTATACCAGCATACCTGAAAAACATTCGCCAAAATACCCAAAAATACCCAAAATTCATTCAAATATACACAAAATTATACCCAGGCATACTTTATACCTGAAATTCAAAGAAAGTGATATACCGAATACCCGTATTTAAAGGGAACCTCCACTCTTACTACAGAATAAGTTTAAATCGAATAAAATTATGTTGATAAACAAATTTGTTCGAAATTTGTCTTTAAAAAAGTGTTTATATCAGGAAAAGTGAATTTTAAAATCGAAAAATTTCATTAATATAATAATTGTGACGTTCGGTTGCTCTATTGTTCTGACACAAAAAGCTTTTGTTTAATAACAATAGGGCAACCATTACACATCACAATTATTCAAGATGGCAACGCCCGCAAAATTTGAAAACAAAAATAGGCGAATCTAAAAGTTATTTCTTTCGGATGCAAACGCTTTCTTTAAAAATATTTTAGATTGACTTGACTGTAACAGTTATTTCCTGTGATTTAAAGTTATCTTTTTGTTGAAGTGGAGGTTCCCTTTAAGCTGCAATATACAATATACCCGATTTACAAAGCCCCTGTATACCGTATACCCAAAAACCCCGGCCGACCCTATATCTTGCAGTGGGTTTACTGCATTAACATTTCCATTGTTGTAAATTAGAATTAAACTCAAAAATAAGCTTCCCATCTCATATTAGCTAAACATAACGTAATGCTACATATGTTAAACTTCATCAAAGGTTTTATCACTTCAGATAGGGATCAGTAATTAAACTGAAAGGAGCATAGGTAACTCCTTTAAAAGCAGTGACAATTCATTCATGTTTTCAATGACTTTCCCCTTTTTCATGCTGTTAAGCAGAAGAAAAAGCTCACCCTTTAGTGACAAAGCCTCACTAATCGACCATAACAGACACAAATATTAATAATTCAATCTTACTAAGAAATCAAAATCATTGATTCCCCCAAGAGAGACTAAGCCACACCTAAATGGTAAGTCCAACTTACTCATTACTTTATATCAATTGATGCAAATAATTACCTAAACAAAGAACTCTTCATCTCCATTTGTTTTTTGCTTGAATCCTCCCTTATCTGCAAAATTCATTACAAAGATTGAGGTCTGTTGTGCTTTGCAGTTGTGGAAAGAAAACCTGAAAATTCAGGCTTGTAAGGGATTCAAACCCTTGAACTCTGCAATACTCATGCAGTGCTCTACCAATTGAGCTAACAAGCCAGCTGGTGGCAGGTCATTGAGTTGGCTTGTTATAGACTTTTGAAAGCATGATGTATGAAATGAAAATCATTTATTGGAACCTCTGTATAGGAACAGCAGGGTGAAGAATTAGTGAAAGAAGATCATCACTGTTCTAGATGCAGCTTTTGCAGTTGCAAAAAGAAAGCCTGAAAAAATTTAGGCTTGTACAGGGTTTGAACCCATGACCCCTGCCTTAGTGGTACAGCACTCTAACAATTAAGGTAACAAGCGAACTGCCCTATTTGGCTTGTTAGCTCATCATCGATGTTATTGGTTCACATCAATTATCAGGATAAAAGAAAGTGGAGAGTAGACTTAGGTGTAGACCTTTATTCAATGCACAGACCTACCAGTCCCTCTGTTCTCAAACCTCAGTTTTGGTCTTAAAATAATGGAGAAATGGGGGCCTTTTCCCACATCCCCTACTGGACAAGAAGGAGAAAACTCAATGTCAAGGTGATTAAAAAAATGTTTTCAGCTGGATCAGTTTAAAAGAAATTTTGACGTCGAAGGTTACATAACTGACCACTAAATGGAAATCTGAAAGAGCAAATTACATACAAACCTCATCTCGTTCCGCGCAAGCTTTCAGTTTTTCTCTCTGAAGGTTTTGCAACTTTTGTTCTGATTTATTACGGAAAATTTCGTACTCTTTTTTCACTTCCTTTAACTGATCTTTAGCATTTTTCTCCTGTTCTGCAATGCACAAAAAGTTCTGCTGCAGGTCGTCGTATTTCTCTTCCAGTCGGCGAAAACTTAGCTTCTGATTTCCTGCATCTTTCTCGAATTCTATTCGAGCTCGCTTTCTTTCAGATTCCAAGCTGTTCATTTCACTCTCTAACTGCACTATTTTGCTCCGGCTTTTTATCAGTTCCACATCCTTCTCTCGTTCTTTAGTAAGGAGACTTCCCTGGCTCCGCGATTTACTCAAGACCCTGCTGGAGGAGGAACTACCTCCTTGTTTGAAGCGTGTCTCACTGGAATAGTCTTCGTACGTTAGCCGACCTTTCGGGTTGTTAGACAAAAACTGGTCGAATTCACCCATGATTCTCACAAAGGCAGTGCTATCTTCCGGCGTTTTGAGTATATTCATCTTGCTGAAAGAGGGGATCTTTTCGTTAAAGACGGGTAAATGTTGTAACAGGCTGCATCAACAACGTTCAGCCGCCATTTTGAAATAACTGTGGTCTCGGTGAGGCAGCCTGGGATTGTACAGAATCTAACCAATCAAATGCGGTCAAAGGCAAACATACCAGGACATTTCATGGGGTCATACATGAAGTACTGACAAATCATGTTTGTACTAGAGAGACTGGGCACGAGGTCGAGCAAAGAAATCATCTCTGACCAGACACGAGATTGAAGCAGTTCGGATGAAATGTCTTCTAAACTGGTCCGAAAAGGCTTAGAATTGTTACATAAGGATGCAGGTCTAAGATCTCAGAAGCGTAAGGCAGCGGAAAAGGCGAAACAGCCATCCAAGAAGCGCAAAGGTGCGGGTACTGTCAAAGATAAACAAAGAGCACGTGGAGTTCAAAACCAGGGCCTGAAATTATCAACAGGTATTAAAATTTGCAACAAAGCTAGATAGTTTCATAGAAAATCTGAAGAACCACTGTCCACAAGCGATGCTAATTTTAACAAATTTTACATTGCCATTACATGAAGAACATCATTGAGTGGTTGAGGGAGGGAGGGGGTCTGTTGTTGCAGACAGTAAAGTGGATATGTGGTACCTCCGTAATTTCTGAGAAATGACGCACAAAGCCAAGGAGAAAATAGCAGACAGACAGAACAATATGGTATTTGAGGATTAACTTTCTGGTATGTAGAAATATATCGAACAATTCTATTCTACCACTCTTTTGATAACCTATTTCTGACAAACTCACAAAACTGTGAACACCAGAAATATTTATGAAATGTTATCGTGTTGGGAGGAGGAAGTCAATAAGGCGTGAGAAAACTAAACCAAAAACAGCAACGGCAATAAGGGGGATGTTTTGCATGGAGGCATTATTTTATATATTGGTGGTATTAGTGGTATATTAGTGGTATTCAGTTTATTTATTTGCAAGAAAAAAAAATACAGACATTCAATAAATTGTATACATGAAAAAATAATAATATTGGAAGGTTGAAGGTGATGTCACAGCAAGGAGCCCTGTGACCCCTTTTGATTTTATTCAGATTCTTTCATACAGAAATTTATCCAATCAGAAGGCAGCTGGAAACTTTCCTCTACTTCTGATTGGTTAATGTCTGGGTGAAAGAATGTTAGTTAATTAAAGGAGGTGACACTTAATGTAATTACATTAAGTAAAAGAATAATAAATATTTTTTTCTTGTGAGGAAGCTCAAAAACTGTTGGGGCTTATTACTGTGAGCTCCCTCCCTAACTTAAGAGCATAAATACAACAAATGAGTGGCAAAATAGTCTAGCGGTAAAAGCTTAAGGTTTCAGGGTTCCAGTAGGACACACCCACTTGAAAATTCATAAAGTTCCCCCTCTTTCCCACCCCTCTCCCCCCCTGTCTGTCAAATTATTGCTCTTGGGCTCTTGGTCTGTTGATTTCCTAGAAGAATAGGCCATTTGCATGATGGCGTCATTTTACTACTATGACAAGGATCCTTCAAGGTTTAGCTTTCTTGTGCAAATTGGGGCTTTTGTTATTTAAACCTCACTGAGATTACCAAATTTAAATATGAAAAGAAAAACGAAAAGAATTCTGGTCGTAGTAGTAAAGTGACGCCATCATGTAAATGGCCCATAGACCAGGAATGAGGTTGGTCAGAAGTGGAAATGGATCTCAATACATTGTGTTTAAATTGATGACAGTCGATTGTAACCTACTTGCAGGTCGAAAACAGAAGGAGCAGCCTGTAGACTTCACAGAACAGAATTTGGAGTACTTCAAAAAAGCCACATGGAAGATCAAAGGAGACACTTATGATAAAGTAAAGTATTTCTAGCGTGCATGTACTCGTACATTTTGTACTTCTTACCAGCCTCAAACGTCGGTTACTGGTTGTTTCGATACAAAGTTGTTTCAATACAAGTCGTTTTGATACAAGTTTTTTCATTTAAATCATTCCACGTACTTGGATTAAAGAACGAAGATATTCACTCAAAATGTTTTTCTTGTTCACTCGCAAACTATACTTAAAGTGAACGAAATTTTTTGTGCAATTTCACTGCTTGAGTTTGTATCAAAACGACTCGTATCGAAACGACCGTTTTCCCAAAAGTCCCTTCTCTCAACCATTTTCAAGTGGCTCACTTACTCATTATTTTCGGACCCTTAAACAATGGCTACACTTGTAAAAGTTGTATTAAATTGACCCCTGGATTCTGCTCCATAAAAATAATTTTACTTTAACCTTTGTCAGGACAGTTTGATCTTTAAATGGGAATATCCTTAAATCGATTATCGGGGCTCCATTGTAATACTAAATATGATCTTATTTTTAGTGATATGAAGAAAAACTTAAGTAATAATTTTAATACTCTAATAACTGAAGATTCGCTCCTGTTTTTTTTTTTTTGCAGATTTTAGAAAGACAGAAAAAGCTTCCAAGGAATAAGAACTTGAAAGAAAAGCAGGAAGAATCCGACGCCGAAAAAGGAGGGCTGTTTGATGATTAGCAAAAATCGATCAGTAGTGCTGGATCAAAGTGAAATCAGCGGATACAGAAAAGAAAGGCTGTTTGAGGAAAGAGAGCATCAGCCAGTCGGTTTATTCTCAGGGTGAACTCTGAAAGAAGAGCCTGGAATTCAGTTTGTCACCTGAGAAAGCTGAAAGAATAAGACATGAAAAGATGAGTTGTCTGTTGATTCAGTAACTGTGCTGAAATCGTTGACTCGGTAAAGCTGAAGTATGATTTATAACCGTTGAAAGTTGAACAAGTTGAAAAAGTTGAACAAACACTCTTAAACAGTCAAACTGTTGTCGCCAAAGCGGTTCAAGAATCAAGACGCTAAAACATTCTTGGTGCAGTAGGACGGTTACAGATTGGTTTTAGTTTCTTTTTTACCGTTATTGTGACCTTGAGAATCAAAGATGAGTAAAAAAGGACGGGGTGTTTAGTTTCCAAAGAAGTCTAGATGTTAGAAGCATAGAAACTATCGATATAGTTCGCTACACTACCTCGATTACTATCGATGTTTCATTTTTACTATCGATCCATCGCTATTGCCGCGTTAATATCGCGATTAATCGATAGTTCGATGTATTGTTACAGCATTAAGCGAAAAGGTTTGAAAGGATGCGAGCCGGTCTATTTCTCAGCGACATTTCCATTGGCGTGGCTGTCGGATCGTAAGGTTGGTAGCTTACAGTCACTCTTGAAAGGACTTCGCGTAATATCAAACTTTGTCGCGATGATTCCAACTCGCTTAACTTGTCACATATACCTGTAGTTAAATGTCCCTGGAAATGAAATCGTGAAAACAAAACGCAAGGTTGAAAGTAGAAAGGGAATTCGTCGTCGTGTGTCTACGTCCTCAATAGAACGACGCATAACGGAATTTCACGTGGTAGTGATAAAGTGACGGCAAAGAAATGCACAAAAAAGTGTGATGTATGTGCAAAGTTTTTTTTTGCCTATTAATCCTATGCTGCTTTTTCTGACATTCCCGTTGCCGTCGTGGTCGTCGGTACTCAAGCTCCCTATGACGAAGGAAAGCGAGCCTACAAACGTAAATTGTATTTGTAAAATACAGAGTACCTTATTATAGGAAATTAACGCTCCATGAAATTAACGCGAATCGTTAAAATTCGCGTTAATTTAAGTCGCGTTAATTTTGTTGAGCGTTAATTTCTGCAGCGTTAATTTCCGCGCTCTTAATTTCCAGTATTTTAACCCCAATTCTTGACACCTAACTACAAGCTATCTTTCTTTCCATTTACCCTATATTTTTCATCTTTCACAAAAGCTGAGGCGAAGGTTTACAATATTTCGAGTTTATCTTCATCGTTGTCGCTGTCAGAAGTGATGTCAGCTCACTTTTGTTCAGTTTTGAATTTTTTTTGCATCCAGTGTTGAAATAAATTTGTTCCAGTTGTCACCACCAACTGTGCCTTAATCGCGTTAATTTCCTTTATTATGAAATTCTACCTCCTCTTTCGCGTTAATTTTCTTTATTCGAAAGTCGTTTTCTGTTAAATTCGCGTTAATTTAAGTCGCGTTAATTTCCAATACCTTAATTTCATGGAGCGTTAATTTCCTATAATAAGGTATTAACTAAGCCTAAGGCCCTGTTTACATGGTGGTGGGGGACCCCAGGTAGGTGAGGTAACCCGCCCGTCCATATAATCTCTCATTATAATTTGGCCACGTTTACATGATAGGTGGGGTGACCCGCCACATGTTACCTCACCTATCTGGGGTCCCCCACCTCCATGTAAACAGGCCCTAAAATGAGCGGCCAGGGAGGGGTGATGGAAAGTTTCCAAAACTCATGGAATATACTGTATTTTCTTTAGTCAGTAGTTGGCAATAGGCCAGTAGTTGATACACCCGGCTCTTTTTCGCAGTAACCACACATCTGCCAGTTTGAAGAGATCGCATCCTCATTTCTCTATTCAGTTTCGTTTTTAGAGCAACAAAACCTCCTGAAAAACAACAACAAGCGAGGCTCCAAAACTAGTAAGCAGTTTTATTATTTGTTATTTTAAGATTAGCAAATATGTACAAAGGGTAGTCTTCTCAGCGTGGCCAAAAAACAATCATACTCGATTCTGATTAGACTCTCTTTTTTTTTTTAAAGAATATTGCGTCTGAAATTTGCGAAAGTTGAAGAATATACTAAGAAATAAACCCAAGGCTGCGATTTTGAAAAGGATATTATTTTTTGTGTTGAAAATCTGTAAATACAATCTGATGTTTTCAACGAAACTGCATAAAATTATCCCTTTCTCTAAACGGCAAAACTAGCCACCAAACCTAGGAAATCTGCGCTGCAATGTACTGCCCCAATACACTCTTAAACGAAAAACTCATAAGCTATAAATTAAGAAAAATACAAAAATATTTTCAGCCCAAAATCGTCAGAAAAATAAGAGTATTTAGCCCGTGGGCCGGAAAAACAACGTTCTCATAAAAGAAGAGTGTAGTGAGTCTCAGTTTTTATGATTTTTCTGCTCCCGATACAGTTCTTCTTTTATCGCGCTGGGCCTTTCTTCTCATGCAGTCCTCGTTGTACTTTCCGCTCAGGCCACTGAAGCTACCACGAAAACCAAAATAATTTCTGCGAAATGAAGCCAATCAACCAGGTAAGATTCACACATAATCTGCTTGCCCTCCTGCAATTTCTCTCGTTTTCATCGACATGTTTGGTATCGTTGCTCGTGTACGCAAAAATGAAGGCCGGGCAGACGTGTTCATTTGTAACGGGGTCCGTACATCTGTTAGATTGAGCATTTCTGTTGAGCTGTGAGGTGACTTGCTAACACCGCTGTGTCCTCTCTGTCTTCGCGGTACCTCCATGGAGTTATCTGTCGAAGACCATGATTCTCGTTTTGCATAGCGGTACGATGTGGATTCTTTTCTTTGTTTTCGCACTTGAGTTTTCGCTAGAGGAGAGTAGCATTTTGTCGTGGTTGAGTCATCCGCTAGAATTTCTTCTGTGAGCTGTCGATACAAAAGGCAAGAAGTTGGCATTCGTAGATGAGGGAATAACTAACAAGCAGTCTCACTGGAAAGAATATGTTTGTCCTTGGGAATGTAAATCCAAATGTTGCCAAATTGTTTTGGTAACAAACACAGGTTTCATTAGAATTATCGTACAATGGAATTTTATCCACCAACTCAAAAATCACAACCACCTTGTGCAGCGTATTAAACTAATAAACATTCGGCACTTCATGGGAGATTGCTTAGCTTTTCTGACTGACCATTTGACTGACCAGAACGTTTCTTTCTGTCAACTGAGTATTTGCATTTCGTCCCACTATCCTCTTTCGCATGTACGAAGCTGTTCGCATCTTCGTTTGCTTGTTTAGTGTCCCCGAGGGAAAATTTTCTGGCGGTCGAGAAAGTCAAAAGTAGAAGCCTTTTTAGTGAGGTATTTTACAAACGTAATTTGTTGAAAATTTCCGTCCTCCGTTAAAGGTAAAATAATCGCTGCGTCGCTTGCAGGCTGTCACTTAAAACCGAAGTTCATACCTTGAGAAACTTCCTTAGTTCCTTTTCAACAGCTTTATAGTCATTAGCCGAGGCTACCTTTTAAAGAAAAAAGATTCACCGTAAAAGAATGATCTAGTGAGCGGCGTGCACACTCTAATAAACACCTCAAACCTGACAATGGGTCAATGAAATTTCATTGAATTGTTTAACGCTCCATCTGGAATAAACGTCCCCCCTATAAATTAAGCATTGTTACTCCATTAACCAAATCCGTTCCAACAAAACATAGCCACTTATCCGGCTATTTCTAGCGGTTGAAGATACCGCTCGTCTCCGCGAGAAAACGCCTATCCTAACAGGTTGAAATAAGATAGCGGAACGTAGGGCGGATAACTGACCTTGTTAAATGCCATTAAGGTAAAACAACTACAAGCATGCATTTTTACGATATCAAGAGATATATTACGTTAGCACGTCTTTTCCTAAGCTGCAGTGAACAACGTGAAACAGACTTTAAGACGGAATCGACCAGGAAATGGAATAATTTTAATTTTCAGTGGACAAAAAACCTTATCAACGGATATTGCATTCTTTTTTTACATTTTTCAAGGGCTAAAGATGTAGTAGTCATCTGTAATAACACCAAATAAAATTTCTTATGGGAAACCGAGAAAATGAATGTCAAATTTCACAAAACTACATCTTTCACATGAAATCTTCATAATTTTACCTGTATTTTCACAATTCTTGTGAAATTTGACATTCATTTTCTCGGACTCCTATGAGAAATTTTCTTTGGTGTTATTTCAGATGACTAATCAGGTGACTAATTATATCTGGCCTTGAAAAATTGTAAAAGGAATGGGATATTCTTTAAATTATTCTGGTACAAGTTTTTGTCCACTGAGAATTAAAATTACTCAACTTCCTGGTGGATATCGTAACGAGTATGTCACATTGAGTGACTTTAAATTGATCTTACTTGTAAGGGAATTTGGCCATACCGATTAACAAGTGTAGTATCTGCAGGGAGAAAAACACAGGACAGTAAGATAATGATCTGAACTACATCCCAGATGAAGTGTTCAGGGAGCGCGGAGCTGTAGAACTGGGTGGACTAAAGCCCCATCAACAATTTTGCCGGGATTTGCCTATGAAAACTGACAATAATACACTTACTGTCAGGTCTCTCGCGAAACCAATTCCTTCGACTTCGTCTTGGCAAACCGCAGGGCTCTCAGAAAACCAAAAGTAATTATCATTCGATTCAATTTTTCTTCCTTTTTACTGGCCGAGAGCCTACCTTGTGACCTGCAAATAACTGCCTACAAACAATTGTCTGCTCCGGCGCAATGTCGTCCGACTGTGTTTGGCTGCAAATAATATTTTGCTCTTGCTCCTTTTCAGCGATCGCTCTTGTGTAAAAATGGCAGATCGTTTTGCTTCATGAAGATATTCATTAGAAAACAAACTTCGTGATCGAATGGTAAGACAATTATTGAACTCAGTTATCGCAAAATTTGCCTCAGCCTTCGGTTTCGGCAAATAATTTATCCACTCGCCACTGACAAATCACGATATTTTGCTCCACCTCGTCCAATAATTGTTAACCGTTTCCCTCGGGACTTGACATTATATTTACCTGCGCCCTCTTTCAGCAGTAAATTAGTGACATTGAGCCTGCCATACATGGCTGCTGTATGAAGCGGCGTCTGCCCATCAAAGTCAGACACGTTCACCTGTCCGGTCCATCTTATCAGTCTTTTGAGGGTCTTTATGTCCCCGGTTCTAGCAGCGCTATTCATAAGATGAGCCAACTGGAACTCACTAATGGAACCTCCACGCGTCTTCAGATGCTCAGCAACTTCATGATGGCCATTTACCACAGCGTCTGAATAAATCCATGATCATGAAAATGCTGTTCATAAAATACGCCTACAACTTCCAACTTCGATGAATCAAAAGTGTTGAAAAGTTTTCCAGCCTCAGGTCTGATTGGATTGAATTTGTTTTTGAACAAACTCAAGAGGTCACATGACCACAAACTGCTCAATTAGGCATCGCATTTACGGCAAACGGCAGAGCTGTCTTACGATTATATACCCATGTTTCCGAGAAGGAAAATGAAAGTACCGTTACGTTCTCTTTCGTTTTTGATAATGTGGAGAAGCACTTATCTTGACATCGTAAACAGACCGCGACAAACGTAATAAATGGGAGGGAGAGGTAGCCACGTGGTTATCACAGTCGTGTAATGCTTGCCGTAAACGCGATGCTTGCTTTCTCTGTTATACGCGCGCGAACAAGGAAAACGAGAAAGGAGGGAGGAGAAAGAGGGACTTCCTGCCGTCTCTCTCCAGTTCCTTCTTTTCTCGTTCGCTCCCTCAGTCTCGCTGTGACAGCTTGTCCTCTCGAATGTAGACTGGAACGAAAATGCTTAAGTACCCGGAAAACGCAGCATGGGAAAAAAAAAGACAAAAAAGACAAAAAGACAGTCGTGAGCTAAGCTGGAATCTTTAACCAAGAAAAAAGAGGGTAGATACTGGGAACAAGACAGCGGCCGCTCACTCTCCCTTTTGCCCGCCCCATTCATGAGTGGGATGCTAGTCATTCACAAGGCTACTGTAAGCATTCTTAAGTAAAGTTTCCCCAAACAGTTCTCCCGTCACCCATTTACACATCTGGAGAGAGGCGGAGGCGGCATTCGACCACGACGCCTATGGAATCACGCTCAATCGTGCCTTTTGACGGCTTCAACTGAGAGTGCGTTCGATTGGGAAATCTGGATTTAGGTTTTGAAATCCGGATTTTAGATTTGGGATAAAACGAAAATGAAAACGGATTTCAACTTCAGGAAATCAGTCCCTAAGGTGGTGAGGTGTAAAGGTTGGATTCTATATATAATCGTAGCGGTTTCAGTCATGTTACCGAGTCTTTAGAGAACTGAAGTCTTACTAAGGGCGCCTACCAAACGTCAAAACTGGCCGGCCAGACTGGTCATCTTAAAAATGAAACATTAGTATATTTTCTCGAATTTCTAACTTAAACCCATCACTGCCGTGCACACTATTTTGAAGAATAACAGCCAGTTCTGGCGATTGTTGAGAGTTCCAGTGATCGTTACTCTAGCAGTGTTAGTTCAGACTAGTTCAATTGATGACGACCAAGCGTCCGTTCCTCGGTTTAAAAAATGTTCTGACTTAGGAAAAAACAGGGTAAGATCAGCTGGACATTACAGGGCACCCCGGCCTATTTTGAGGGCGGCACTTAATTGGGCTACCGAAAAACAGCGATAAAGGTCACAGAAAAAAGAAAACCGCAAACTTAGTTCAACGATCAGAAAGGGCTACTGAAATCAACTGCAAAAACCGATTGTCGACAAAAGGAAAAGTCGAAAACCACGAAGAACTCTACGAACTAAAAACTGCAAATTTCTCAAAAAGTGGATTTTAAAGCGCAAAATCTCGCTGAAACTTAAACGCTTAATCTCCAACTCCTCAGAAGACGACCTAGCTATGTACGATTGCCTTCGAAGACAACAGCTACGCAATGTTTTGCACCTTTAAGTAATTTTATTAAACACATACTATTTCTACCACTGCCACATCTCTACAGGAGGCATACATCAATGACCTTCACCTTAACGTTCAGGTATAATAACATGAAAACGCGCCAAATGTACTCTAATGTACTACAAGAACTACTCTCTTCAAATTCAAGGCCCAATCGAGAACAGTTAAACTTGGCAAATCGACATTGGCATTCTAATACATTTCAACACTTAAATTAACAATACTCCAAACTGGCAAAAGGCGAGCCAGTTGGCTATTTACAAACGTGGTCTTCTTGGCCGGAGTTGAAGAAACAACTCCACCATGCAGTAATCAGATCGGCACTCGAGTACCAACCTCAGATTATGGGTTCGAATTCGGTTCCTTATAACCATTAAGCCCCGCTGCCTCCTCGATTTGACCGTGACAGGGACACAGCTACTGCCCATAGTATCGCCAGTAACAATTTACAGCCGGAGCGCAAACATATAAAAGCAGAATACAACATTCTATGTGAAAACATGGTTCCAACAAGTAATCGAACCTCGGCCTCTGCGAACTGAAAAAAAAAAAACACACACACACACAAAAAGCGGTGTTCTAATGCTCACAGTTGCTCACCGTCGAGCCACACTTTAAAATGGTATGCAATATCTTGCCTCTTTTGATACATGCGTTACTCAGCGTTTTACAACATTTTTCTTATCTGCTCCATTTTGTCAATTTGTATGGTCAAGCACTCGTTTTATTTTTTGCGATTTTTTCAGCGGTCCTCAAAAATAAGCTTCCGCAAAATATAATTACCGCAAACATTTTTTTTAGTCCAGAGTAAATATTCTCTTTCTTAAATTTGCTACACAAAAATACAGTACTAAGAAATCGTGTCTGTTCAATTACAACTTTTCTCCTTCGTTCTTTTCAGTCACCGCAGATGTTGTTGTAATCGAATGGCAAAGAAAAGTATTCTGTTTTACTGGTTTTACATAGGGTACGCACACCCTAGTATTGTTTGAAAATATGTATTTACATTGCACGTACTCAATAAAAACGAAAATTATCAATGAATTGTCCGGGAATGTCTGAAAATCGCAAAAATTACTTCCCAGCAAGAAAACAACATGTCCTTATCGCAAAAATTAGTTCCCGCAAAAATTTCGTGCCACACGGTATGTCACTAATTAGGGTACTGACAAGGACAACAATTTGTTTCGTTGTGTATCTGCACCGTACTTTCCCTAAATTTTCTGTACCTGAAAGGTCGACATGCAAAAGGTCGAGGAAAAGATGATAAGAGGTTTGCGAATTTCTATTTTCTTGTATGATATGACTGACGGTTTGATTCTATCCGTGGTTAAGGTTCATTTTCCATTTTCAAAATCACTATCATACACCACCATTCCCACACAGAAAAACAAAGGAAAATGATATTTAAACCAAGAGTAAACGTGAAACACATATTTCATTGTCCGCCGCTTATAGGGTCTCTTATCGCTCTCTGTATTAACGCCTTATGAAAGTTTATCTATCATGATTTATGAAATAATGACTGTGGTATGTGTGTTAGCTGAATTAGCTAAAGTTCTTACACTATCGCGTGTATTTGGAAGAAAACTCTCCCCGTCCATGATATTCCATTTAGATATCTCGCAGTTCTAAAACACGTGTAAGCCAAGGCGGACTCAACGAGGAAGGAATCTTTCACAACAATTATCTCTGTCTTCAGTTTTGCCGCCTTGGTTCTCCTCTGTGGATGAAACACTGTACCGTATATTTGGCTTTTGCTCCCTAAGTTCAGCTTGATCTTCATGGATGAAGATGGGACGGATTTCTCCACAAGTTAGAATGCGGCTTTTCAGCTTTGCTGGCTCATTGTTAGGAAAGTTCTGGTCATCGTTTTCGTCAAATTGACCTTGTTTCTCTTTTGCAGTCCCACTCGCCATTGCTTTTGATGAGTTTCTCTCAGTAACTATGCCCTGCTCCTCTTCATGCGATGGTTTGAACAGTCTTTCTGTAATTTGCTGTGGGGTACAGGTAAATGTCTCCTTCTCATTTTTTTCTTCAGCTTGACCTGGATTCTCTTTTTTGGAGGCGACAGCAAAATGAAGCAATCGTTGTTTTCTTTGGTCAGGATTGGGTCGATGCTCATCGACGACAATGACTCGGAGTTCTTCAGCCTTTGAAGATGGGGAACTGTTGACAGCGCCAGGGATCTGATCAGAATAAGGGAACTCAATCGAATCACATGACCTAGGTCTGGAATGGCGGTCAGGCTGTTGTTTTTCGTCTTGAAACTCGTTCTTTTCTTCCAAGATCACAGCCGGTGCATCTCTCTGTCTAATATGGCGTTTAGGAGGTGGATTAAGGCGTGATGGAGGCTGTAGTACAGAGTTGATGTTAATCATCTCAAGAACCTCGTTTCTAAGGGCGCGATTCATCGTGAAGCAGTAAACTATTGGGTTGAAAAGGGAATTCATCTGGATCAACAACTCCGACCAACGAAAATATGAACTTGTGCGAAGAAAAGGAAAAGCATCTCCCAAGAAAAGGATGATTATCGACGGGACATAGGAGACTAGCAAAGCCACTGTGACTGTACCAGTCGCTTTGGCGACGGCGTTCTCTAGCCTGGTGTTTCCTCGGCTAGAAACTGGGTTGATTTCGTTTTCTTTTCGTTTGAGTATGGAAAGGTAAATCGAGATGTAGAAAAACCCGATAACTCCAACACACAACACCGTTTTGGTAGCAGAGAAGATACTCAAGGCAGCTATGACTTTCTGATCGACCTCAGCAACCCACAAGATGGGTACAAGAATAGCTGTTATGGCAGTAAGCAGCAACGCCACCACTGCGCAAATTTTGAGGCGGGTTTTTGTGACAATGGTTTTGTAGCTCCTCCACTTCTTTATCGCTACGTAGCGATCCCAGGCAATGAAAGTCAAATGATACAAGGACGATGTAACAGCGCTGTAAAGAACTATTTGATTTGCACCTGCAATTTTACAGATCGTAAGGCTCAACTTCTTATGGAGTAGCAGAATATCCAAAGCAGTAGTTAGAGGCATAGAAACCGCGCCAACTAGAAGATCCGCAACGGCCATACTAGTTAACAAAATGCTTGAGTTCTTTTGCAACGCCCTTCGCTTTTTCATCGCAACGATAATTAAAACGTTTAACAATACAGTCAGAGGGCTAGCGATGGATTTTGCGGTGATTGAAACATAAAAGGCGGCCGTTTCAGTTAGAATCCATGTATAGATTGGTTTGGGCGGGCAAAAGTACACCGAAGGCGACTCACTTGGATCGATCGCCTCTGAGTCTGTTTCGCTTAAATTCATGTTAACGCTGATTTGACTGAGGTACGGCCGATAGGAAGAACCATTACTTAAGGGAGTTGAATTAAGTTCTCAATGTTAAATGTTTTTTACCATGGTTGTCTCCTCTGCGATATGTTCCTGGTGGACGTTTTCTGACTGGAGCTGCCAGGAATGGGTTCTTTTAACAGCCACGAGAAGCGTATTTTGAAATGGCAGCTGTTTACGAGTATTTTTTTTTGGTAGGAGAAGAGGAAACATACAAGTGTCTTCTACATGTAATGGGAATTTCCAACGTAAAAACAGAAGCAAACAAACTGTCATGAAAGGCTCAGACAAGTAGTGAGAAAAATACCTTGCTTGTTCAGAAAAAATGTTTAAAGCCATGTCAACCAGTAAAAATAGAAGATCTAGTTAGAAAAAGAAAAAGAAACAGGAAACTGAGCAATTTATTGTTTGAAGAGAATGTTGGACAGTTGAAATTTTAGTTTAGCAATCAGAAAATTTCTCACAAGGATAAAAAACATAGGCAATCATTATCGTACTTTACTAATTTCGTTTGCAGTTTCATGCAATTGCCGAACTCAAGTATTCAGCTATCGGTAAACATTTTTTAGAAACGCACGGGGAAAGAGGGCCAATTTCGCGTTCCCAGGAAAGTGTTTTTGGGCAACCAAACCAACCATGTCAATCATACAGCGTTTTCTTCTACGTAAAACTAAAGGAGCTTGTAACTGAGCAGTTACTTCATCAATATTCATGCAACAGGCTGGCAGATGAAAATTCACATAGGCAATCAGAAAATTCCTCTTAAGAAACAAACGCAAAGTTAATCCTGACTGTGCTTTGTTAATTTCGTATGCAGTTCCAATAGATTCACCTAATTAAAAGCCAAGAAATTGATTAAAAATAACACGATTAAAAAAATACCAAAACTGTTTCTTCTACATCGAATGGTTTTCGAAACCTTCTATATTACAAGTCGTTTTCAAGTTAACGAAAAGTCCCGTCCTGTAAGGTAAACATTTGTTCATTTGTTGACGTCGTAAACACTAACGGACTCGTGCGTGGGGCACGTGTGAAAGAGGCGTTGTTTTCCCATAGCTTCTAAAGCGTGTTTACTTCCTTTAACACAGTTTGGAGGAAATGATGAAGAATGTTTGACAACTATAGCTTAAATTCGGTATCCCCAAACGAGAATTATTATTAGTTTAGTAGGCTTTCGTATGCCTTTTATCAGAGAAAATATTAAGATCTCATTCACACCCTGGTCTCAGTTGTTTATACCTCTTCTCAGACTTCGTTAAATTCAAAATTGTTTGAGATTCGTTACGAGAAAGGAGTGGGAAAAAAAGTCTTTGGGATGTTATGTTTAAATGAAACAATACAAAAATTTTAGGCTCACTGACTCATCAGTTGATCTTCGTGAAAGGCCAAAAGAATCATTATTTTACGATTTGAAGAAACTGAACAGAGAAAACTACTACAGCTGTCAAAATTACACGGTCTGCTTGTTACAATTTCCCTAGTATTATCAATTGTTCTCACCCGTTTTTTGGCAACCCCGACTAACTGAATTTTGTCTAATGAACTATCTTCACAGTCATTCCGTTCGTTTTCAACACTGCAAAATTGAGTTCACATAGTAACCAAATTTAGGGATTTAAGAATTTATGGGATTGAGTGATGAGACAGCAAACATACCTAAAATATTAAAATCAGTTACACTGATAACAGAAAAACAAAACAGATATTTGCTTTTCAATAAGAGCAACAATTGCTAAGAAAGGAGCAGTAAAAAAGTTGAACATTTTAAGCATTTTTGCACAAGAAAACCATCCAATTAGAATCATCCGCTGCAATATCATAACAGAATATATTATCGCTATTCCAAGTTTCCGTTTAATTTTCTTAAATCCATTCGTGATTAGAGGTAGCTCAAAACGAAGCCGAATTTGGATTTGCGTTGGTCCTTGGAAACGGTAAATCGAGAGTTACAGAAAGACAAACTAAATGGGTGGTGTAAAAATGATCATTCGACAAGTGATAAAATGAAACAACAAAATAAAGGTGTAAACATTTGTCATATTTTTTGGAATTAATTTATGCTTTTTCTGAAAAGGGGAGGTAGTGAATCATGCCTCAGTGAATTCCTTTCCGGGGACAAACATAACAATTTTATCGCGATCTGCTACAGAGGACACTTCTCTGATATCACGAGGGAGACGTTTCCATAGTCCAACTATTCTATTCACAATAATAGCCTTCACATCAGTGGTACCCCAAGGGTCTAACTTAGGGCCTCTATGTGATCTTTTTTGATGACCTGCCTCTATACACAGTAGATATATTCGCTGACGATACAACTTTAATAGCCTCAGTAGACTATAAATGTATCGAGGAGCTGGAAGATATGTTATCTCGAGAGGTCTTAGATGTTGATTACTGGGCCACAGCCAAGGAATTGCCGTTAAATTCTTCAAAGACCAAGACAACACTTATCGGTTATGGAATCTTACTGCCTAAAAAGATCAGCGACCTTCCTACACTATCTGTGTTCAAGCAGCATATTCTACAGCTTGACCTAAATTCCTTGCTTGCTGACCCTCAGTGCTAAAATTGCACTCTATGTACTATTTTTACTAAGCTCATACGCACTTGAGAATAGTTTTTTTTAAACTTTTTTTGATTCAGTAATTGTGCACATGTGATAATCTTATAAATTTTACACTTCGGTCTCTGGTCAATAATGACACACTTGTAAATAGTTTTATTAATTTGACTTTAATGCTACAATAGTTGCTTATATTAATTTATAGCGTGTCCTCATTTAGTGGTTTCTCTACGGCTATGTTAGTCAGACACTCTAATAAAGGTATTGATTGATTGATCGATCAAAACAAGGCAGCTTACCACAAGGAAGAAGCAGCTCAATACTGAGTTAAATGGGACTCGACTAGAGCAAGTTGATAGCGTTAAGCTATCAGTGGGATTTGAACTTGATCAGCAGCTTAGTTTTGATAACCACGTAGATTCCCTGTCGAAGAAAATATCTAAGCGTACTCGCATATTGAATAGAATTAAGTCGTCGATCTTCCTAAAAGAGAGCGTCTGTTATTCTACAACTTATTGAATAGGCAACTAATGCTGTCTTGTTGTATCTCTTGGACAGAGTGCAATAAGGATCACGTTAGTATGATTTTCAGGCTCCAGAAACGACGCACAAGAGTAATTCTAGATGCCACGCCACGACATTCTAAAGTGGACCTGTTAGGTGAATTTCCACTGTCGCGTAATTTTTCCGTGCGTACACACGTAAATCTTCCGCGCGTAAATAGAGACATTGTATGGAAGGTCACTGGTGTACGTAAAAGTTGAACCTCGCTCAACTTTTACGTTTACAAGTGGCGTGAGGAAGAGAGGGCGGCCGTTTTTCAGTGTTACGGCAGGCAAACTCTGGAATAGGTTGCCTTTGATCGCTATATATGTTTTTTAAAACAATTTATACAGACATTTTCTGTCCTTTCAAGAAAGGCACACGCAACTGCTGTCATTTCAATTTACAATTCATTATGCCGTTTTTAGACTTTTTCTGTTTGCGTCCAAATTTGGCAGTTTCTCGTTTCACCCCTAAGAAATACTAATTCCAAACATCAAGGCACTTACATTTTCCAACAGCGAAAAAGAATATCCAATGGCATGATAGTTTGCCTCTATACCGTGTGTACCACGACGACTCTAACTTTTTTTTTCTTTTTACGTATTTTTAAACTGCGGTAATTTAGATTTTGGCACCCTAGCGGGGGGACCTCTCAGAATTTTTATGGGGAGCACCCCCAAGGCAATGTTCCTACCAGACTTTCAAAGAAACCTTATTAGAACAGGGACAAATTGAAGCAATAACACTAAATTATGCCACAGCGTGAAGTACTAAATTACTGCCACTTTTTAAGAGACCGTGTCGCCTTTTCTAATGGAACCTAAGCCAATTGTGGAGTTGCAGGCAGTTTAGGGATCCTACTGATGAACCGTTACTGCAATTAGATATTCGTGAAGGAGCAGCAGTTGTTTGAGATCTGTCCATCAAGAATTAGTAACAATGTGGCTATGAATTTTCCACCAATGGCAAATAAGAAATAGTTGCAACATTGTATCCAAAATAACGAATAAATCTATTATATGTCCCTGATGGAAAAAATATCATCTTAAGCAACTTGGAGCGAGGTTTCTAAGTTTTCAATCAGTCTTGATTTTTCTGAGATAAAACTGTGACTACGCTCTTAGCGGCAAAAAAATTCATCCTTTCCTAACGGGTGTAAATTCCTTTCTTAGGAGAAACAGTTGTTACATAATTGTAATGTATTCTTTAAAAGTTTACTCAGTTTGATTTTACCTAGAAGGAACATTACTTTAGTTCGGTAAAAAGTATTGTATTAAAAAAAAAAAAAGAAAAGAAATCGAAAAACTCACAGGATAATTTTCCCATGACACTGTCACTTCATCTCTCTTAACGTATTAGTTTTAGTTTTTAAGTTATCTTGTATTTGGACGACCACTCTTCTTTTCCATTTTAATATTTCGCCGTCCTAAAACAGGTGTAAGCCCAAGACGAACCTGGCGAGGCCAGGACCCCGCCCTTGTCACATCAGTATCAGGGAAATCTTTAAGACAATCATATCTGTCTTCAGTTTCGCCAAGGTTCTCCTCTATAGACGCCCCAGTGTACCGGATTTGTCGCTTTTGCCTATTGAGTATAGCTTGATCTTCATGGACGGATATGAGCCTGTTTTCTTCACGAGGTAGAACAAGGCTTTGCAGCGTTATTGGCTCATTGGTAGGAGGGTTCTGATCATTATCATCATCAAAGTGACTTTCTTCCCTTTTTGTAGTTACACTCGCCGCGGCTTTTAGTCTGTTTCCATCACTACAGATGTCATGGTCCTCCCCACACGATGAGATGGGTTTTTCTTTCTTTTGCTGTGGGGTGCAGTTAGAGTGATTCTCGTCACTTCTTTCTTTACTTTGACTTGGATTTACTTCATTGGAGGTACCTGGACACCGGAGCAATCGTGGCTTTCTTCTCTTGGGGTTGGGCTGATGCACTTCGACGCAAATGAGCCGGACTCCTTCAGTCGTTGGAGGTGGGGGGCTGTCGACAGCAGCAGGAAGCTGACGACGAGAGTCAGAAAGCTCAATCGAATCACATGATCTCGATCTGGCAAGGCGGCCAGGCCGTTTGTTTTCTCCTTGAAACTCGTTTTCTTCCTCTAAGACCACAGCCGGTTCACGTCTTCTCCTGGTATGCCGTTTTACAGGTAACTTGGGACGTGATACAAGCTCTAGGACAACGTTCAGGTTAATCATCTCAAAAACCTCGTTTCTGAAGGTGCGATTCATGGAAAAGCAGTAAACTATTGGGTTGAAAAGAGAATTCATCTGGATCAATAACTGCGACCAACGAAAATATGAGCTTGTACGAAGAAACGGAACAGCATCTCCAAAGAAAAGAGCGATGATTGACGGGACATAGGAGACTAGCAAAGCCGCTGTAACTGTACTAGTCGCTTTGGCGATGGTTTTGGCGATGGTCCTATCCATCCTGGCGTTGACTCGAGCAGAAACGTTGCTGATTTTGTTATCATTTCGTTTGCGAACTGAGAAGTAAAGCGAGATGTAGAAATAACCGATAATGGCGACGCTTAGCACCGTTTTACCAGCGGAGAAGATACTCAAGGCAGCCATGACTCTCTGATCGGCCTCAGCAACCCACAAAATAGGTATACAACAAGCTGTTGTGACAGCAAACAGCCAGGCAATCACTGCACAAATTTTGAGGCGGGTTTTTGTGACAACGATTTTGTAGCTCCTCCACCTCTTCATCGCTACGTAGCGATCCCAGGCAATGAAAGTCAAATGATACAAGGACGAACTAACAGCGCTGTAAAGTACTATTTGATTTGCACCTGCAATCTTACAAATCGTAAGGCTCAAATTCTTACGGAGGAGAAATATATCCAAAGCAGTAGTTAGAGGCATGGAAACTGCACCCACTAGAAGATCCGCAACGGCCATGCTAGCTAACAAAATGTTTGAGTTTTTTTGCAACGCTCTTCGCCTCCATACCGCAACGATAATTATAAGGTTTAACAACACAGTGAAAGGGCTAGCGATGGATTTTGCGGTGATTGAAACATAGAAGGCGGCCGTTTCAGTAAGAATCCATGTATAGATTGGTTTGGTTGGGCAAATGTACACTGAAGGCGACTCGCTTGGATCGATATTGTGTGAATCTGTTTCGTTTAACTTCATTTTTATGCTGATTTGATTACGGCGCGGACGGCTTGAAGTACTCACTGCTCAAATTAGTTTTACCACGATTGTCTCCTGACTGATTCGGTGTCCATGGTCGACATGTTTTGAGCGGAGCTCCCTGCAATGGGTTCTTGAACAACGCAAAGACGAGTGCGTTCTCAAATGTTAGTTTGAAGATTGACGAAGATTGACGAAAAGTCAACTAGAGGAAATGACGCATGTGACTTGTAACGGACACGTTAAACAAGCACCTTAATGAGGATCCATTAGTAACCTACGTAGATTTCTCTGATGTAGAACATATTGCGGGAACTTACAACAAATAAAAGACACAAAGCTATCTTAAAAAGAGAGCAGCCAGTGGAAAAAAAATGGTTTGCTTTTTGAAACGCAATGTTTAAAGCACCCAAACAAATTGCTTTCCAATAACATTAAAAAGCAGCATTAAACAGTAAGTTTTCGACGAAAAAAGAAGAGCTTGTAAAAAAAAGGGAACAGGAAGCTTTTTCTCACAACTATGAAAAAGGTAGCGGTCTCAGTTGTGCTTTACTAATTTCGTGAGCGGTTTCGCAAAGATTTGCATGACTTACAACCATACAAAAAAAAATTACGAAAATAATCAAAACGACCAAAACTATCACTTTTTTCATATCGCTTCGTTTTCGAAACCTTTCATTATTCATTCATTCAGGCGGCCTCATGAGTCGTCTTAATTCGTGCTATCGAAATGTTCCACCCTGAAAGACATACCCTCTTTACGTCGTTAACACTTTTCAATCCTTTTTTTGTGGAATCGTGTCAAACTGTATCAGGAAGTGGGTTTGCAAAAAAAGAAAACAAGAAAAGAAAAGTTCAAAGGAGCAATTATGGGCGAGGCGTTGTTTTCCCTAACTTTCAACCAGTGTTATGTAATATGATGAACACATTTTGGAGAGATTATGGAAGAATATTTGACAATTTCACTTCGATCGACATCCAGAAACCACAATAATACGACTGACAGGTTTTTGTAAACTTAATGGGCGCGGCGTCTGGCCTTTCTCGCGTGGGGCGATTTTCAAGGGGGCTAGCGTGATTTGCTCGCTCTACTATCCTTGAAGGAACAGTACAAGGAAAAACAAGGGACTAATCGAAGTCTATACTCTAAAATATTTTGAAAGGTTTCCTTGCGTTGTCACTTTATTCAGTTAATTAAAAAAAAAAAAACAGAAAAGCAACAACAACAATTAAAGACCTTATCCAGGCACATCCTACTCTTGATCTCGAAGGTGTTAATTATCGCTTCAGCGCTCCACAGATAAAATTAGGCGGCTTATAAGAGCAAGAGGGGAAAAGCTCTTTTAAAGTTAAATTCAACAGTTTCGTTTCGATTTATGATCAGAAAGAAAAGGAAAGAGAAGACGTCCTAAGGATCGGATTATTTTCCATACGAAACAATTCGGAAATTTCGAGGGTCAGTCAAAGCTCTTATCTCCACACCTCGCTGGCTCATTAATTTATTCCCCCGAAAAAGAAGAAACAAATCATCGTTCACTTTACGATTCAAATAAATAATGAAGACAAGAGAAAAAAAAACACTACACTGTCAAGATAACACGCTTTTGCTATACATTAAGATGAATGCTATACGCGAAATAAGGTATGTTTCTGATATTTCCTTTGTTCTTCCACGTTTGTTTTTCTTTATCACTGACTGCATTTTGCGTAATGAGCAATGTTCGATAATTTCCGATAGCCACCATGACCATTTCCAAACAACACTAAGGTCCCTTCCACACGTATTCTTTTATTTTTGAAAATGGAGATTCTTTTCTCCGTTTTCGAAAAAAATACTCGTCCACACGTAGCGTATTCCAATCGTTTTCGCCCGAAAACGATGTTTAAAGCCATGTCAACCAGTTTTATAAACTATCTTGCGAGAAAAAAAGAAAGAAACAGGGAGCAGAACAATTACTTGTTTCAAGAGAAAGTTGGACAGTTGAAAATTCATTTGAGCAATCGGAAAATCCCTCATAAGAAACAAAAAACATAGTTAAATACTAACTGTGATTTGTTGATGTCGTATGAAGTTTCAGAGATTCACCTGGTTTAAAAAAAGAAAATGATTGAAAATAGCAGGATTAAAAACTATCACAACTGTTCCTTCTTCTACACTGAATCGTTTTCGAAACCAGGCATTACATGCTGTTTTCGCGTTTACGAAAAACCGATCCATCCTATATAATGAAGTTTTATTTTACGTCGTCAACACTTTTTTCTTTTTTTTGTCTCTTGGTAGATATGCGTCAATGCGTATCATTACGTTGGCTTCTAAAGAAAACTGAACAAAAACAAAAGATTGTAACGGGCATCAGTGCGCACGTGTGGAAGATGCGTTCTTCTTCCTTACGTTTGACGTAGCTTCCAAAGCGTGTTTATAGTTCCACAACTATAAACACACGTTTTCGTAAAACACCAAACATCCCAAAGAACAGGAAATTAGCAAGGAATGTTAAAATCAGCTACCATGATAACAGAAAAACAAAACGAGTATCTACTTATCAGTCCGTCTGAGATCTTCAAACGAACAACGTCTTAAAAAATTTTTTGTGGACTATTTTACTAAGTAAAGAGTGGTGAAAATTGAACATTTTTGACATTTTTAGCAAAAAAAACCCAGCCAATTAGAATCATCTGCTGCATCTGCCTCTGTGGACGAGGCGTTCCTTTCCCTAACTTCCAGTGCGTGTTATATGCAATATGTTGAACAAATTTTTGAAGGGATATGGAAGAATGTTTGACAATTTAACTTCATTCGACATACAGAAACCAGAATTATACGACTGACTGGTTTCCGTGGAGTTCACGCGGCTTCGCGTGATTTGTTCGCTAAGTGCTACCCTTGAGGAAAAACGAGAGATTTCTCGTGGTCTTTACGCTTAATAATTTTCACAGCTTTCCGTGTACCCCAACTTCCATCACTTAATTTTAAAAAAAAATTAATTAATTATCCCTCTTCCGCAGATAAAATTAGGCAGTGTATGAGAGAAAGATGGGACAAGTGCTTTGAACGTTACATTCAAAAGTTTCGTTTCGATTTATGATCAAAAAGAAAAGGGAAGATGACGTCGCCAGGATCAGACTACGTTATATACAACACAGTTCGGAAATTTCGTGGGTCGGCTCCGCAGGACTTGACGAGCAATGGCTCGTTAATTTGTCCTTCTGAATGAATATGAATAAATCAAGAACAGAAAAAACACTACAAGATTTAAGATTGCACGGTTTAGCTGTACTAAGGTCCATTTGTTGATACATGAAAACGGTAAGCTGGAGTTTTCAAAAAACTCCACCCTGGGGACCACTTTCGAAAACCTGCGTTTTTGATGTCCGAAAACACCGTTTAATCTCTGTTTTCAAAAATATCGGGAAATGTGTGGACGGAACCTAAGGAAACATGTATTGAGGTCTAGAGATTTGACAATTCATAAGATTGACAAATAGGATTTTCAACGTACCCAAAGCACAGGAAATAAAGGAGAAATGCCAAAATTAGATGCCATGATAACGGACAAAAGAAGTGCCATCTGCTTTACACTGCAAATCTTGAAACAAACACGGACTTTCACAAATGGGCGGAGCTATTTTGCTAAGAGGACGGCCGTCAAAACATTCACAACGATGTTTTTCACAAAAGACCGCCAGAAAATTAAAATCATCTGAAAAAAAGTCTTATATTTAGCAATTCGAACTTGCAGAACAAATCCATTTAATTCATTGAATTTGTTTATAGAAGTCTACCTGCATTTTGTTACACATGCCTGGTGTTAAGGGTTCTTTTCAGATCAGAATACCAGGCGCTGAGAGGATTAAAACGAAGTACCAAAAGTATAAGAACTATTAAGAAGCGAAAGTTATCGAGTTTCAATTTGTACATAGAACTGAAGCTAGGGAGGGAAGGACATCAGCTAATTTGTTCGTGTTCCCCGGGGAGACGCTGTACTGAGTATGATTTTTTGGCCACCGTGTCCTGAAAATGGTATAACATTTGGTGTCAGTTTGTTCTTAAAAGGGTCCTAAAAACAGCGGAGGATATTAATTCTTTTTTTTATTTTGTTTATTGCCTTAAAGAGGAGTTGAAATTAAAAATAAGGGGGTGTTGCCCGATACAGGACGGATATTTTAGTCCCTCTACCCGACCCCCCGCCCCCGTCAAGAAGAAATATTTGATGACAAGTGAGAACAACACAGGGTGTTTCAAAATTTTTACCATCTTACACATTTTATTAAACACATGCTACTTCTACCAATGCACACATCTACATTATTATTAAGTTGTTCTATTATTCATTCAAAATATTTCTCCGTTTCTGATTGGCTAAAATCACACGCATAATTTATCATAACCAGCTACTGTTGATCAAATTTGGAAGAATTTTGCCATATCGAACCGATGACGTCAAAAGTGCAACAAACTTGCAGATTATGACAGGGCTGAATAACGTACTACGCATGTCCGTGACATCACTTGTTTACTTGTCTAGCCCGTGCGCGAAGCATTCGGGCAAAGTGAAATTCTTGCAAGACCATTTTATCTTCGACCATCCAAACTCATATTTGCGAATGCCAACGAAGGAGAAATTCTACGAATACGTTAGAAATGCAACCCATGGAAAGAAATGTTACGTAATCCAGGGATCAAGGAAAATGTTTTTTACCGTCCCGGCGAAGGTTTTTCATTGTTTTGATGCAGATCGTCAGTAAGTTTGCAGAAAGATGACTGAGAAATTAAAAAAGAGCAATGTGCTGGAGTTTGGGCGACTTTTCTTCGATGGTACGTAAACGATTTACTTAAACATTACTTTATTCTGGTTAAGGAGGTGCAAATCTTTGAAATGTAGGCCGAGCGATAGCAGTTGTTGACCGTTTCTTGGTGGCAAGAAAACCGGCTTTGAGCGCGATGATACCATCAGACACAAGAAGTCATGAAAGTCATAAACTTAGTTACAAATCTTAGTGCAATGAAAGAAGCTTTTTCCTACCTCTAGCCGGCTTAGAGGCGCTGGTCGAGCTGTAGAATCAGTATTTATTCAGTTAAGTTTGTTTAAAATTTAATTTGCACCTTTAAGCTTAGAATGAATAAACTTTTAAAGTTTAAAGCTGTTGAAGTTTTGAGAAACAATCACAAGTTGGCTCAGCTCTATGTGAGTTTTCGTATTAACTATAGGTTTTCCATTTATGACAGGATTGAATGAAGCAGAAGAATCAAGGAATGAAGATCTAGACTTTGAAGAGAAAAATAAATGAAAGTTCTTCTCCCTGTAATGAAGCCTTTTAGAGAACTTCAAGTCATTAATACTTTTACCAGCAAGCATCGACTGTATTACTTACCCATTTACTCTTTTCAACATTAATTTTGCCTGTTGTCGTATACAAAAATTTATAATAGCTCTTTTGAGCTGAGCTAACAATGAGTCATAAAGGGAAACAAGTTTGGAAGAAAGAACTTGATTGAATTCGAAACCTCAGTGATTGTTTTGTGTTCTTACAGTTCTTATAGTGAAACCAAGCGAGATATAACAAGAGAAATAACTAAAAGACCATCATTCAAGGAAAAACAAAGATAAATAAAATGTACCTTTAATACTGACACTGATATGATGTCCGAACGATTTCTTAGAACTGATAACATATTGATAGTCTGTACTTTCATGTGTTTACGCTTGAAAATGTACACATTCGAATGAAAGAACTGTTTTCGGCTTCGTCCGTGCATCTTCTTTTGTTCATAGAAAAAAGTAGAAGAAAAATTACAAGGGTAGAAATGAGAATTCAATAAAGTATGAAATAATCTACCTTTACTTTAAATGGGAGCCTTGAATATTCAGAAACCACCTTAAAAATCGGGAAAATGTGAGGATGTTTTGAAAATCCCTTTGCAAACGATACTATTATTGAAGGGACGCTTCGTTCGTGCGTCTTCTTTTGTTCATAGAAAAAAGTAGAAGAAAAATTACAAGGGTAGAAACGAGAATTAAATAAAGTATGAAATAATCTACCTTTAGTTTAAATGTGGGCCTTGAATATTCAGAAACCACCTTAATAATCGCCAAAAAGTGAGGATGTTTTGAAAAACCCTTTGCAAACGATAATATTATTGAAGGGACGCTTCGTTCGTGCGTCTTCTTTTGTTCATAGAAAAAAGTAGAAGAAAAATTACAAGGGTAGAAACGAGAATTCAATAAAGTATGAAATAATCTACCTTTAGTTTAAATGAGAACCTTAAATATTCAGAATCCACCTTAATAATCGCCAAAAAGTGAGGATGTTTTGAAAAACCCTTTGAAAACGATACTAGGTTAGATCCCAGACCTCTCCCGTCTATGCACATGCGCAGACGTTGTTCAGCTCTGTCGCAGATTATTGAACCGTTAACCGAAACGACCTGGGGACGAGTTTTAGTTGTTTTCCAAGTGAGTAGTGGCGGAACATTTTACTCGTTTCACGGCGAACTAAAAGCATAAAAACATAGCAAGAACAGCAAAAAGACAACTCGACGGATGACATCGGTATATTTGCAGATCTGAACAGCCTTTTATCTCCTAAACTTCCCGATAACGATGCACTATCGAAATAAACTTAACATCGACGGAGGTAAGCATGTTTTAGCTTGTTTTTAAACTTGGAATAATTCTTAATGAATAATAAAGCAATTATTGAATGAGGCTGAGTAGGATATGAAGAATTATGCCGGTCGAGGGGGAGGGCGTTATAGGCCGAGGTGGACAACGCCCCCCGCTAGTCCGCTCGGTTCTGGGTGCTTAACACGTTAAACAAGAAAACGCGCCATACCAAAGAAACCACACTACTGTTTTCAATTTCAAAGCCCAGTCGAGAACAATTCAGCACTTTAATTAACTGAAGTAAACGGTTTAGAACGCGCTTAATTCAGCTTGCTTGTCAGCGTATATATTCAGAAAAATTGCAGTAATCAGGCCCAATTCAGGGAAACGTCGAACTTTTCATGTACCGAACTTGACCTATTTAGGTCGACCCAAATGATACAAGTTCGACGGTTGATTCAGACGTCGAACTTAATTAGTCGGACTCAATTCATTTTCACGGTCTACAACGCTTACCAGAGATAATAAACTAGGTATACCAATCCATAGAGTGACAACAAGCAAATTATGCTTATTTTGCATGGGAATGAAATTCCTTTTTTCCAACATTTGACAGTCTCTTAGTCCCTTGCTGTTTTGCCTGATCCAGGCGTTAGGATAGTAGAGTGCAGCACGAAGTTCAACAACCTGAATTGTTGCAAGACAGGTTTGAACGCGGCTAGTAAAACGCGCAACATCGATATTCAACTCGTTTCGCAGCGATGCTGCAAAACAAGTGGCATGTTTTTGTTGCTCGTTTTACTGTACCTAAAGAGACACTGACATTTCCATGGAGAGCGCACCATGTTTATAACACTTACTGGTCAAAGCTCGAACATGACATGCACGGTTCATTCTTTCTATAGCCTTGTCTGATTTGCGGTTCACTTTTAGACTTGATTTCATTTTCATTTTCCATCTCTTCAGAATCATCATCATACATCATAATGGAAAAAGTTTTTAATCTGTTAAATATGGCTTTGTTATGACGGCGCGAGGTACTAAACTACGGCCACTTTTATAAGGACAGTGTCATCTTTTGTCAGAAACAATGAAAAAAAAAAAGAGATCCAAAACATAGGCGGCGCAGCAGTGAGGGCCGGTAGCCCCGCCACCCCCCAGGCAAAAATGTTTTGGGTGGGCAGAGCCCCCCTACGTTTTGGTGCCGAAAACCACCGTTAGGAGAGGTCCACAAACTCCAACGGATGTATTTGATATTACCTGTAGCTATCTGTGATATCGCCAACTTCAGAGCGTACATCTTCTGCCCAGCTCTGCTGACGACTCAAGAACTACCTAAAAAGCACCATTAAGCAGGACCGCCTGAACAAATGCCTGCGGATGCATTGTCAGAAATGGATTACGACCACAAATGACACTGTGATGATTGCAAAGAGGTTTCCCGGTGCCAAGGAACAACGCAAAGGGAATTTTGGAAAATTTGACCATGGGTATCTGCATGGCTGTTTAAAGATGCCCCCCCCGCCCCCAATCACGTTTCAAAACGCTCCGCCGCCTCTGCAAAAGAGCCGGACTTTATCAGCAACGGCGAATGAGAAATAATGGTCTCTGATGGCCGACAGCAAACAAATTCGATAATCTGATTTTATCGTAGAGGATTGAATACAGCAAAAACCCGCGTATACGAACCTAAGATTTTCCAAGCTAGGCTAAGAACTAAAGGTTTGTATAAAAATGGTGCTAACTGGAAAATTAGGCTACTCAGGTTCTTAAACAGGTTCTTTTTTCTTAAAAATATATAAGGTGTTTGTCATTGGTGGGTGTGGCATATGTTTGGTGTTGAATGCATAATATTGTAATACGGTATGAAAATCCCTTTAATCCAAGCATGTTAAAGCCATTTATGAAGTTTATACATTTTACTAACTGGTAGAGCTTGTTCTATTAAATTTGTGTATTTAGTGTTTGACTGAATTTCTCAAAATAAGAACCTATTTCAAAAATGTAGGCTAAAACAGGTTCTTATGTAAAAGGGGTCTAAATGGACAATCTTAGCCTAACAGGTTGTTAAAATCTACGTTCTTCTACGCGGGTTTTTACTTTATCTCAACAAAGCATTGTAATACCGTAAAATTCAGAAAATAAGCCCCGACGCTTATATTTTTGAAAGGCGTATTTTTATCTACGGAGGGAAATTTCCGTTTCAAAATCGATTGGGCTAGCCTTATAGTTGGAGGAAATTTACCGTTTTTGCTTTGTTTTACTTTGTATTTGAGGGCAATTCCGAGTACAAACCTCCGCGGGCGCTTGTATTTTGAAAGGCAATTTACTGAGGGTTTCTTGCAGGGGGGGGGCTTATTTTTGGAGGAGCTTATACATGGAGGGGCTTAATTTCGGAATTTTACGGTACCCTTTTAGAAAAAAAAACTGGATAGACATGTTCTAGCAACACTACCCCTTTTATCTCAGAGATTTATCTGGTTTAATTAACTGCATTACTTCCAGATCTTACGTTATCGTGTTTTTGGACGATTAATACGCTCCCCTTTCAGCTGAAAATTTCGCCGTCCTAAAACAGGCGTAAGATCAAGAAGGACTCGGCGAGGCCAGGACCTTTCTCTTGTAACATCAGCATCACGGAAATCTTTAAGAAAATCATTTTCGTGCTCAGTTTTAGCACCGTTCTTATCTGTGGACTCTCCAGTGTACCGAAATTGGGGTTTCTGCTCGCTGAGTATAGCTTGATCCTCATGGACTGAGATGGCCCGGTTCTCTTTACCAGGTAGGGCGAGGCTTGTCAGCTCTGATGGCTCACTGGTGGGAAGAGGTCGATCATTGTTGTCATGAAATTGACTTTGCTCCTCTTTTGTAGTAACATCTGCCATGGCTTCTGGTCCGTTTCCATCACTAGAGATGTCATGTTCCTCACTACACGATGGTTTGGGTCTTTCTGCCATTTGTTGTGGGGTGCAGCCAGAAGAGCTCTCGTCGCCTCTTTCTTCACTTTGACTTGGATTGCTTTCATTGGAGTTACCAGTAAACTGAAGAAACGATGGCTTTCTTCTTTTGAAACTGGGCTGGTGCACATCGACAAAGACGACTCGGCGATCTTCAGACGTTGGAGATGGAGAACTGTCGACGTCACCAGGGATATGACGAGGGTCAGCAAGCTCAATTGAATCACATGACCTAAGTCTAGCAAGGCGGTCAGGCAGTTGTTTTTCTCCGTGAAGCTGGTTTTCTTCTTCCAAGACCACAGCTGGTTCACTTCTTCGCCTTCTTCGTTTAACACTAGGTAACTTGGGACGTGATACAAGCTGTAGTACAGAGTTCAGGTTAATCATCTCAAGAACCTCGTTTCTGAAGGTGCGATTCATCGCGAAGCAGTAGACTATTGGGTTGAAAAAGGAATTCATCTGGATCAACAACTCCGACCAACGAAAATATGAGCTTGTACGAAGGAAAGGAACAGCATCTCCCAAGAAAAGAACGATGATTGACGGGACATAGGAGACTAGCAAAGCCGCTGTAACTGTGCCAGTCGCTTTGGCGATGGACTTCTCCAGCTTGGCGTTTGCTCGGGCAGAAACTTTGTTGATCTCGTTATTTTTTCGTATGCGCACATACAGGTAAAGCGTGATGTAGCAATAACCAATAATGGCGACGCATAGCACCGTCTTACTAGCAGAGAAGATACTCAAGGCAACTATGACTCTCTGATCGACCTCAACAACGCTCAAGATAGGTACAAGAATAGCCGTTATGGCAGCAAGCACCCACGCCACCACTGCGCAAATTTTAAGGCGGGTTTTTGTGATAATGTTCTTGTAGTTCGTCCACTTTACTATCGCTACGTAGCGTTCCCAGGCAATGAAAGTCAAATGATAGAAGGACGAACTAACGGCGCTGTAAAGCACTATTTGATTTGCACCTGCAATCTTACAAATTTTAAGGCTCAACTTCTTACGGAGGAGAAGTATATCCGACGCAATAGTTAGAGGCATCGAAACCGCACCCACTAGAAGATCCGCAACGGCCATGCTACTTAACAAAATGTTTGAGTTTTTTTGCAACGCTCTTCGATTCCTCACTGCAACGATAATTAAGAGGTTTAACAGCACCGCGAAAGGACTAGCGATAGATTTTGTGGTGATTGTAACATAGAAGGCGGCCGTTTCGGTTAAAATCCATGTATAGACTGGTTCGTAGGGGCAAGAATACTCTGAAGGCGACTCGCTTAGGTCGATCTTCTCTGAATCTGTTTCGCTTAAATTCATTTTATGCTGATTTGATTGAGGCGTGGAAGTTACTTAAAGGCTTTAAGTAATCACTGTTGAAATAGTTTTACCACGATTTTGTCTTGACTGATTGCTGTGATGGTCGAGGTTTTCTGAGCGCAACTCTCAGCAATGGGTTCTTGACGAGACGAGCGCATTTTCAAATGCCAGCTGTTTGTAAAATTTAATCGTATATAATATCAACCTAGACATACGCGTCCTGTAAGACACCCGTTAAACAAGTGACTTAACAAGGATCCAATAAGGTACCTCTATAGTGTTTCCCGGTGTAGCAAATATCGTGGGAATTGACAACGGATAAACAGGCACAAAACTAGCGTTAAAAGAAGGCATCCAGTGAGAAACATGATTTGATTTTTCAAACACAATGTTTAGAGAAACCGACCTAATTGCTTTCCGATAAAATTTAAAAGCAGTATGAAACAATACGTTTTCTACATAAAAATGGAAGAGTTTGTTAAAAAAGGAAGCAGGAAACTTCTTCCCACAGAGTTCGATAAGGTCTAAAGTCTATCCTAAAAAGAAGTTAGCCTGTAAGAAAAATGGTTAGCTTTTTCAGAAATGTTTAGAGCAACAGACCCAATTATTTTCCAACATGTAAAACATATATAACATATATGTAAAACAGTCTTAAGTCTAATGCGTAAAAACAGAAGAGCATGCTAAAAAGGAAACATAACTTGAAACTTCAGTTTCATTTAACAAAAATACATTTCGTATGTAGTTTTGAATTCTCGTTATTTATACGAAAAATAAAATAAAGATATTAAGACGGTAATCAAAACGATCAAAACTATTATTTCTTCTTGCTATTGCGTCGGTTTCGAAAACATTCATGTAATGGGTCCTTTCAATTCGTATTTGCGAAATCCCCAAACCCTAAAGACATATTCTCTTTTCGCTGTATACACGTTTCCATCACTTTTTGTGGAACTGTGTCAAACGGCATTAAAAAGTGACTTTGCAACGAAAAAAGATTTTAGCCAGCATGTGTGGACAGGGCACACACGTTATATTTAATGTCTTGAACACAGTTTGGAGGGAGTATTAAATAATGTTTGACAATTTAACTTCAATTTGACATCCAGATACTAGAACTATAAGTTTGACAGGTTTTCGTCGTCCAAGCAAATCTTATTAGTCTCATAGGTGTTAATTCTCGTCTCCTTGGATAAAATTAGATAGTGTTAAACTTGAAAAGGAACAAGTGCTTTGACCTTCAAATTGTTCAGTTTTGTTCGGATTCATTATCGGAGAGAAAGAGGCGAAGAGAAAACGTCCCCGGGGCACGTTCCTCGAAAGGCCGCGGCCGGAAACTTTTCGGGCTCGAAGGCAATTTTTAAAATCAAAACCTGTAGAATAGTAGCACAGTTCCTAGCTCACCAACCAGTCAATTTTGCCTTTTTAACTGATAGTTTAGTTATTGTATAATTTAAAAATAATTGAAACTTTGATTGTAAATGCAAACAAGGCAAACACAAAACAGCTTTCCGGCCCTGAAACCTTACCGGGACTTTCGAGAAATCTGGGATCACATCATAGTATATAAGAAAAATAATTCGAAACATTTTGTGGGTAAAAATTCCGATTGACTCGTTGGTCATTAAATTATGTTCCCGAAAAGACAGCAACAAATCATTGTTCATTTTACGATTTGAACGAAAGAGCAGAGAAGAAAGCCACAGCTGACAAGATTACACGGTTTTAAATAAATTAATTATAAAAATAATGTTACCAAGTGAACGTTATAAGGTCTGTTTGTTGATATTTCGTTTGTTCTCTCATGTTTGGTTTTCTTTAACACTCTGCCTGCATTTTGCGAAATAGGCTATGTTCAACGCGTTGATTTAACATTAAGTACACTAGCTGTAAAGTGTTTTTTGGACTTAACGAATTATAAGATGGATAAATAGGATTGTAAACGTACCCAGCAAAATACCTACAAATATTAAAATTAGTTGCCAAGATAACGGATAAATGAACCATGCCATCTGCTCTAGAGACGACCTTGAAACGAACACGGTCTTTCAATCTGAATCATTAATTGCAAATATAAATACATTTGGTTTCTCATTTAGATTTTTTTCTTCTCGGTTTTCGGTTTATTAATTTGTCAGAAGTGGGGTTGGGGATGCAAAATGTAAGCGGGGAGTTCACTGCACAGACTTTCGGGTTTAGACATCATTTTTGTTATCATTGAAAGACAGACATTCCACAGAGAAGACTGGGAATTATGTAACGGGAGAAGAGAGCGACAGAACATAATACCATCAGGGAGGGGAGAGTGGGGAATCGGTAGACTAGCATCCCACATAGCTACGCAACCACGCCAAGTTCCCAGGAATCCCACCTTTGTTGACCACAGCACCCGATACCAGGCTGCCGTTATTTACACGCCTTCGAAGGAAAAAGATTAACTATCAAAGAAACGAGAAAACGCGCCATACCAAAGAAACCATACTGTCTACTCTTTTCAATTTCAAAGCCCAGTCGAGAAAATTCAGGACTTTAATTAGCTGAAGCAAACGTTTTAGAATGCAGTTAATTCATCTTGTTTGTCCACGTATATATTCAGAAAAATTGCAGTAATGAGGCCCAATTCAGGAAAACGCCGATAACTTTTCATGCAGGTCGACCCAAATGATGCCAGTTCGACAGTTGATTCAGACGTATAACTTAATTAGTCGGACTCAATTCATTTTCACAGTGTACAATGGTCTACAACGCTTACCAGAGAAAAAAAAACTAGGTATACCTATCGATAGAGTGCCAACGAGCAAATCATGCGTATTTTGCATGGGAATGGAAATTCCTTTTTTCCAACATCTGAAATTCTCTTGATCCCTTCCTGTTTAGCCTGTTCCAGGCGTTAGGATAGCAGAGTGTGGTGCGAAGTTCAACAACCTGAATTGTTTGCAAGACAAGTTTGAACGTGGCTAGTAAAACGCGCAACATCGATATTCAACTCGTCTTACAGCAATGCTGCAAAACAAGTTGCATGTTTTTGTTGCTCGTTTTACTGTACCTTAAGAGATACTGACACTTCCATGGAGGGCGCACCATGTTTAGAACACTAACTGGTCAAAGCTCGAACGTGACATGCACGGTTCATTCTTTCTATAGCCTTGTCTTACTTGCGTTTCACTTTTAAACTTTGTTAATTTTCATTTTCCATTACTTCAGAATCATTATCATACATCATAATGGAAATTAATGTTCAATAAAAGTTTTTAGTCTATTAAATATGGCTTTGCTATGACTGCGTGAGGTACTAAACTACGGCCACTTTTAAAAGGACAGTGTCATCTTTTGTCAGTAACAATAAAAAAAATCCAAAACATAGGCGGCGGAGCAAGGGGGCCCGGTAGCCCAGCCACCCCTCAGGCAAAAATGTTTTTGCCTGGGCAGAGCCTCCCCGTGTTTTGGTGCCGAAAACCACTGTTAGGAGAGGTCCACAAACTCTAACGGATGTATTTCCCATAACCTGTAGCTATCTGTGATATCGCCAACTTCAGAGCGTACATCTTCTGTCCCGCTCTGCTGACGACTCAAGAACTACCAAAGAGGCAACATTAAGCAGGACCGCCTGAACAACTGCCTACGGATGCATTGTCTGAAATGGATTACGAACACAAAAGACACTGTGAACATTGCAAAGAGTTTTCCTGGTGCCAAGGAACATCGCAAAGCCAGCATTTTGGAAAATTTGAGTAGGGGTATGTGCATGGCTGTGTAAAGATGACCTCCCCCCCCTCTCCCATCACGTTTCAAAACGCTCCGCCGCCTCTGCAAAAGAGACTTTCTCACCAACATCTCTGATGACCGAGAGCAAACAAATTCGTCCTTTTTAAGTCTTCATCTCTTATTTCTAAACTGAAACTGTCACTATCTTTTGCCCTTTGTTCTTTCTTTAAAAGATCATTTGATTTTATCGTAGACGATTTAATACAGCAAAAATCCGCGTATACGAACCTAAGATTTTCCAAGCTACGCTAAGAACTAAAGGTTTGTATTAAAATGGAACTAACTGGAAAATTAGGCTACTCAGGTTCTTAAACAGGTTCTTATTTTTAAAAGTACATAAGGTGTTTGTCATTGGTGGGTGTGGCCTATTTTGGGCCTATTTTTGGTATTGCATGCATAATATTGTAATACGGTAGGAAAATCCCTTTAAAAGCCAAGCATGTTAAAGCCATTTATGAAGTTTATACATTTTACTAACTGATAGAGCTTGTTCTATTAAATTTGTGTATTCAGTGTTTGACTGAATTTCTCAAAATATGAACCTGGCTTCAAAAATGTAGGGTAAAACAGGTTCTTATGTAAAAGGGGTCTTAATGGACAATCTTAGCCTAACGGGTTCTTAAAATCTAGGTTCTTATACGCGGGTTTTTACTGTCTCTAAACAAAGCATTGTAATATCCTTGAAAAAAAAACTTGACAGACATGTTCTAACAACACTACCCCTTTTATCTCAGAGATTAATCTGGTTTATTATATAGACACGAGTGTTTTACTGGAAAATATACCACTCGTAAAATTCATAAAAACTACATCCGGGACCCGAGTGGTATATTTTCCATAACCTCACACGTGAGTTTATCGATGACGCAATTATTATTATTATTTTATCAATGGCTGCGCTCGTTCGTAAAATATTGTTTTGCCACTCGAAAATAAAATTCATATCTTCGCGCCACCGTGTAATATCCTCTATTTAATTAACTGCATTAGTTTTACTTCTGACGTTATCGTGTTTTTGGACGATTAATACTCTCCCCTTTCAGTTGAATATTTCGCCGGCCTAAAACAGGCGTAAGCTCAAGAGGGACTCGGCGAGGCCAGGACCTTTCTCTTATAACATCAGCATCACGGGAATCTTTAACAAAATCATTTTCGTCCTCAGTTTTGACACGGTTCTTATCTGTGGACTCGCCAGTGTATCGAAATTGGGGTTTCTGCTTGCTGAGTATAGCTTGATCTTCATGGACTGAGATGGCCCGGTTCTCTTTACCAGGTAGGGCGATGCTTGTCAGCTCTGATGGCTCACTGGTGGGAAGAGAGCTCTCGTCGCCTCTATTTTCACTTTGACTTGGATTGCTTTCATTGGGGTTACCAGTAAACTGAAGAAACAGTGGCTTTCTCCTTTTGAAACTGGGCTGGTGCACATCGACAAAGACGACTCGGCGATCTTCAGACGTTGGGGATGGAGAACTGTTGATCGCACGAAGGTCAGCGAGCTCAATTGAATCACATGACCTACGTCTGGCAAGGCGGTCAGGCAGTTGTCTTTCTCCGTGAAGCTGGTTTTCTTCTTCTGAGACCACAGCCGGTTCACGTCTTCTCCTGGTAGGCCGTTTTACAGGTAACTTGGGACGTAATTCAAGCTGTAGTACAGAGTTCAGGTTAATCATCTCAAGAACCTCGTTTCTGAAGGTGCGATTCATCGCGAAGCAGTAGACTATTGGGTTGAAAAAGGAATTCATCTGAATCAACAACTCCGACCAACGAAAATATGAGCTTGTACGAAGGACAGGAACAGCATCTCCCAACAAAAGAGCGATGATTGACGGGACATAGGAGACTAGCAAAACCGCTGTAACTGTGCCAGTCGCTTTGGCGATGGACTTCTCCAGCTTGGCGTTTGCTCGCACAGAAACTTCGTTGATCTCGTTATTTTTTCGTTTACGCACATAGAGGTAAAGCGTAATGTAGCAATAACCGATAATGGCGACACAAAGCACCGTCTTACTACCAGAAAAAATACTCAAGCCAGCTATGACCTTCTGATCGACCTCAGCAACGCTTAAGATAGGTACAACAATAGCCGCTATAGCAGCAAGCACCCACGCCACCACTGCGCAAATTTTGAGGCGGGTTTTTGTGATAATGTTCTTGTAGTTCGTCCACTTTACTATCGCTACATAGCGTTCCCAGGCAATAAAAGTCAAATGATAAAAGGACGAACTAACGGCGCTGTAAAGCACTATTTGATTTGCACCTGCAATCTTACAAATTTTAAGGCTCAACTTCTCACGGAGGAGAAGTATATCCGACGCAATGGTTAGAGGCATCGAAACCGCACCCACTAGAAGATCCGCAACGGCCATGCTAGTTAACAAAATGTTTGAGTTTTTTTGCAACGCTCTTCTCCTCCATACCGCAACGATAATTAAAACGTTTAACAATACAGTCAGAGGGCTAGCGATGGATTTTGTGGTGATTGAAACATAGAAGGCGGCCGTTTCAGTTAAAATCCATGTATAGACTGGTTCGTGCGGGCAAGAGTACACTGAGGGCAACTCTTTTGGGTCGATCTTCTCTGAATCTGTTTCGCTTAAATTCATTTTCTGCTGATTTGACTGAGGCGCAGAAGTTACTTAAAGGCTTTAAGTACTCACTGTTGAAATAGTTTTACCACGATTTTGTCCTCATTGATTGGTGTGCATGCTCGAGGTTTTCTGAGTGCAACTCTCAGCAATGGTTTCTTGACGAGACGAGCGCATTTTCAAATGCCAGCTGTTTGTAAAATTTAATCGTATTTAATATCAACCTAGACATACACGTCTTGTAAGACACCCGTTATACAAGTGACTTAAAAAGGATCCAATAAGGTACCTCTATAGTTTTTCCCGGTGTAGCACATATCGTGGGAATTGACAACGGATAAACAGGCACAAAACTACCTTAAAAAGAAGGCAACCAGTGAGAAAAATGATTTGCTTTTTCAAACACAATGTTTAGAGAAACCGACCTAATTGCTTTCCGACAAAATTTAAAAGCGGTATTAAACAGTACGTTTTCTACATGAAAATGGAAGAGCTTGTTAAAAAAAGGAAGCAGGAAACTTTTTCCCACAGAGTTCGATAAGGTCTAAAGTCTATCCTAAAAAGAAGTTAGGCTGTAAGAAAAATGGTTGGCAATTTTAGAAATGTTTAGAGCAACAGACCCAATTATTTTCCGACGAAATATGTTAAACAATTTTAATTCTAGTGCACTAAAGACATATTCTCTTTTCGCTGTATACACGTTTCCATCACTTTTTGTGAAACTGTGTCAAACGGCATTAAAAAGTGACTTTGCAACGAAAAAAGATTTTAACCAGCATGTGTGGACAGGGCACACATGTTATATTTAATGTCTTGAACACAGTTTGGAGGGAGTATTAAATAATGTTTGACAATTTAACTTCAATTTGACATCCAGATACTAGAATTATAAGTTTGACAGGTTTTCGTCGTCCAGGCAAATCTTATTAGTCTCATAGGTGTTAATTCTCGTCTCCTTGGATAAAATTAGATACTGTTTAACTTGAAAAGGAACAAGTGCTTTGACCTTCAAATTGTGCAGTTTTGTTCGGATTCATTATCGGAGAGAAAGAGGCGAAGAGAAAACGTCCCCGGGGCACGTTCCTCGAAGGCCCCGGCCGAAAACTTTTCGGCCTCGAAGGCAATTTTTAAAATCAAAACCTGTAGAATAGTAGTACAGTTCCTAGCTCACCAACCAGTCAATTTTGCCTTTTTAACTGATAGTTTAGTTATTGTATAATTTCAAAATAATTGAAACTTTGATTGCATGCAAACAAGGCAAACACAAAACAGCTTTCCGGCCCTGAAACCTTACCGGGACTTTCGAGGGATCAGATCATAGTATATAAGAAATAATTCGAAAACTTTTGTGGGTAAAAATTCCGATTGACTCGTTGGTCTTTAAATTATGTTCCCGAAAAGACAGCAGCAAATCATTGTTCATTTTACGATTTGACTGAAGGAGCAGAGAAGAAAGCCACAGCTGACAAGATTACACGGTTTTAGATAAATTAATTATAAAAATAATGCTACCAAGAGAACGTTATAAGATCTGTTTGTTGATATTTCGTTTGTTCTCTCATGTTTGGTTTTCTTTAACACTGTCTGCATTTTGCGAAATAGACTACGGTCAACACGTTAATTTAACATTAAGTGCACTAGTTGTAAAGTGTCGGGACTTTATTGTAAAGATGGATAAATAGGATTGTAATTATAAAAGTCTAACCCAGGAAAATAGCTAGAAATGTTAAAATTAGTTGCCAAGATAACGGATAAATGAACTATGCCATCTGCTCTACAGACGACCTTGAAACGAACACAGCCTTTCAATCTGAACGGAGCTACTTAGTCTGCGCAGCAAGCAATCATTAGTTGCAAATATAAATACATTTGGTTTCTCATTTAGAATTTTTTTTTCTTCTCGGTTTTCGGTTGATTAATTTATAAGAAGTGGCGTCAATGTTGGTTATGCAAAATGTACGTGTGGAGTTTACTACACAGACTTTCGGGTTTAGACATCATTTTTGTTATCTTTGAAAGACAGACATTCCGCAGAGAATACTGGGAATTATGTAACGGGAGAAGAGAGCGACAGAACATAATACCGTCAGAGAGGGGAGAGTGGGGAGTGGGCAGACTAGCATCCCATATAGCTACGCAACGTCGCCATGTCCCACCTTTGTTGACCACAGTACCCGATACTAGGCTTCCGTTATTTACACGCGTTCGAACGAAAAAGATTAACTATGAGAAGTACACAGAAAACTAAACGAAAACACAGCACCTACCGAGAAGTGGAGTGAAATCATTCTTGTCTCTAGCATTGATATTAATACCGGGCTGCAACAGCAGAAACTTTACTACATCCAAATGACCTTCAGCCGCACTAACATGCCTGCATACAGAGAAACAACAAAACTAAGCCCCTCAGCTTGCTTGGAAGCTAGTCTCAAATAGGAGAACTTGTATAACCATAAGAGCACTGTGGCAAAATATGATATTGAAGAGTTAACAAAAATGTCATGATCCCTGTGAGCATGCCAGCTTCGACTGAATGCAACAGCAATAAACTTTGAAGGGAATAGAACACCATAGTATTCTGCAAACGCCATACTAGTAGATATTAACACTACCGTATAATTCAAACCTCACTTTGTAAATTAAAATGCTTGATGGTCACATGTTAACCTCTGCCTCGCGAGGTTCTGTGACTCACGTATTTCTAGTAAAATAGTTGATTCGGCTCATAAATTTCATAGTTTCATGGTGTGCGTGAGAAGCTTTGGTTCCCTGCTAGGAAAGGTCTCTCACGGTAAGAGAAAAATGACGAGAAGGAGTGGACTCTCTGCTACATCTCATACTGCATGTGCTAAGAAAAGAAACTTACAGCGGTGTTCGTTTGTTCAGATCTCTGTAGCATACTGTCGCTCCATTATGAACCATATGACGAAGCATCTGTAAGTTTCCACTCGTCGCTACTTCACATATTTCATGCATGCTGTAATGATGTGATAACCGTCTGGCTCCCAGTCCCTCAAGTAATTGACTGACCGCGCGGTGCTCATGCATGTCTGAGTACTGGAAAACACAAGGTCAAGAGAAAGGTCGGGACGGGCAGTATACTTAACTGACAGCATCTAGGGGGAGTCAACGGAATGAGCTTGTGATTCGACGGCGACGGCAACGCGAACGTCAAAAAAGCAACAGGTTAAGGCAGGAGCCGATTACTTGGCTCCTGGTTAAGGGTATGTTCACACTGTACTGAAAAGCTTTTCGTGTCGCTACGAAAAAGCTTTTCGGTTCAGTGTGAACAGCAACGACCCGGGGCCGCGAGGTTGGCCGAGAGGGTTTGATGCACTAAATTCCAGTCCACACTCTTGAATATTTACTTCCGTTTCAGTAAATTCCAACCCTCGCTCCTACTTATTTACTTCCGCGAGGGGTCGAATAGGTATTCACACTCCACCAAAGTATGGCACAAAACCTCTCCGATATGTGACGCTACACTTTCGAGATCGGCGAGGCTTCGCTCCGTCAGATATCGCGCCAAAATCATCGTCCTTATCTGTGAACAGAAGCCATATCCGGTATGATTTTGGTGGCGGCGCAAAAGCTATCAGGTAGAGCGTGGAAGTAGCCTTAATCAGCAAGACAACAACTTTGCGCGTGCATCACACTTTTTGGTACATTTCTTTGCCGTCACTCCACCACTACGATGTGAAGTTGCCTAATTTGAAGTTTTATGGAGAACTTAAACAAATGACGAAGATCTTGGATATGGAAAAAGTTGGAATAATGGCGACGAAGATTGAGAGAACGCCCATTTACTTTGTAAGAGGCGTTTTTCCTGACGTAGCCGTCGTGGTATCTTAAACTCTAATTAATTACTTTAATTTATGGTGACACTAATTTGCGCTCGAGGAATTTTTAAAAGAACAGACGGGTTAGTTTTCGCAAGCTGATTTTCTAGATTCACTAAAAACAATCAGCGCCGAGTGAAATAAAAAAGAAATAACAGTCACATGACAAGTTTTTGTCCACATTCCTAATCTAATACAGCAAAAATAAACATCACCATGCGAAAGAACTGCTAGGTAGCTTTCATTGTAGCCTGTGAACAGGCTACTTACTGCACAGGCTACTTTCATTGAAATGGCCACTCTTTAGGACTGCATCCACAGAATGAGACTTAAATTTAGAACCATCCTGTAATAGCGGAGCACCATGGGTAAGAGAATTTAGTTATCTATGCATCAGAGAAATTTTGGTAATGACTTGTAGTCACGTGACCGTACGTCCGACCGACCGCGCGTCTGTCCGCACCACAGGTAAACCACTGTAAAATAACTCAATCAACAGGTATGGCAACCCAAATTGCATGGCCAACCGCGTCTTGTGAAGCAGAGGCAATTAAAGAGTCAACAAAGACAAAATGGAAAGCGGAAATTGTATCCGTGTTCTCTAAAGTATTAAGCTTAGATTAATTGTCAAGTCCACAAATTTGGAATATGGAGAAAGAGAAAGACAGTGAAAACGAGAAAGTAGGCGACAGGCTAGCAAAGCTCAACAAGAACAAGAGCGACAGAGAGCTAGACTGCGAGAGATAAAAAGCAAGGGAGACGAATTTCGTTGGAAGAACATAAAAATTTTGTACCGGCGGTGAGAAAATGAGAAATGCTAGTGGCCAGAAAGTTGAAAATGAGGGCAGTGAAAAAAACAGCGAACAGGAACACAAGCAACAAAATTTTTGTGTGCACGACGACATTTTCTCCTTAAAACATGTAACTAGGAAGATTCGCGTTGCAACAACAGCGGCAAAGCAATGTACAAAAAAGTGTGCTGCACGAGAAAAGTTGTCGTTGTTGTTCTTTGTTTATTAGACCTATTGACTTTTTTTTGCCTTTCCTATTTCCGTCGCCGTTCAGCATTACACGATTTTAATTCTTTTTGAGTAAATCACAAGTACGTAAACGAGAGCTTCGCTTTTAGCCCTGGCGAAATCTATACATTAAACGGCACCATAGGAAAAGTTCACTGAGTAGCCTTCTCATTTTATTATGGCATCAGATGATTCTATCCGCTCAAATATATTAGAAATACCTTGCACACCACAGTGAACACTGCCCAGGGAAATTGCGCGCTTGTTTTAATTTGACTTGATGGCAACAATAGAGGATTTCATTCAAAAACGCAAAAGTGAGAGGGTCACAGCTCAACATTATCTTTTAAACTGTATTACGCGTGCTCATAACTATAGGCCCGAAAAAGGAAAGACAGAGAGACGATAGTATACTCACATTCAGAGGGGCATTTCCTAAGGAGTCGACAGCATTAATGTCTGCCCTGTTTTCAGTAAGATACTGTACAACTCCTCTACTGCCCAGAGACGCCGCCACGTGTAGCGCTGTACTGCCATCTGAGTTTGGGGCATTAACATCTACACCAAGTAACACCAGCCGCTGAAGCTCTTCAAGATTGTTTTTCACTTTACAGAGAGGAAGAAAAGAGACAAATGATGACATCAGGGAAACCGAACGACAGAATGTCTCTTAATACGTCAGAAGTGTCTCAAATTGGTTTCGCCAAGCTTCAGAAGTCTGTTTGGTTAATTTGGAGCTGCCCTGAAAACGTTTTATCTGTTCGGATGTCTTTGGGGACGTCTCCAAAGTTTTAGGTGGCTTTTTCGTCTCATCCGAAACTGTTAACCACCCTAAGGGGCCCCCCCGGCAAACGTTCGAGGACAAGGCGTAGCCGTCACTTCCATTAGAAGAAGATTCTTTGGGAGGGTTTGTCTTTATGCCGACATTTTTACGAGACCATTTTTTTAACAATAATCACAATATGCGATCTTGGTGATAAAATGTAAAAATATAACGCTAGAAAATCGCAGTAAAGTTAGTAACAACAATTCTGAATATCTCAGATGAATGGAACGGTTATACAGATTCGAAATGTTTAGCCTTTCTCGAGCTTTACAAATTTCTAGGCATTATTTTGTCTTCCAA